GGAATGGTATGAATTTTGGAGAGAGATGTTCAAAAACCTATCTATAAAAAATGAGAAAAGTATATTCTTATTGTCAGATTAATAAATTATTACTGAAGTAGTATTAGAAGATATTAATAATATTCTTAATATTGGAGAAATTATAAATCTTTATAATTATGATGATAAAGAGAACCTATTAAGTGATTTTAAAGAGAATTTATAAAAAGATAGAGAAACCAGAATTCAAGGTAATATTAGTATGCTCTAATTATGGGAATTATTTGTTAAATAATGTAAAGCTAATTTACATTTAATAATTTACTTAAGTCCAGTTGGAGATAAGTTAAAAACAAGGCTTAGAAATTTTCCATCTTTAGTTTCTTGTACTTCTATTTTATGGATGGAGAGTTGGTCTTAATAAGCATTACAATAAGTGGCTGAACATCTATTACCAGATTCAAGTATTGCATAAGCTTGTGTTGGTATTCATCATGCTGTTGAATCAATGACTGAAATTTATTTATAGAGAACTGGTTATCATTATTATGTTACTCCCTTATCTTACATATAATTATTGAATAGTTTTCAATCAATGTATAATCAATATTCTAATTCTATTTAATAAAAAAGAGACACATATATCAATGGAGTTAAGATGTTGGATGAATGTGGACTTGTGGTTGATAAAATGAAAGAAGAACTTGAAGCTTTGTAACCAATATTAGTATAAAAAACTCATGAAACGGATTTAATTATGAAGAAAGTAGAATAGGAAACTGCTATTGCAGAAGATTAACGTATGAAGGTTAAAGAAGATGAAATTGAAACTTCAAAAAAAGCAGAAATTGCTTAGAATATATCTAATTAATGTTAAGAAAGATTAAGTGAAGCTGAACCTTAATTAGAAGCTGCTATTAAAGCTCTTAAGACACTTAAAATATCTGATTTTGTTGAAATGAAAGCATTAAAAAATCCTCCAAAACCTATTAGATTAACTATGGATTCTGTATGTATTATGTTAGAAAGAAAACCAAAAAAGGCACCTGATGGAGGGGAAGACTATTGGGAAGAAGCTGGTAAAGTTTTAAGTGATCCTGGTAAATTTATAAAAATGCTTGAAAAATATAATAGAAATAATATTCCAGAAAAAGTTATTTCTAAAATGACTTAATTTTTAGATAAAAATAAATAATTTTAACCTGCACTTATATCTAAGGCAAGTTAAGCTGCTGAAGGATTATGTTTATGGGTATTGGCTATTTATAAATTTCATTTTGTTTATAAAGAAATTACACCTTTAAGAGAAGAATTTGAAAAAGCCTAATAATCCTTAAAAGTTGCTTAAAATGATCTTGCTGCTAAATAATAATTATTGCATGAAGTTGAAGAAAAATGTTAAGAATTAAGAGAAACTTTTGAAAATGAAAATTTCTAAAAACAAAAACTTAAAGCATAAATCTAAGATTGCGAAGTCAAATTAAAAAGAGCTTTAGAATTAACTAGCGGATTAGCTGGAGAAAAAAATAGATGGAAAGAAGAATCTGCAAAATTATAAAATAATATCAAATCACTCTTAGGTGATATGTTATTATCAGTTGGATATTTATCATATATGGGAGCATTTACCATTTCATTTAGAAAAATGATCTTAAATAAATGGTAACATATCATCAAAGAATAAAATGTTCCAATTTCAGAATCTTATTCATTACTTGATTGCTTAAGTACTCAATATGAATTACAAGAATGGATACTTTGTGGTTTGCCTTTGGATGATTTTAGCAAAGAAAATGCTATTATTATGCAAAAGTCTGATAGTTATCCTTTGATTATTGATCCTTAAGGATAAGCCAACAAATTTATCCAAAGAAAAGAAAAAAAAATAAATGAATAAAATTTTAAAGTTGCTAAATAAGATAGATATTTAGGAAACATTCTTGAAACTGCAGTTAGAGATGGCTAAATATTACTTATATAAGGGATAGAATAATAATTGGATCAAATATTAGATCCAGTATTGAGTAAGCAATATTAAATTGCGAATGGTAAACCTATGTTAAGTATTGGTGGTAATTAAGTTTATGTTCATTCTGGATTTAGATTGTATTTGGTAACTTCACTATCTAATCCTCATTATACTCCATCTATTCTTACAAAAGTGACATTGATTAACTTTACTATTACTTAGGAAGCCTTAAAGGATTAGATGACATCAATTTTAGTTAGGGAAGAAGATGCTCAATTGGAAGATGAAAAAATAAGAATAATGAATGATAACAATTATTACAAATAAAAAATGAAATAGATTGAATCCTAAATCTTAGAAATGTTATCTAAAACTGAGGGTTCATAGATGTTAGAAGATGAAGCATTAATTTTATAATTGTAATAATCTAAGATATTATCGGAAGAAATTACATTAAGATTAAAAGAAGCAAAATAAACAGAAGATCGAATTAATTAAAATAGACTTCATTATGATCTTTTATCTACATTTGCATCTCATACATATTTTACTATTTTGAAACTTAATTACTTGGATCCTATGTATGTATTTTCTTTAGAATTTTATTAAAGAATTTTTAAAAAAGCAATAAGAATAGCAGAAAAGCCACATCAAAAAAATATAAAGTAAAGAATTATTTTTATCACTGAATCATTAAAAAGAGTAGTTTTTTAGGAGATTAGCAGATCTATATTTGTTAAACACAAGAATCTGTTTTCATTCATGCTTTTAATAACTTGGTATAATAGTAATAATCTTATAAATAATAATGAATTATAATTTTTATTAACTGGATCTGTGTTAAATGGAGAGTAATTCAATATTGAAAATCCAGATACAAAGATTTTCACTTAGAATCAATGGGAAATGTTAAGAAATTTGCATTCAATCATTCCTGGATTATAAATTGAAAATAGTTAATCAATGATATCTTATTTGGATGATCCATAATAAAATGCAATACCTGAATAGATAAAACATCTTACAACTTTTTAAAGATTATTATTAATAAGAGCTGCAAGACCATAATTATTTGGTTATTATATGAGAGAATTAATAGCTGAAGATTTAGGATAATATTTCACTTAGAATCTATTATTTGGATTATAAGATAGTTTTGAAGATAGTGGAACAACAATTCCATTAATATTTGTTTTATAACCTGGTGATGATCCTTAAGAAGAGGTTAAAAAGTTTAGTTTCGAAAGAGGAAAAGTATTAACTTTTGTATCTTTGGGTAAAGGATAAGGTGAAAATGCAACTAATTTAATTATGGAATCTTTGGCTTTGGGTTAATGGGTTATATTATAGAATTGTCATTTAGCAATTAGTTGGTTACCTTAATTAGATAATTTACTATAAAATATTAATAGCGAATTACACAAAAAAGAGAAAGACAAATTATTAAAAATTAATACAGAATTTAGATTATGGATGACTACAATGAGTACTCCATCATTTCCTTAATAATTATTAATGGATGCTGTTAAAATGACTAAAGATCCACCTAAAGGAGTTAAGGATAATATTTAATAAATTTATATGAATTAGAATAGTTCAAAAAATGAAAAGAAATTTTATGAAAGCTGTGGTGAGAAAACCTAAGAATTTAAATAATTTTATCTAGCATTATGTTACTTTCATGCTATTGTGAGAGAAAGAAGAAGGTATGGACCTGTGGGATGGAATATAACTTATGATTTTAATGACTCTGATTTTAGAATATCTATACGTTAATTAAAATAGATGCTTATGGAATATACAGAAATACCATTCACTGCTCTAATATATTTAACTGGAGAATGCTATTATGGAGGAAAAGTCACTGATGATTGGGATAGAAGATGTTTAAGAGTCTTATTAACTACTTTTTATAGAATGGACATTTTCTATGAAAATTATAAATTTAGTTCTAATCAAGAATATTGCATACCTGAAGCATAATAACTTAATACTTTAGAATAGGCTATTGATTTTATTAATTAATTACCTGAAACTTCATCACCTGAATTGTTCGGTCTACATTCTAATGCTTCTATTACTTAAGCTTAATTGGAAACTAAGCAGATTTTAAATTGTCTCCTAGATGTAGGATTGGTTGAATAAGGAACAGAAGAAAATATTGATAAAAATAAATTATTATTAGAAAAGGCTTAAAGTTTATTAACTCTTATTCCTAAATAATTTGACATTAATATTGTCTAGGAAAAATTTAAGATTGAGTATTATGAAAGTATGAATACTGTCTTATTGTAAGAAGTATTAAGATACAATAATTTATTAAGTATTTTGTGGAAATCCTTATAAGACTTGATTAAAGCAGCTTAAGGTTTAATTGTTATGAGTTAATAATTAGAAAAAATGGGAGAATGTTTACTTAATAATATTCTGCCTGAATTATGGAAATAGAAATCATATCCATCTTTAAAAAGCTTAAATAATTATCTATAAGATTTATAATTAAGAATAGAGATGTTTAATAAATGGATTTAATTTGGAACTCCAACAATTTTTTGGTTACCTGGCTTCTATTTTACACAATCGTTTTTCACTGGTGTTTTGCAAAATCATGCGAGAAAGCATAGAATACCTATAGATTAATTGAAATTTGATTTTTTAATTGATGTTAAAGAAGTAGATGGAATTATAATAGATGGATTATATTTAGAAAGTGGTAAATGGAATCATGAGGAATAAGTGATAGATGAACCAATTAATGGAGTTATTTATTAGAATTTCCCTAAAGTATTTTTAAATTATCATTTTAGATCTAACTCTTACCAAAATAGAACTTTATTGAAAATCAAGAAGATTATATCTGTCCTGTTTATAAAACTCTTGATAGAAGAGGTACTTTGTCAACAACAGGACATTCTACTAATTTTGTATTTTAATTAATTATTTTAAGATTATTTCCATACCTATAAAGACTTAATTAAGTGTTAGTCATTGGGTTAAAAGAGGAACTGCTCTAGTAACATAATTAAATGAATGAAAATTATAATATATTTAAATGTATAAATTTTTAAAATTAATTGGAAAAGACATTGAGAAGTACAAAAAAATCTCTTACTTTTGTTTGTAAGGTTAAATCACAAGTACAATGTAAGATTTAATGAAAATTCAATAGGACTTATAAAGTATATAAAGCATTGAAAAAGTTTGACCCAGAAAATTCTAAGGCTATGGCATTGATAATAAATTCAACAGGAGGAAGTCTTGCACATGCTCATATAATATAAAGAAAATTTGATTTAGTTAGGAAAAAATACAATCTTCCTTTGTATACATTTGCAGAAGATTATGCTTTGTCTGGTGCATTTTATTTATTATGTATGGGGGATAAAATATTCTGTAATAAAACATCTATTGTTGGGGCTGTTGGAACATAAATTTAAACCTTAAATATATTAAAATTATTAGAACATTACAAATTAGAAATTAGAACTTTTAATTCTGATTCTAATGAAACATTTTTATAATAATTTGATCCATTAGGAAATAATGATTCAACTCATATATTAGAAAATGTAAGTGCATAATAAAATTAATAATTATAATTATAAATCCATCAATTGATTGGAAATAGATAAAAGAAAGAAGATATTTTAAACGGGTCTATTTTTAATGGGCAATAATTATTTTAAGATTATAAGTATAGTTTAGTATGAAAAAATAGATTCAGTGACGGGATTGGATGTTATTTGAATATCCTTTAAAGTGAATTTCCATATAATAAACTAGAAAATGCAACTTAAAAAACTTAAAGGGAAAAAATGATTGATTTCTTTTAAAACAAGTTTAATTGAGTGATTTTATATAAAGAGTAATATAGATTTTTTTGTTTTATATTTAGTGATTTATTATATAATGTAATATCAATTTCCTCTGGAATAAGCAGTTAATAAAGAATGTAGAAAAACATAAAGTGCAAATAAATGTCGAGGTGGAGAATCGCAGAATAAATTGTACTAAAACTTTACTCATAAAAATTCAAGCTAACCTAAAGTGGTGAATCTCTTTCGAAGTTTTTTGTTTGATAATATATTATTATAGATCATCCATCTAGATCTAATCACTATTTAAAAACTTCGATAGATGTTCATGAAATAAACAAATCTAAAAAATCTGTTACTTCTCATCAAAGAATTAAAACAGAAATGGATAAACCTAATGACTTTAATAAACGATTTTATCCAAATGAGATCTAAATGTTTTTAAGTAATATTTGAGGTTGATATGATAGATTAGGTTGATATTTAGAAGAACAAATTGAATTTGTTAAATAAGATTGTAAATAATAAAGTTAATCGATTGAAAGCAGTTAAAGTTAATTAAAGAAGGTTTCTTCCCTATAATATATATAGTTTATAGAGAAATCTATGATTGCAATCATTCCAAATAATCTAGTTAACCGAATCTTTAAGATTAAATTATGAAAAAGACCAACAATTATTTAAGTATTAAATATTGTTAATATTAGGAAACAACAACAATGGATAGTTAACTCCAAATAATATTGATGAGAATCCTTAATTTAATTACTTCTAACATAAAATAGAATATCGAAATCGAAGAAGTAATTATATAAGATCAGATGATGTAACACCTTTAAGAAGATCTGTATTTTAATAGATTCAAGATTATAGTGATACTAAATTTGAGTATAAAAATAAATTAATTTATTATAGTTAAATAAATGTAACAAAGGAAGAAGATGTAATGCAATTTTCATTTGGATTGCAGTATAATAAATTGAGAGTACTAAAAAGATTTCCTAAAGATATATTTTATGGTGATGTTCGTAAAGCTAAGAAAAATCTACAAATGATATGAAAATTTATTCATATAATTATATATGATTAGAATTATTAAAATGAATAAAATATACAGAAAACATCGAAAAACCCAATATATCAATAACTTCAGCAATATTAAAACAAATCTGTGAAATAAAATCAAAGAAAATTCAAATTCTTTAGAATTAGTAAATTATCAATTCGTAGTTGAAAACTAAATTATTTTTCATTCAGGTTTAAATTCAATGTTGAATGCAAATATTGGGTCTACTTCAACATTTTTTAGAAATTTTGTGAATAGATTGCTTATTCAAAATTAACCACTCAATTTATGAATTGAATTAGATAGCAGCTTTTTTTTAAATTCTAACACACGATAGGTTACTTTAATGATTATGTTCATAATATCCTTATGTTGTATTTAAATGACATCATTCAGTCAAGTTCATACGAAGCTACATGATAGAAAGCAATTTATAGAGTTCTGAATTTTATAATTTGGGTGTGGTTTTAAGTGATTTATAATTCAATAGAAGACTGAAGAATATGAAAATTATTTTGAAATTAATAAAAGAAAGGGTGAGATTTGCATCATTTATATGAAATATTAGAAGTTTTTGTATTTTTATTTATTTGGAATAAAGTGTCAGTACTTTTGTTGATATTTTTATTGGGTAATTATTTTCAAATGAAAGATATTTAAGAAATGTTTATATATTTAGTTGACATTTAATTAGATTAATATGGTGCAATATTTTAGGCATTTTTTATAAGGACTTAGAATTTAATTTGTACAAAGGTAGAAGAAATAATAGAAATGATAAAATGTAAAATTTGATATCAATCTAATTAGTTTAAAGTTTGCGATATTTTTCATAATAAGCTAATAGAAGAGATTAACTTGATTATATTTGGAATAATCCAATTTTTTGAACATAAAATATTAAGAAGGTGAATAAATAATATATCAATAGTAAATAAATTCTCAATTATAATAGTGATAGGTAATAATATCTCTATTTATTATGGAAATAAGTTGAGATCTATAGATGATAATATACATATAAGTAATTACTATAATAAATTGTTTAAAGAGTTAATAGAAATTAGGTCTTGAAATGTGAAATTTAAAGAAAGTGATGTATTTTCTTAATAAATTACAATATTATGCAATATTAATTTATAATATGCAATATAATATATATAAATATGTCAACAGAATTATTACTTTTGTGACATCATTAATTTAAATAGATGAGATTGTTATTATCTTTGCTACTTCTTGTTGTAGTAATAAATTGTAAGACTAAAGATGAATGGAAGAGTAGATCAGTTTATTAATTACTAACTGATAGATTTGCTACAAGTCAAGGAAAATCAACTTCATGTAATTTAGGTAATTATTGTGGTGGGGATTACAAAGGAATGATCTAATAACTTGATTATATTTAAAGTAAATATTATAATAATATTTATAGATTTGGGATTTGATGCTATATGGATTACACCTGTAGTTGATAATTATAATGGTGGATATCATGGATATTGGGCCAGGAATATGTATGATGTAAATCATAATTTTGGTTCGGCTGATGATTTGAAAGCTCTTGTTAATGCTTGTCATTAAAGAGATATATGGGTTATGGTAGATGTTGTTGCCAATCATGTAAAATTATATAATTATAATATAGATGGGAAATACAAATCTTGATTTCTCTTAAAATTATCCTTTCAATCAATCTTCTCATTATCATGACTGGTGTGATATTACAGATAATGATTTTAATTCACATAATCTTTATAATATTGAAAGATGTAGATTAGCAGGTCTTGCAGATCTTAATTAAGATAATTAATTTGTTACTGAATAATTAACATAATGGATAAGATGGCTCGTTTAAGAATTTAAATTTGATGGAATTAGAATTGATACTCTTATGATGGTTAAAACTGATTTCTGGTATAAATTTTCTAGTGCTGCTGGTGTTTATACTGTTGGAGAAGTTTTTGATGGTGATATGAATTTCTTAAGATAATTTGTTGGACCTGTAGATGCTCTTTTGAATTATCCTCTCTTTTATACTGCTAGAGATGTTTTCCTTCATTGGAGAGATATGAATACATTTGAAAATTATTATAATAGTCTTATGAATTCTTGGGGTAAATAAAATATTCAATATGCTGGTAATTTCAATGATAATCATGATAATGCAAGATTCTTAAATGATTAAGTATAAGGATATATTCCTGATGAAGTCTTTTTAAGTGATAAACCTCATCTAACTTTTTCTGCTTTGAAAAAACTCTAATTTAAAGCTATAACTGCCTTTTGTTTAACTTCAGTAGGAATTCCTATGATTTATTATGGTAGTGAATAACTCTATGCTGGTGGTAATGATCCATAAAATAGAGAAGTTTTATGGGGTAACTTAGATTAGTAATAATTCTTTATTTTATTCATAGATAATCTGAGATGTATAAATTTATTCAAGCCATCAATTTTGCTCGTAAAAGTACCAATGCAGGAAATTAAGAATAAATTCAAAGATACTCTGATTCTGAAATTTATGCTTTTACTAGAGGTACTTTGTTTGCAGCATTCTCAAGTAAATATGATAGATAAGTTGTTAAAACTATCACTTATCATCCATATTCTGAAGGTAATCTATTTTTATTAATTTGCTTTTAGGTACCACAATTTGTAATATTTTCTATCCAACATCAGATTGTATTAAAATTACCAATGGTAAGTTTACCCTATATTTAAATTACGGAGAAGTCAAGATTTTTATTCCCAAATGATTTTCATACATTATTAACAAAATATAAATTTTACCCAATTTTTTAGTGAAATTAATTATTAATAAATTTATTGTTAAAATTAGATGGACAATCCAATTAAGCTAAGTTAACTCAACTCTTCTTCAGAATAAAAGGAAATTGTTGATAAATTCTTCAAGATTCCAATTCAATAAATATAAAAACTTCATTAGAAATCCTAATCTAAATCTGATGTGATTAATGAATTGCGCCAAGAAAATTATGATTTAAAAAATACAGTTAATGAATTAAAATAGAAGATTCAAGAATTAGAATAACAATTACTAAATTAATAAAATAATAAAATTGAAGAAGAAAATTAAGAAAAAGTTTCTGTTGACAAATCGTAAAATGAATTATAGGAAGAAATGACAGAAGAAGAAAAATCAATTCACTTAGCATTTATGTTACAATAATAAGAAGAGATGGAATTTCAAAATCGTTTAGCTTAGTATTTATTTATATATATACAATATTCTAGAATGCAAAATAATGTAGATCTTGATGAAATGAGTTATGAACAATTACAAGAATTATAAGAAAAGATGGGATTTGTAAGTAGAGGCTTACTTACAAATTAGATTAAATCACTTTTAATATAATGTAAAATATAAAAGTAAATAAATGATTGGTAAATTAAATGTTTTATATATATTTTAGTTGTACAATTTGTTTAGAAGATAGTGGAAATCCTGTTGAAATACAATTAGAATGTGGCCATGTATTCCATTAAGAATGCATTTCAGAATGGCTCTCAAGAGAAAAGCATTGTCCTGTATGTAAAAGAGACATAAATCTTAATAAATTCAAATGATGTATAATTTACTTATTTGCTGTGAAATTATTATAATTATCAATTTATTAACAATAAAAAAGGAATTCCAATTATTGTCTCACTAGAATTTCAGTTTATTCAGATTAAGTAATTAATTAATTTTAAAAGTTTAGTATTGAGAAGTTTGGATAAGATCTTCTATATTTAATTTATTTGATAAGAATCAGAAGAGGATGGAAAGCGAAAGGAAAGAATGTTTACAATATGAATAAATAATATATAATAATATATTATTCACAAAAACGAATAATGTAAGATCGAGATGAATTGTAAGGTTCCGAATCAGAAATCGGAAGAAAATAGGAGGAGATTTTGTTTAAGTGTATACGCATATGCATAGCATTGTCGATATATATAATTTTGCAATTCTTAGCAATTCGAATTGAATATTAGATCAAATGGATTATTATTGGATTGATATTTTTCATATGCGATACTATCATTTGGATCTTAACCAGTAAATGGCTATGTATTTAAAAATTATTTTACTAGATTAATAGCAATATCCAAGAATAGCCAAAGTATTTTTAGCAATAGCCTAAAATTCTACTCTGGGATTATTGCCTATTTTTATAATCCTACTCTGTTTATAACTTGATGGAATCATAAATCAGAATCCTATTCTAATTGTTTTACCTTTATTTGTTTGGAAAATTTTATTATTATCCTTCCTGATTTTTATTATACCTGGACTATGTGATGATAATTATGGATCCAAAAAATGGGTAGTAGTCATTATAATCTATTATGTTTGTGTCATTTACACTGAAATTACAGCATTAATTTAGTTATAATAACATTTTAATTGGTTTTGGGTTACTTCATTATTGTTATTTGCCTTATTCTACAATATTATCACACTAATTACAGATTGTACATTTACTGGAATATGGCCTTGCTTCATTTTAGTATGTTTCATATATTGTTTAACACAATTAACAATTATTTTAAATGATATAAACAGCGACTAATAACCATCAAAATCTAGATAATATTAAGCAATCATACCAATCCTAATAATTAGTCTAGCTAATTTAATCAAATAAATAATTGTTTGAATTAATTATATTAATATATATTTATTAAATATCAAATCTTATAAAACTATTAAATAGTTGGATTTTTGATTCTATTATTTTCCATTGTCTCTAACAATAATATTAATTTTTTTCCTTAATTTTCTAAAACTATACTGCAAATAAAATGACCCAAAATGTCAATAACATATATATGTTGGGAGGAATATTCAAAGTCTTTCCTTTTGATAAATTATGAAGTAAATCCATAATCAATAAATATTGAATCACCTTTAAAAGGCAATTCTTCTTAGACTCTATCTTTCTCTTCATATTTAATCTCATTCATTAACTCTGGATGATCAAAAGCTACATTTCTAATAAAATAAATATTTTCAAATTTCTTTGATCTTAAATAATCACTTATTTCAAAATTAGCAACCCAATCTTTCATGTAATTATTAGCATCTTTAGAGTTCGAATTTAACCATTAGCTCTCTTAAATATATTTTTTTCTATTATTTTAAATATATATCATTGCATCCTGTATATATTTTCTTCTTAATTATGAGTTTTTTCNAATATCCAAGAATAGCCAAAGTATTTTTAGCAATAGCCTAAAATTCTACTCTGGGATTATTGCCTATTTTTATAATCCTACTCTGTTTATAACTTGATGGAATCATAAATCAGAATCCTATTCTAATTGTTTTACCTTTATTTGTTTGGAAAATTTTATTATTATCCTTCCTGATTTTTATTATACCTGGACTATGTGATGATAATTATGGATCCAAAAAATGGGTAGTAGTCATTATAATCTATTATGTTTGTGTCATTTACACTGAAATTACAGCATTAATTTAGTTATAATAACATTTTAATTGGTTTTGGGTTACTTCATTATTGTTATTTGCCTTATTCTACAATATTATCACACTAATTACAGATTGTACATTTACTGGAATATGGCCTTGCTTCATTTTAGTATGTTTCATATATTGTTTAACACAATTAACAATTATTTTAAATGATATAAACAGCGACTAATAACCATCAAAATCTAGATAATATTAAGCAATCATACCAATCCTAATAATTAGTCTAGCTAATTTAATCAAATAAATAATTGTTTGAATTAATTATATTAATATATATTTATTAAATATCAAATCTTATAAAACTATTAAATAGTTGGATTTTTGATTCTATTATTTTCCATTGTCTCTAACAATAATATTAATTTTTTTCCTTAATTTTCTAAAACTATACTGCAAATAAAATGACCCAAAATGTCAATAACATATATATGTTGGGAGGAATATTCAAAGTCTTTCCTTTTGATAAATTATGAAGTAAATCCATAATCAATAAATATTGAATCACCTTTAAAAGGCAATTCTTCTTAGACTCTATCTTTCTCTTCATATTTAATCTCATTCATTAACTCTGGATGATCAAAAGCTACATTTCTAATAAAATAAATATTTTCAAATTTCTTTGATCTTAAATAATCACTTATTTCAAAATTAGCAACCCAATCTTTCATGTAATTATTAGCATCTTTAGAGTTCGAATTTAACCATTAGCTCTCTTAAATATATTTTTTTCTATTATTTTAAATATATATCATTGCATCCTGTATATATTTTCTTCTTAATTATGAGTTTTTTCTTAAGTGCTGAATAGCTTAGACATATCCTACTTAAGGGCCTATTTATTTTAAAGCAATGGCATTTGCAACTGAAGTGTATCCACATATGCTTTAAGTTGTAGTAAATTTTTCTATTAAATCTGAATATTCCTCAGAAAATTAATTATATAGGTAAATTTATCCAATCGCAGTGTTTTCATCCTTAAGTATAATATCATTTGGATTGATTATTTCTTTAAATTGATTTAAAAATTGTTGCATTAAGATGTTTTCTCTATCTAAAAAAATTAAAAATTATTATTTAAGAGAATATAAGTTAAATAATAAAAAATTCTGATTGATACCATAAATTGAATAGAAATTATTTTTAGAAAAAAATAAAATTCAAACCTGAAATTTGGATTTACAATTAAGATATTTTGGAACATCAGCAAATTTTGATGGTAAATCATATGCAGCAGGTCCTGGACTATTATTGATATTTTAAATAGGTTTTCTTTTATTAGATTTTCCAAAACCCCAACTAGGCCCCATTAAAATGTTTTTATATTCATATGTACCAGGTCCCGGTATTTTATCAGAAGATTAAGCTTTAGTTTATTTAATATCTTTAACAATTTTGACAGATCCCTCGTAAGAATAACATAATTTATCTTCTGGATTATAAGTTCCTAAAATAAATATATAATGAAACCTGGTCCAGGAATAGCTTAAGGTCGACTTTGAACTTTAGCACCTTTGAGTGTTATATTACCTAATTTTTAAGGTGGTATATCATAAGTTCCTGGTCCTGGTGGGAACTATGTTTCATTTTCAACCATAGAATTTCTATTTGCTTTACTTAAACTGTAACAAGGTTATGTTTTTTTACTTTTAGAATCATAATTTCTAAGATTAAAATAATAACAATTATATATACTCTGAATAATACTTTCCAGGTCCAGGATCTAAATTTATTTTTTGTTATTTTATCCTAGGTTCTTTTCCCATTTTAAAAACAGGTAATGTAGTTTTGGTGAATGATACATCAGGTGAATATTTTCCTGGTCCTGGTATTGATATATCACATTCTTAAGTTTTGAGTTTTGGTTTAAGTGTGAAACTTTATTATGTCAATGTACTTTTCAATTCATACATTCCTGGACCAGGAGAACTCATATCTAATGATTAATGAATTTTAAAGTTATTTTTTGATCCAAAACCCCAGGAAGGTTATGATTTATGAGGTGAAAATTTGCTATGATTTGTAAGATTGTATTCTAAAATAATTAATAAGATTTACATCCTGGTCCAGGGGAATTAGAGCTGTCATCCATTGTATTTAATCTTTTTTCAATTGGAAATTTACTTGAATTAGTTGTTAAATAAGTCTAATTCATATCGTAAGTTCCAGGACCTGGAACAAAATTTTTAATTATTTTATCAATCTTTACACCCATACTATAGGATGGGATACGTTTTTATACTGTTTAGAATGAATCTTCTTTGTAATTACCTGGACCTGGAGATTATGAGACAACTTTCTCTTTTAATCTTCCTTTAATTGTACAACATGGTACACCATATAGTGAAGATTTTTAAGGATATTAACCAGGTCCAGGAGTAAATGATTTTATTCTTACTTCTCTCTTTCCTTGTCCTCCTATTCTATTAATTTAAAAAAAAATTATACGTCCATTAAGGAGATGTAGCTTGGTTATTTATAGAATAAGCATTTGGAGCAGGAACAAAGTTTTTATTTGTACTGTCTCTTTTTGCGGTTCCAATAGAAAAAGCTGATACCATAAAAAAAAAGTTAGTAAAATTATATTATAATTAATTAGACATTTATTTTATGTTAGATTGAATGACTTAATAAGTTTATATTATTTTCTTTGATTTCTATAACCAAAAGAGAAACATCTAAAATTCATTTGAATGCAAAAGTCAACATTTCATATAAATTCAATCAAAATACCAAGAAAAAACAACTAACTCTTTATAATCAATTTCTTTAAAAAAATCATAGTTGCCATCTAAAATCCTATACATATTAAATTCTTAATTATTCATCAAATTTGATTTAAAATAACTTATTTGAAAGAATTTTGTTAACTAAACTTTGATAGGAGAGAATTAAGATAGAATTTATAAAGAAATATAGGAGTTTGAATTTTTAGAATACGGATATTAAAAATAATAAATTGACAAATAATAAAATTTATAAATAAATTTTTTCAGAATATTAAATAAGGGTTAAAAGAGTTTTAGAATACTCTTTAAAGTTGAAAAAATATATTATAAGATAAATTTAATAATGATGATTATCCTCATAAATAACAAAGTTGCTATATTAAATTTAAAATGAGTTTAGGAAAAAAATTAATTTATCTATAACATAGGTTTCCATTAAAATCAAAATGTTGTAATTTTGGATATGCTCATAAAATATAATAAAATTAAATATGAGTGATATTAATAGAATTTGAATTAGACTTATGAATTATGTAGAGAATAAGAAAAATATTTTTGTTGTAAATAAATTAAATTAAGAATTTAAAGAGAATACCAAAAATGAATATTCTTGTATAGAGTAGAGTATATAGTAGCGATTTAAAAAATGATAATAATTGACTCGGATTGCTAAATTGATTAACAATTAAATAGTAATTAAATATTATATATATAAAAATTGTAATGGGTGGTTGTGGATCACGAGAAAAAGAGTTGAGAGAGAAGGTAGGATTCTCTTAAAGTGATTATGATTATGCACTTAAAAAATTTAGTAAGATGACAAAACAAAAACCAGGGTATTTATAATTTTAATAATAGGAAAACAGAAGAATATTTTAGTTTTGAAGGGTTTAAGTAATATTTTACAGAGAATCCAGTGTTAGCCTAAAAGCTGTATATTTTTATGAGAAACTATGGAGGTTAAAATTATGTAGATTGTCATACATTTCTCACAGTTGGTATAGAGAAATATATATTTTAGTTGATCTATTTACCAGGGTTTCAATGAAATTATAGAGTTAATTGAAAAACTTAGATATTTATACATTATTCACTTTGGTTTCTTTATCAAGTCCTGACATAATGTAAAGAGATTCATTCAATTTAAATAATGTTTATAAGATAAGTGTTAGCTATTCAAATGCAGTAAAGTTATTTAAAGTAAATAAATGTGATAGAATTTTTAGGAACTTATTAACATGCAAAGCGATAAAGGAGATATTTTATGTCATGATGATGATCAAGCACCAATTTTAATTATAAACAACATTTTTGAAAGTAAATTAATTTAATAGTAAATTTAGATCATTCATTATTGAATTATAAAGCATTTAATGATAAAATTAAGTCAGAAACTCCACTTATATCAAAGGTTGTTAAAAATTATATTGCAGGCAAATTTGTTAATAAAACCTTGAGAAATCAATTACCTATTCTAAAACCAAGTGAGCTTATGAATAAATAACTAGTAGGTATCAAGAATTATTAAAATAAATTAAGCATTACTTAATTTAAGTGTACCTTGGTTTTCTAAATGTATAGCTATTAATAGAATTTACAATTATGATATAGATTCTGGATAACAATATAATTTTAATATCTTAGGAAATTCCTTACTTTAAGCAAAAGGACCAAATATGATTTTATTTAGACATTGTTAAAAAGATAAAGATGGAGATAAATAAGATAAATATGTATTTGGATATTTTTCTCCTTCATAATGGAGAGTTTCCCCAGATATTTCAGGAAATAAAGGATCTTTTATATTCTCTATCCATCCTAAATTCAAAATCTTTTCAACAAATGGTTAATAATAAAGTAAATTTGCTTTGTTAGTACCAATAATAACAAAAAGATAAAGTTAAACACTTCATTCACCTCTTAAATAAGGCCCAAAATAACCTGGTTTAGGTATAGGAGGAAGTGGTTATGATCATCATAGAATTTGGATAGATGGAAAATAATTATAAGCAAGTAGGCTTGTTGATGAAGATAAAACATTTTAAAGTGGTTCTATATTACCTGATGATATTCATTTACTCAATGTAAGTTGATAAATTTTCATAAATTATTTTAGATCGACTTAATTGAAATATGGGATCTCTAATTAAGTACTGTAGCTTAAGGTACTTCTTATTTTAAATCTACATCTCATCAAGTTTATTTTGGCCAAGATGAAAAAACAATTAATTAAAATCAATTAAGAGATCTAATAATTACCTTAAATTAACAATAAGGAAGAAATGACTATGTATTATTTTTTTTTATAATTTATAGAGAAGAGATACAAAAGAATTTTAGACAAGTAATCCGTTACTTCCAATTAATGAAGAGGAAGAAGAAAAACAATAACCAAAATGATATTTATATTATATAATTAAAATATAATTTATGGAATCACCAGTCTTATCCAAACAATTAGAATTATCAGAATTGAAATAGATCATCAAAAATAGATTTTCTTTTGATAGAAGAAAAGTAATATTCTTTACTTTAAACTCTTGTTTGTTGGGATTGGCAGTATTTAGTTTATTTTCAGCGATCACTCTTGAAAGCAATTCATAAATATTTAGAATAAGAACTTATTTGACAGATTAAAATCTGTCGAATAGAGAATAAGCCAGAAAATTAGAAACTATATTGATTCCTTAAAATATTGCTCAATTATGTACAATTGTTGCCTCCATTATTGGTTATTATGGAATTTATTAAAAATCCTAAAAAGTATTTACAATTTGAATGTCTTTAGATTTTACATCTTTTTCCTATCAGTTTAGGTATTAGTTTAGCTTTCAGAACCATAGCTACTATAGTAATTATCTCATATTTTAATACAATATAATCAGTATAAAATTATGAAAAAATTATAGGTATTTGAAGAAGAGGTAGGAACTTTTATAACTTTACAAATTTTATTTTTGGCATTTAATTGGTTGTTTTGTGTTTTTGCTTATTAACAGTTTAAGAAAGCTTAAGTTGAATATCATATAGTCACTAAAGATAGAGAGAGATTGATTATGGATAATAATATGGCATATGAATTAATAAAGAAGATTATAAAAAATTGATGATTGTATTATAATACATATACGGATTAATATTTTACATAAATTCACGACTTATTAAAATAGAAATAATCTTAAGGCTTAACTATTTTATTTAAAATATCACCTATTTCAGATAGATATTTAATTTTCTCTTGTAGATTTGATCTCAAAATTTATGCATATGCATGTTTCTAAAAAAATTCGATTGATAAAAGTTTAAAAAGAGATTTAAAAATATCCTAAATTCTTTGAGTACTGGATTAATTAATATAACATAGCATAAGCATTTCTTCTAATGCTTTAACTTCAATAGAATTGATCCATGCCCAAAAATGAGGTAATAAGTTTTGATTGTCAGTAAAATAAAGTTTTACTTTTTCTATTGAAGTTGTATCTTCAGTAATAAATTTCATTTGACTCTTAATTAAATATGACTTTATTAAAAAGTCTTCATTATTATCTTAAGGCTTTTGAGTTCCTTGTTTTTAATATTAAATTTAAGTTATTAGATTATTTACAGCCTATGACTGTTCTTGATTAACCATTTTAGATTCCCCTATTTAATTCAAAATCTTATTAGATTAAGCTTATTAAATAAGCTACTATAAAAAACTTAAAGGTATTGTAACAGCTGGGGTGAAACTTTTTTAAAATTAGAATTATAAATTAAGTTATGGATATTTAGTTGTTTAGTTTTAAGATCCACTTTATTCATGCTAATTTTACACAATTCTTATTGGAGCAACTTTTACTGTTTTTTTAGTTTCTTGATATGGTTCAAAACTCATAAAACTAGATTTTATAATTTGTGTATTTACTTTTTTAAATAATATTTTATATATAAAATATTTACATAATTAATGTATAGAGAGATTCAAATGTAGAAAATATTAAACAACAACTATTTACTTGGGGTTTTCTTTTTTATAATCTGTGTCTACATATGGATGGTTTGCTTAACATTAATATACCCTTACTCAACTGAAAATACCTAAATCGTACTAATACTTTGGATTCCATTACAGCTATTTTATATTATGGTTGTATGGTCAATGATTAGATGTATTATTAGCGACCCTGGCAAAGTATTTATTATATAGATTTCAGGTTCCCATTTATTGGGGAGTTTTGTTAGATGATTAAGAATAAAAGAAAAGACGATATTGTTTAATTTGTCATATTTTTAAACCAGAACGTTGTCATCATTGCTCAACGTAATTAATTTATTAATATTTAAAAAGTTGTCAGAGATGTGTTTTAAATATGGATCATCATTGTCCTTGGATAGGAAATTGCGTGGGATATCAAAATCGCAAGTTTTTTATTTTATTTCTTCTCTATATAAATTTGTCCGTATTGTTTAGCATTGCTATTGCAAGTTTACGAGTTTATCCTATAATTATGGATCTTATATTTATAGATTGGAAACTATTAATCGAAAACAAAATAGTTATCCCTACTCTTTTACTGTAACTTATTCAAACATAATAGAGAAATAATAATTATTGTATTTGGAGGGGTTATATCCAATTTCTTTGTATTTCATTTAGATTTAGTTTCAACCAATAAAACAACTATAGACACTTTAGAAGTAAGAAGAAATGGAAATCCTACTTAAACTCCTTTGAATGTTTATGACATTGGGTAAAAATTAATATAAAAATTCAGTATTAAAGAAAATTGGTTATAAGTAATGGGAACTAACCCTTGGTTATGGCCATTTCCGATGTTTGGAGAAAGTGGAAGACCAAAAGGTGATGGGGTTAAATGGGAACGTAATTAAAATTAATTAACAATGACTGAACAAAATGTTACACACAGAACTTAAACAAACTAAAATTAAAGAAGCGAAATGACTTAACCTTAATAAAGAGTGTGAAAAATGATAATTAATATAAATATTAATATTCCCAACCTTAAACTTTTATTTTCTTATTTGTATGTAATTTACAAAATTTGAAAGCTTTTCTATTTGAATATAAATTTTTATTTCAAATGTACCAAAAATAAAATCAGTTAATAAGTTTCTTAGTGTTTTGAATTTACTTAAGATTATTTTAATAGGTAAGGTAAAAATAATAAACCGATAACTCCAATAGAAAATCATAAAAATAATAAATAAAGAAATGGATAAATTGTTATAAGATACAGATTTTAGTACTTTTGAAATAAATTATTCATATTAAACGAATAAGCAATCTTAATTTAAGAATTTTTTAATTTTTAACAAAATTAGTAATTAAAAAATTTAGATCTCATTGATAAATATCAAACAGGTCTATCAAATTAAACAAAATATTTCAAGAATATGGAAATAATTCAAAAAAATTGTACCAATATAAAAAAGTGTTTAAATTTTATAAGAGATTTTTTAGATAGGTATTATTAAAAAAACAAACTATATTTTTTTTAATATAAAAGGGTTCAATTAAATTAATTAAAATTGTTATTTTTATTATTCTATAAATAAAAATTATATTTAACTGAATTCTAAAGCAGAAAATTTTACTTTTTAGTATATATTTACAATTGATTTTTTTGATTAAATACTCTATTATGTTGTTAGATATTGGAAAACTTTGAGATTTTTTATAAAATCTTAAAAATTTTAACAATTAACTATTTATTTTATAAATAAAATTGCTTAAGCATAACAAATAATATGTTATGTTATTATGATTTATTATTAAATGATTTTATTATAGTAGTTATTTTGATTCATAAATTCAAATCTTGTATAATTGGTAATTTTAATTAGGTGGGTAATTTGATTTTAGAGGTGCTAATTATTGCTTGTTTTGCAATAGATTTAAGCAAGATTGTTGTCAGTATAGTTTCGGACACTTATCTATATTTGTAAGTCTTTTAAGTATATTTAATTTATTTTAATTTTATTATCTATTTATCTTTATTAATAATTAGATTATGAATAAATTACAAATATATATTTAAAATAATCATCAATTTTAATAGTACTGTAGATAATATTGAAAGATAAGATAAAGAAAATAATTTTCTTAAATTGAATGTATGAATTAAAATTTTTTAAAATTCAAAAAAAATTAGATTTAAAATAAGCTAATTTTAACAAGAAATATGGAAAAAATTATTTTAATTTTTTTTGATGATTTATCAAAAAAAATTTATTAATTATATTAGTATTTAAAATATGTATTAAATATGAATTATCATTCTTAATCAAAGAAAATTGTGTAGGATATTTAAATTACGAACATTTTTATTGTTGCTATTATTGTAGAAGTATATCTAAAGATGAGATATAAATAAATTGGAAATTTTTTTATGAAAATTTTGTATTTATAGCTACTCTTTTTTTTTAAGAATTTGAAGCATAATATATATGTTTTTTTTGTTTGTAGTGGATTGGTTGCATATAAATTTTATTCTTTTTCTTTTGTTTAAGTTTGGTTTAATAAAAAAATAACCAATTAGTCTGAAGTATGTGGAAATGAACATGATTTGGTGTATAGTAATGAATCAATTGAAAGTTTGAAACTCAAAATGTATTATAATATGGGAACTAAACCTTGGCTATAAGTATTTCTTAAGTTTGGAGTGAGAGAAAGAGTAAAAATAGGATTGAATAAGATAGGAGTATATGAAAATAGAGAGAAGTTAAAAATGAAGAATGGGTGCGAAAAATAATAATTAATAAAAAAATATATTAATATTTCCCACCTTTTAATTTGTATTTAATTAATAAAAATGGAGGATAATTAAGTAAACGACTAAGTGATAAAATAGTTATTATATTCAAAAAAGGTATATATTGGTAGGATTAATAGTATAAAGAATTAGTAGATAAGGCTACAGAATTAGGATTGGTGAAATAGTACTCGAAAATGAAATATGACGGAATAATATATTCAATCGGTTAGATAGTATAATTATCAGTGGATGGGAATAGGGATAAGAAAACTTATGGGAAGTTAGTAGGATTTTGCAATTTGTAAGTGGATGAATATCTGATTCCAATGATAAAGGTGTAAAAGTACATAAATAAATTGGAATTGCCTCAAAAATTGAAGGAGTTATAAGATGGATTAAGTGAGTTTGAATTGTTTTAGTCTGAGATAGAGGAATGGTTGTTTTGCACATAGATTGATCATGAGATAAAATTGATATCAATAAGAGAATATGAAGAAATGACAATTTAGAATGAGAGAACATATTTTACAAGAGCTGATTATAATGTGGAAAAGGATAAATTTAGTCCTCCTATATCAAAATGGGGGAGGATATGTATTTGTAATTAAATATCGAATCCTGATAAATCATATGTTTAATGTGATAAATGTTAAAAATGGTTACATTATGAATGTGCGGGGGTTTAAGGTTAATTGGCTTAAGATTAAAATTTTTATTGTTTAATGTGTAGAAAGAAATGATTGGAAGATTGTAATGAATAAATATCTATAATTAATTTTGTAATTATTATCTAAATAAATATCATTTTGAATATAAGTCCATAATATTGATGGTTCCATTTGGTTTGAGTGGTTGTGATTGTTATGTTTATTAAGAATGAAATTAGGATGGTTATTATTAAGACTAATAGAAATGTTATTATTAATAATGAGTTTATTAATTATAATATCCATTATTTCCTAAATTAGACAAATAAGCATAGTTTGAATTTTTATTAGGTATAATCTATTAAGACTACTATGTTTATTAAGATTCTGATTTATAAAGTGTAAGTATGTCTAGAGAAGGTAGTGAATGAATGGGTTGATTTGTATTAGGAGTTGATTGTATAAATTCTATGAAATCCTTTTCAGGTGATAAAGAACGAGTAGTACCCTAATGAGTATTTTATCCTTAGACATCTTATGTTTCTACAACTGGTTTTTTAACGCCAAAGAAGTCATCATCAAGATCAATTAAATCACCTAATTTAACTTTAGGTTCTTCAACTTTAATTTCTGTTTAATTGAAATAGAATGGTTTAACTGTTCTATTATAATAATATAATATATCAATTACGTTTTGGTAAGAATATATTATTATTTAGGATCAGGACAGCTTATTTAAGGTATGAATCTTTTCTTTACATATTTTTCTTAAACAAATCGAATTAATGAATCTAAACCAGTATTGATTGTAGGTTTACTATAGTATATATAAATTTAATCATTTACATAAAATCTTTTGGCATTTTATTTTCCCAATATGAATTTGCTGTGCCATTTCCTATAGATTCCATAATATCTATATTTTCTTAATACCAACCATCAATATTTGTAGATCTTACTCTAGTAACACTAGGACCTAATGTTCGATGAGCACCTAAAAACTTTATATTAAATTAAACCTGCACAATCCATACAAATGAAAACTCCATAATCTAAACTCACCCATCTAGGTCCTTTTGTTGAACAATCAGCACAATTTAAATTTTCAGGTCTTTTCAAAATTAAAGCAAATATTTTCTCTTATGCTTTTGCTGGTATGTATTATTTATTCATTTTATTTGAAAATATATATTTCTATAAATATTTTAATGATTTTTTGATCTTATATGTTCTTATACATATTTCTCATTCTATTCAATGTCAAAATTATAATAATATCTATCTGATCTTAAAACTCATTAAGAAGAAGAAATTGAAATTTAAATTGATTATCCAAATAAACCAGATAATTCTGATGATTCTGAAGATGAATAGAATGAAATTCTTAATGAAATACTTAAATGTATGTAAAAAGGATTATCAGAAAAAGTCTTTGATTTTGATATTGGTAATTCAATCAGATTAATTGATGTTGATGATATGAATAAAAGTGCATTATATTTGGATGCTTTAGCTTGGCTCTATTCCAATAGAGTAGATAGAACCTATGTTGAAAGTCTTAAATTAAAAGTTAACTTATTGAGAGTTTATGATACTACTACTATACCTAATGTTCCTCCTCAAAAAAAAAATAAATAATTATAAACTTAATCATTAAATTAAAAAACTATTCATCTTAATAGAAATTTAGAACTTAAAGAAATTATTAAATATGGAGAATCTACTCTTGATTTTAAACCTTATATGCATTAATATGATACACTTTAAATTAATCCTTTCTTTAATTAAACAAGCAAATCTCTTGATATGTAAGATCTTACCACACTTATTATTTATAATCCTTAATTTGATGAAAATCTAGCTATTATTATTGATCCTGATTAACTATTAAAAGTTAATGAATAAAATAAGTAAATTCTAACAGGATTTATTAAATTAGAAATTGATACTTCTGTGCTTGATTATTCTAATTTAGTTTCTAAATAATTTAAAATGAGTTTTAATGAAGTTAATGATTTTAGAGAAAGATATAAATATTTACTTAATAAAAAAGATACTTAAACTGTTAAAATTGAAAAAAGTTAATAAATTGCAATCGATAAATTTATTAATGATTTTAGAGTTTATGATGAAAAATTAAAGTAAGCTTAATAAACAATAGATCAATAACAATAATCTTTATCCTAATTAAGTGTTGAAGAATAATAATTTTTAAGTTTGAATCAATAATATTAATAATAACTTAAAATTAATTCTAACGAATTAGAAAAAGATCAACAACCACTTTTCAATTAACAAATAGACTAATTAAATTATGATCCTTAAGTTTTATAATAAATAGATAATCCAAATTAAATAGGATTATAATAATTTGATGTTTAAAATTAAGATTAATAAATAAATTAGATAGATATTGAAGAATTCAATAATTAATTACCTGAATTTGTTCCAGATCCTTTTGGATTTCCAGATGATTAATAAAATGATCTTTAGAATCCTTAATAGACTGAGGAATAGAGATAATAGTAAATAGAATAATTTTAAATTTATTAAGAAAAGAAAAAGATTTTGTAGGAATAATTTTAAAAATAATAAAGAGAGGCAGCAGAAAAATAAACATAAATATAAGAAGAAATAAAATAATAACTTACTTATTAATAATAATTTCAAGATATATTTAATGATGTAAATGCACCTGTAGATGAATGGGATTTAGAATAAGAAGAAGAATTTGATTAAGATCTAGCACCTTATGAAGAATAATAATAAATATAAAAAAATAATAATTAATCATTGGCAATTTAATAATAGTAAATAAATGTTAAAAAAAAATAAAAGAAGGTATATCCAGACACTTTTAATTTTGATGATGCTATTGAATTAAATAGATTAATAGTATTAAATACAGTTGGAAATACTCAAAGAGATTTTGGATAAAGAGAATTAGTATTGAAATGTTTAGCTGATAATTGTTAAGATTTTGATTACTATAGATATTTTGAATATTTTACAAGAGAATATACTGGATTTTTGGAAGAAGAAGAATAATAATAATAAGTAGTTTAGATACCAGAACCAGAAAGTTTTGGATTGGATGAAATATAAATCTAAGATTAATTGGAAGTGACAAATTAAATGATTGAAATTTATTAAAATGATTTAGACTACTATTTATTACCTTTTAAAGTATAAGCTAATAATAATAATGAACCTATTACAATTAAATAATTATAAGTTATTTTGGAAAGAGTTATTGATGAAATTAAAGGTTAAGTTGAATTTCTCAAAATAGAAAAAACATTACCAATGATAATGAATGAAAAGATAAGCAAAAGTAAATTATTTGCAGCTTTACTTTTTGTTGCAAAAAATAGAGGATTCAAATTAGAATAGAAAAATAAATAATTTAAAGATATTATAATTATAAAAAAAGAATAAATTTAAACAATTGATCTTGACTAAGAAGAATAGAACCAAAATATAATATAAACAGATTTAGCTATGTAAATTGAAAGATGAGTATTTATGTAGCATACTTAAATTATATAATTAATTAATTAATTATTCAATCAATTAAAGAATTGAAATTCTTAAATTTTTAAAGTTAATTTATTTGAGAAATTTGAATTCCGAAATAATTAAATATATTATTAAGAAGTTAACAGCTCTTTTGAGTAACCTTCATTTCTGAAGAATCTTCAATTTACTAAACCATATTAATGATATCATCTACCTATATAAATAATCCCTCTATTAATTTAAAATAGAAATACCTTCTAAAATATATTACAATTATTCAATAATATATTAAGTTGTTATATCACTAAATTTGAATTGATCAACTAGATTCTAATGCCATATTCTTTATTCTTTATTTCTTAAAAAGAAATTGTGTCTAGCTTATTCAGCTACCTTTCTTAATTTTTGAATTTTCTCTTGTCTTTAATTTTAATTAACAGTTAAAGATCTTGATCTTAGACTAGAAGTCAAAGGACGATCTTTATGTAATGTAGAAACTAATTAAGTAAATTTATCATTGAATTTCATTCTAGTTGTATAGAAATCTATAATACTATAAATAAATATATTACCTTTACATTGTTTTACTAATTTAACTTCATTATTATTAATTTTCTCAATAAATTTTTGATTATATTATTATTTAACAACTTTTCGATTTTAAATGCCCATATAACCTTATTATCTAGAGAATTGAAGTTCAGGGAATTCTAATTTAGAATAAGCTTCATCATCATCACATGTAGTTACATCATTAATTTTTTAAGATATTCTTTCTAAAAAGGATTAAGGAGAAGCATTTCTTTAACTTTATTTCCTAGAGTAATTTTCATTTATTCTAGAATTTTGACATGTCTCTTTTGAATCCTCTTTTCTTAATCTAGCTAATGGTGTATAAGGTTTTAATAATTATCCATCAATCATTGATATTATATATTCTCTATGTCCTTTACTTGTAATTTATTTATTTATTTCAAAACTTTATTGCAATTTCTATATTGAACCTTAATTAATTCTAGCAATAAAAACCTCTCTCTAAGATTCTTTAATATCTTATTTATATTATGCTTTATCTGTTCTATTTATTCTTGATTTTTCTCTAATTTTAATTAGTTATGAAATATTACTTTTAGTATTATTATATACAATTATCAACTTCATTTTATTGAAGTGTAGATTCCTCTTTTCTTGGAGATGATTTAGTTGAATTGATTTAACTAATATTAGATTTAGATTTAGATTTATTTTTAAGTTTTCTTTTCATTTCTTTCAATTAAGATAAATTTAATTAATTCATATCTTAAAGTTTTGGAATATGATAATTAAAATTATCAATTCTAATTATAAATTAATGATTCATTACATTTATTGAAATTCATCAAATTGATTTCTACTTCTTTTGTATTAATCAAGAATCAATTTTTTTCTAAGATCTTAAATCAAATTTTAGTATTTTAATGCTCTTTCAGAATCAAAATTGTCTGGTTCTTAAAATAATTTTAATTTTAGTTCATATAATAATGTTAATGCTTCATCTAATATTTTTAATGGTATCTATTTCCATTCTGAAATTGATGATTATATTTTATCCAATATTATTTCATTTTTATTCACTTATTTTTTCCATTCATTAATTGTTTTTTATTTTTCTTCTAATTCTGCTGATTTAATCCGTTTCTATTTTTCTTTCTTATCATAAGTGTTACTATCAACTTAATCCACATAGTTTTCAAATATATTTAATAAAATCAACAATTAATTCAAATCAAGTTATTACTATTTATTTAAACCATGTTTATTATTCTGTACGAAAATCACTAGTTTCTTAAGATATTATAACTCTAATTTGATTTATGCTCTACATTCATCCAATTTTGATAATAAAATCCATTTTGTAGTTGTCTCTTTCTTAATTACTTTATAAACTTTTTAACAATCCTGTAAATCTTATAATCTTAAATCTCTTGCGTCATAATGTTCAAATAAATTTTTCTATATTTTATTAGCATCCTATAGATTATTTTCTTATTAATATCCATTTCTCAATCTAGAAACAATCTTTAAAGTTTAAGGTTTGATACCACTCATAGTAACTGAAATATTAAAATATTTATTATTTAATTATACTAAATGGACTCGTAGAAGTATATTTCTCCTTATGCAAAATTGTATTCAATATTTAATATATAGGTGGGAATAAAAAGAATGGCGAGAAGTACTTATTACAGAAATCAAAACAGATAATCCAAATGTGAAAATAACAAATAAAGCTATCATTGAATAATATTTTAAAAGATATATGATGCTTTAACCAACTGATAAATCTAATCTTCTTGTCTAACATCCTGGATTATTATAAGTATAGTACTTAATACAAAAAAGGTTGATAAAGATAAAATTGATAAAGTGACTAATGATACTATGTAGAGTTTAGTTAATGCTACTGCAGGTTGCACTGTGGCTTCACTATTTTTCTATAAATTACTATTGAGCAAAAGAAGAATTTTCTATGATTTCTATAGAAAGGGTAGATTCTCTTTCATTAAAAAGCCATTGTCAATATTAGTCTTATTCACAACTTGGGGTGGTGCCTTAGCTTATGGCTATAAGTAAACAATTCCATTTGAATTATTCAAATAAGGAATGTATAAAAAATATCTAATTGAGTATGATAAAGTATATTTATGAGACCATTTAATATATATTATGTTTATTTTAAACTCTTAAAAATCAAATATATTAATTATAAACTTAATTCTAAATGGAATGATTAAATCATTTTAATAACTTAAATATTGGCATATCTGTTGAAATTACTTATTAAAAATAATAAATGTCTATAATGGTTATCAAATAATCTATTGTTTCTTTATTAAAATTTTATAATTTATATATTGCCATTTTAAAAATAATATCCACATTCTTCATTATTATTCAAAATTAATTGTTTTCTATATAATTAATATTTTATATATTAGATTAAGTAATAACAATCATTATTTGTATTTTTAAATTTATATATAAATAAATTGGTTTTAGTATTATTATATTATTTAAATTAATCATCATATCATGTAAATTATAAATCCTTCTGTACTTAACTATATTAATTAAAAGTAATCTCAAAATGATATTTTTTTAATGAAGAATAATATTATGTTTTATTATACATTATTTCCATAAAATAATAGACTTTGTTAATTGGATGAGATAACTTAGAAATGATAATAATTAAATTATATATTAATTGAGATAAGATGGTATATTGATAAATTCCACGTATCTTAGGCATCTCTTTTGAATATGGTTTAAGGTTAACCAATAATAGAAGTTACATTAGATGGAATAGAGACTCGTAAACATACAAGATTTGTAGACAAATAATTAGGAGCATTGAAATTGCCAGTTTATAGTGTAATTAGATATGTAATTAGTAAATTTTAGGGTGATGATGATATCTCAGGTGTTGTAGAAGTGAAGATGAATAAATAGAAGAAAATAGAACATCTAGGTATAAGAATAGAATTGGTTGGACGTATAGGTAATTGTAAAATTGAATGATCAAGAAATTATTAATGATTAAAAACAAAGTTCCGATTTTATGTCAATGTCAAGAGAATTAGAGCCTTAAGGAATCTTATTTGAAGATAAAGCATATAAATTTCAATTTTAGAAGTTCGAAAAGCAAAATGAAAGTTATTATGGTAATACAGTGAGATTGAGATATTACTTAAAGATTTACATGACTAGAAGTTATGGTAAAGTATAAAAAGAAGTGGATTTTGCAGTTTTAATACCTTAACCAGAAATTGAAGAATAACCATAAACATCATTAAAATTAGAAGTAAAAATCAATGATAAAATAGGTTGGTATAGAGGAATGTTTACATATTGATTTTGAATATTTCAAGAGTAAGTATCATTTGAGAGATGTTGTGACAGGAAAAGTGAACTTTTATTTGGTTAAGATAAAAATAAAATATATGGAATTAGCAGTAATTAGAAAAGAATAATATGGTTAAGGACAATAATAATAAACAGATAATGAGACTTTAGTCAAATATGAATTAATGGATGGTTGTCCTTAAAAAGGAGAAGTGATTCCTATTAGATTGTATTTAAGTGGAGTTGATGTGACTCCATCAGTTAAGAATGTTAATGGTAAATTTAGTGTTAAATACATTCTAAATTTGATTTTAGTAGATGAAGATGATAGAAGATATTTTAAATAACAAGAAATAACAATTTATAGAAAGAAATGATTTATTAAATCATCATAAAATATTTAAACAAGTTATTTAATCATTAATATTATTTATAATCTAAGCAATTCTAATATTCAACTATTTCACTTAAAGATCTTAATCTTTAAATATGTTCTCTCTCTTTTTTGATCTATTCCTAAACTATTTTATCAATTTTTTCTGATAATCCACTATAAACCTATTCAGCTAAACTTAAGAGGAATCTTTTTGCATCCTCAATATTATTAGCTCTATAATAATGATATGAATTTTATTATTGAATAAATTAATATTATTATTGTTGTTGCTGCATCATTTGATATTGCAAATTTTTGAACTCTTAATACTCATTTGATATAATAGCTTCATTTGCATCTAAAAAAGAAGTATCCAAGTTAAATTCTTATGATAATTCTGTTGGACTTTATGAAAATCTATTGTTATGACTTTGAGTGGTAGTCACTTAATCTTTATTATTTATGTAAAACTATTGCAGAAAATGATATTATTTATTAATTCTTTGAAATTTCTCTTAATATCTTAAATTAGAACTTATTATAATCTAAATTTAACTCAAAATAATTATTAAATATTATATACTTCTAAATTCTAACAACGTCTTTCAAGTTCATTATTTGCGGTCTCAAAGGCTTTATTTAAAGTCATTTCTCTTTGATAATTCTTTTTCAATTCTTCTAGAGTCTTATTATACTAATTTAATTTCTCTAATAAATTTGCATCTGTTAGCTTTTTCATGTCTTAGATTTATTAAGTTTATCGTTTTGCATTCAACTCTTATATTATTATAGCTGAAGCAAGATTCAGTTTTGGAATATCCTTTGTAGCTTTAGACTTTTAATTTTCTATTGGAGCTTTTAGATTTTCTAATTTTATTGGTAATGGTGATGCTAGTGGAGAATTATCTATTGATGATAAAGCTTCTGATTCTGATGAATAATCATTTTAATCTTTTTTCATTGCATAAAGGATATTTTATTAGACTAATTAATATTATTTCATTATAGTTACATTTTATCAATTTTTATGGTTATAGATCTCTCTATTACTAATCTTATTAAAAAATATTATTTTCATTTGATGTAAGTGCTGAGTTTTTCATCTATATAAGGTTAGTAATCAATTTCTAATTTTAGAATTAAAAATTACTAGATTTAAGCCTTGCAATTATCTTTTTTCAGCTTCTATTTTTTTATTCTTTTTAATTTATAAAATCAAGAGTTCATTCAAAATTTCTATCTAATCATGAAATTCTTTTTTGATTTTGTTGATATCAGTAATTTATTTATATTTAATAAGAATACCAGATGATTCATCAAATTCTGGTTTTAAGAATTCTAATTTACTTAATTAGGATTCAGCCTTGTTCAAATTATTTAATAATGAAGTAATTTTGTTTTAGAGTGATAAAATTAATTCTTTTTCATGTCGTTATGCTTCTTCAGTAATTTATTAATTGATCAAGACCTAATTTTATGCTTGATTTCTTTCATATATAAGTTTCTCAATTTAAGAGTTCAATTTGGCATTTTCCTCTTAAAGATTTTTGAGTACCATTAATAAAGCTTTATTTGATTCTTCGTTATTTTAAGGAGTCATTATCTTTAATGCCTTTTTATTAAGTAAAAGAAGATTATTAAGCTCTCTAAGTTATTCTGTTAGTTGTTTGTTTTCTTATTTCAAATAATCAATAAGTTCTTAATGTTAATTGTTAGTAATATATTAATAAGTGTTTGTGGATTTCATAATAATAATAATAATAATGATAAAGAGTAAATGATGGTTTGTTCATTAAATAGTATTATCCAAAGAGCATTTGTATTTATAAAATATATGTATAATTCATATTATTTCTGCCTCTATTACAAACATATTGAATAATGCTAAAAATACACTATATTTAGCAACTTTTTCTTTAGATATAATCTTTAATCCTTCATCTCTGAGCATGAGTTCAAAATCTTTTTCATAAGTAATGCTTCCAAAATCTATTGTTGTAATGTATTTTAAATGAGGCTTAATTTTTTCGATTATCACTGTTTTATAGTTTTTGTATGGCTCTAAAGTCAATAAAAAAAAGATTGAACCACCCTTACTCAATCTCTATTTTGCTATTCTTAATGCTCTTATTCTATCTGGCATAATCATGAAAGATGAAGAGAAGATCAAAGCTTCATATTATTCTTTTGAGTTTTCTAAATCATAAAAATTTTATTCTCTAATCTCAACATTATCATATTATTTGAATGTTTGTCTAGCATATCTATATATATTAATCTTTTATTTTACCGCAAATAATTAGTATCAATATCTATCCCAACTACATGAATTCTTTAAGGAATCCTTTTTATGATTTATTTCATAGGATGTCCTGTACCTACTCCTACATCCAAAATTCTTTTTACATTTGCCATCTTTTTTTCCAATCTATCACACATCATTACATAAGTCCATCTAATTATTATTTCTTATTATACTTTGTGTAAAATCTGCTGTACAACAAGTTGTATATGTACACAGGTAGATAACTTAAAATATTGATCACTAATCCAATAATTCTTGCTATCATCTCTATTAAATTATTTTAAAAAGGTTGGACAATTCATATGAACATTTAATTGTCGATTTTATTACGCATAACACGTCATTTATATGCAATTATATAATAAAATTAAGATTAATTTCTTATTTATTCATTAATAATTAATATTCCATTCATTAAATATCTATAAGATTTTTTTATTTTTTTCATCACCTCCTTATATTAAATATCTATATTTATTTCATCAATTATTTATATTTATATTTATATTTACATTTACATTTACATTATACCCCCTTCATTGGTTATTAAGAATTAAAATTTTCAATGAAATGCTTTTATAGACTATTCTATAATTAAATTAAGTTAAGGAATTTGATTTGCCATATAATTATAAAATTCATTGCAAATTTATTCTCAAATGGGAGCTGCAGCTTGTAAAAAAGATGAAATTGAAATCAAAAATCTTTATTAACTTTATCTAAGAGTAAGTAAATAAAAACTACCTGATCAAATTGCTAGTGAATTACTTTCCATTCGTACAAGAATTATTAAAGATAAAGTACCTAAAGAATGCTAATTAATTTACAATATTCTCCTTAATAATACATAAGATGAAGCTATTTTTGAAATTTTAAGACTATAATTTTAGTAAGTTCAAAATCTAAATTAAGCTGGTCTTAAGAATGATAGATAATATTAAGTTTTTTTAAATAGTTTCAGATTTTTGAATCTTTAAGATTTAAGAAAATACATTTAAATAGATTTTTACAAAAACAATAACTTTATTTCTGAAATTCTTAACTTATTTTATACTATTGAGCTTTACTGCTAGAAAATTAGTTTGTTTTTATCTAGAATAAGTCCTAAATATTACTTGTTCTTTTATTCTCTTTTATGGAAATAGTATAAACACAATGTTAATGTCATGAAAAATATTTATCATTTTCATTTCATTGATAATAATCAATTTAATAAAATACCTCTTAATTTTACTTTTTAGTTATTCATGTATAAAATATGGGGTAATAATATTCAGCCTTAGTTGAATAAAATTTAAATCGGTTAATTATTGCATGATAAAACAAATGAATAACTTATATAATATTTTAACGATTTCATTGAAATCTCAATAAATGAATATCAATTAATTTATTCAGGCAACATTGGACTTAAAAATTCAAAAGGTTTTTAAAATTTTCTTAATATTCTTTTCGAATTATTAAATGAAGAATTTGATGGAGTATTTAATAAAAATGTTGAAAAAATTCTAAATTATATAAAGGAGAATAAATTTTTAAATTAGATATTAAATGAATAAATATTGATTCATTATATATATCCATCAGTTTTTGAATACATAGAAACTCATTTATCTTAAATTTTAAAAGAAACATTTAAAATCACAAAAAAATATTTATTAGAATTAATCGTTGAAGATAAAGTTTCTAATAAGACTTTATCAAAATTACTATTAGAAGAATATGATGAAAATTTAACTAAATATTCTCAGATGTCATCTTCTCAATGCAAAACAAATTATACATCATCTTTAAAAGTAAATTACTTTTCTGTATAAAATTAAGAAGAAACTACATTTTTTAATTATTAAAATAATAAATGGGAACATTTCTCAAATATATAACATTAAAATTGTATGAATATAATTGAATTAAGTACAAAAGTAGATGAAGAAAAAAAAAAATTAGAGTAAAGATCTAGTTAATTCTTTAAGACATTCAATACAGAAAATCTGAAATAATAAGAATTTATTATTTCATACATCAACATTATACTTGATTATACCTATGTAAATAAATAGGAAGAAATATCAGAATTAATACTATAATTTAACTTGTTTTATTGATTTATTTATAATTTTTTATTCTAATTACTTAATCTATCAATCCTATTTCTTAATTTTTGTTATATCTAATTTTAATATTGCACAATAATAGCTGATAATTAAGAGCTTAAAATAGTCTTATTCTATATTTTATTAATTGATTTAAGGAAATGAGATTAAGACCTCATTAATTTTTAATAAAGCCAAAGGATCGTTTTAAATTAATGGATCATCTAATTATTGCAATAATTTTTATAACATTTTCTATAAAAATATTGAAATGATAGTTTACTTCTAAGAAAGTTATCATTTAAAGTTATGAATTAACTCTTAAATCATATTTTTTATTTGATTATGATTTTTGTTGTGAAAACAATGAAGTAATTCCTATCATTTCTTCTGATTGTGGTTCAATTTTACTTTAAGATATTTACATTTTATTATCTTCAAGTTCAAATAAATTAGTTTGAGTACTAAGTGGATCAAAGCATAATAAATATTTAAAGAAAGATGTTTAATTTTCTTAAATTTCTGACTCTGTTAAAGTTTATAATTATTTATGAAGTTTTAAATAATTATGAGGATTGTTATCTGTAATGTACCAACCTATAATAATGATAAGTAATTAAACCTACTATATCTAAATTTTTAAATAGATTCCATTTATCTCCTTTCAATCTTAATTATTATCTTTCCTTTAAAAATTCAACTTCATTTTAATTCAATTCATCTTTTCCTGAATAGCTTATTTCAAATGAATCAAAAATATCAGTCTTATTAATTTTGGCATTGAAAAAGCCTAATAATATTCCAGCATGAATAGTTTTATCTGGAAAATTGACTTTATTAGCCAAAATTTAAGAAGAAATGCTTAATAGCACTTAAGGATGTACATTAGTTTATTACATTAAATTTAATATATATTTTAATAATGTTTTCTGATAATTAAATAAGTCTCTTTAAAAGAAACTCTAAATTGTAACCTTAATTGAATTCAGTTGAGAATACAAAACCAATAATTGATACAAAAAAATTAATTAAATACTCTGATCCTATTCATAAGACATTGTTTGAATATTAACAATATAAAAAGAATTATAATTAAATGAAACAATCAAAAATGAAAAAAATATTATCTAAATCAGTAGATAGAACAACAAGATAAATAATAAATAATAATAGTTAAATGTCATCATCATTTGATTATAAAATGAAATCAAGTGGTCATAATTTGAAATACAATTAAAGTACTTAGAGTGTGATATCTGAAAGTAATATTGCTAAAAAAGGTGTTATTTATGAGGGTAGTAATACCCAAGTATATAGAATTTTGATAGAAGGACATTTTAATTATTATGCTCTTAAAATAAGTAAAGTTAACATGAATAAATGTACAAAGGAAATATATTATCTTAAATAATTAAGACATCCTAATATAATAGAATTAAAACATCATTATATTGTTTATGATAAAACTAATGTATAATCTCTAAAATTATATAGGATAATAGACCTATGTTATATTAGATAATGCCTTTAATGAGTTGTAATTTAAGATCATTCTTATAATAATTTTATAAACATTAAAATGTGTAAGAAAATACTAAAGCAATAGATCCTAAATTGATTCATTAAGCTAAATAAGAAAGGAAAGCTAAATAAATCTTATTTAAACTATTTATATATTAAATAGTTAGAGCAATATCATATTTGCATCATAAGAATATTACACATAGAGATCTTAATCCTAGAAATATATTGATTGATGTAGATTCACTTAGTGTTTAACTCTGTGATTTTAATAGTGCTAAATAATTGTTTTAATCTATTCCATCTCCAAATTATGTTGGTGAACGTAATTATAGAGCTCCAGAATTATTATTAGGCTCCAAATTATATAATTAGTAAGTTGATATTTGGAGTTTGGGTTGTATAATTGCAGAATGTTTTTTAGGTAAATAATTGTTTAATGGAAATAATACAGTTGAAACTATGGCAGATATTATTAGATTACTTGGAACTCCTAATTTATAAGAAATGAAAAATCTTAAATCTTAAATCTTAGATCTCAAAATGCCTGAAATTCCTAAATTTTCTATGGCTAAAAGATTTTAAGAAATTGAAAATGATCACTTAGTTGATTTATTAGAAAAAATCTTTGTTTATGATCCTAATTAAAGAATTTCTGCTTTTGAAATTCTACTTCATCCTTTCTTTCAAGAATTAAAATAACCAAATATTAAAATCAATTCAAAATCATTGCCAAATTTATTTAATTTTACAAAAGGTATTTTTATTATCTATTATAAATTTTAGAAGAATTATAATTAAATGAGTATGAAATGAATAAAAATAGATTAATACCTATTTGGTTTACAGAAAAATAAAAAAGATTTGAATATCTAACCACTAGTATGGATGATGCTAAATTATTATTAAATAAATGATTATAATTATATTTATTATTTTACATATCATACTCTCATTTAAACACAAAAAATATTTTGATCAAACAAATTTATCTTTATCATCATCAAATTTAAACTCTTTTGCAAAATGCTTTATCACAATAAACATTATCAAACAAATAGAAATAATTGTAAATTAGTAATTTTCTATATTAAATTAAAAAATTAAATTATTTTTTTAACATGATGACTAATATTGATTTAATAATTCTTCAATTGTTGTAATATGTTAATCAAATAATAACTATGCAAATTCTGAATTATTACTAATAATCCAACTATCTATCCATATTTAAATCTGATTAATTTCTTGAAATTTATTTTTAATTTATTTAAACTACTCATAATCTCTTATAGATAATATATATTCTTGTAAATCATTACATTAACTTTTATTAGCAATTAATTTTTTTACTTCATTTGTAAAATTATATTATTATTAAAATTCTATGAATTCTAATTTTTAAGAAAATTCTTTTATGTACTTGACTGGATTGCTTGAGAACAATATGTTTTCAGTTAAATGTTTATCTACCTTATGATGAATAAGAATGTAAAAAGCATCAGTAAAATAAAATTTTTTCAATTCATTATACTATTCCTTCAATTCATTATTAGTCAATAAGTTTTAATATTAATAGTAAACAACTATAGCTTAATTTTTTATAAATGTTATTTCTGGATTTAATTTTGTTTTACCATATGAAAATTTTGTGTCATTATAATAATTTGAAAAATTAGAATTCAAAATATTCTTTCTTATATTTTATTCCTATAAATTTGGTATATAATTGTGATTAGTGCTTATCAATTATCTATTCAAATAATTTGGTATTCCAATCTTACGTATAATAAATTAATACTTACACTATTTTATTAATCTAAAATTAAAAATGTGTGGGTATATATTTATGCTTTGATCAATGCAAAAAATATTATAAATAACATATTTATTAAAAATTAGTTTAATAAAATAATACATTTCAAATAATATCATTAAAGTTTAACAAATTTGAGTTTCTTATTCTTTATTTTTAAAATTAAGGTTTAATCATCTCTACAAACTAAATAAATTAATTAAGAGTTCTATTTTCCTTAAATTGTAACTTCTTATTTATTAATAGATACGTTATTCTTCGAATTTGAAAGTATCTTTATTTTTCCATCTGTTAATAATATGCAAAAATCACTAATAATATACATTCTCCATTTTAAAATTTGATTCTATAATTTAACTATAAAATACTTCTTTTAATTCTTACAGTATAATAGGATTACAATAATGATTGAAAACATGATATAATAAATCATCATTCAATTAATCATTTAATCTGACTATCTTTTTTGATTGTAATTGTTCAATAATTTATTAAATAAATTTAGAACTCAGATTATCACCATTATTAATTCTTTGAATATTTTGAAAGAAACATTAAAAAGCATGTTCTTTTTCACATTCATTATTTTAAATATCCAAAATAACAAGTGCAAAAGTGAACATATGTAATGATTCTTCAGATTTGAATGGAAAGGTTTAAAATTTCTAATTAAAATTAAGCTCATAAAATCGTCTACTAAATTCTTTAACCAATATGTCAAGTAAGAAAGGATCATCTTCAACTAATAATTTACTGAATAAGCTTTATAAGGAATCAATTAGATTTTCAGTCATAACTACTTTATCAACAAATAATTTTAAAATTTATTGTTATTCTTGCAAATTTATGTTGCAAAGTAATCTAATATTAATATTTAAATAATACCTAGATATTTAAACCTTATTCTTTAACTCAATATCTTAAAATAGCCAATTAATAATAGATTAAGTAGTTGGTTTAATGATTGAAGTGGCTATCATAAATGATAAACCCAGCATAGAAGAATAATTGAATATATCTAAAGCTAGATTTTGAGATTAATAATCATGCTTAATGATTTTAACTTAATCAAGAAAGTTGACAAGCTCTTTAGATTCATTTTATCTCAATACAAGTTAACTCAAAGAATACTAATAATATATTAAAATTAATTACCATTTCATCAGAAAATTTAGGAATAGAGTTAGAATAAGAAAATAAATTACGATTAATTTTGGAAGATAATTCTTTATAACAAGATTCCTAAATTTCATTGTATTCATTTGCTTCTGATATATTAGATTTACATAATGAATCTGAATATGCAAGATTTTCTTTTTCTTATGAAATTAATTTAGTTGGAGATATATTTGGACTGATTATTTTTCCTGATGATGCTTTTTCATTTAAACTATTAGATTCTTGATTTTTTCTATTGATTAAAACTGAGTTTACAATCTTTATAATTTTAGAAACTAAAAATATTATTCATGCTATTTCTAAATAGGATCAATTTTGTTTGTTTATTTTTCAATAGATAAATTTGATTGATGAAAAGAAGATTTAAATATTTCTGAGGTCATTTTATCTCTGACTAAATCTTAAGCAAGATTTCCTTCTCTATTTCTTATTTTAGAATCTACACCTGCTTTAAGTAAGACTGAACACACATGAGCTCTTTAATAAAATGCTGCCACATGTAAAGCTTAAATTTAGACAATAATTTCTACGAGTCCATCCTGCCATATCTGTTATATATATATTAGCATTGTTTTTTATTAATTCTTCTACTATTTAAATTGATCCATATCTTGATGCTATATGTCTATTATTATTATATTAAATTTCAATTCTTACAATGGAGATGTTCTATCTTCATCTAAAATATTAATGTTTACTCCATTATTTAAGTAAAATCGAATTAATCCTAAATTTCGCCCTGAAGCTGCTTTGAAAAAGTTCTTCTCACTTTCTGTTAAATAAGCTGTAGACTATTATGTTATTCGACCTTTAAAAATAACTTACTTAAATACCTCTTGCTTTATCTACATCAAGTCCTATTTATAATTCATTTGGATCAAATGTTTCATTGTCTTAAGCCATGCATCCTAAACAATTAACAGGATTTCTTCTTTTATGTTAAACAGTATTTCCCATTATTTAAGTAAATTTATTAATTTATATAACTTTTTTTATAAAAAAAATCATTTAGTAAGATATGGGAAAAATCCTACTCAAATTAGTATTCTCAATATTAAATATTATTTTTTTTTAGTAACTTTTGTTGGTTTTCTATTATCTTTTTTAGTTAAGCAATTTCTTTATTTAATTATTATTCTGTTATCAATTATTTTTTTGAATTGATTTCATAAGAATTGATGATATCCTTTGTTTTTATTAATAATTTCTTTAATTAAGATTATAATTTTTAGTTGACCGTGCAATCATCTTCTTAAAAAGGATTTACAGATTTTGGTAATATTTTTTCTATTATTTTATTACTACTGTTAGATTTTTAATTTTTTTTCGATAATCTTTAATTATAACTAGTGCTGTTTGTTAAACTGATAGTTGTTGATTAATTTGATATTTTATGAGCATGATTAGCTTTTAATTCAATTTAAGTTGTTTCAGTTTTATATCTACTATCATTTGTACATTCTTCCTTTTTTAAACTTCTTGATTGATTTACAAAAAATTCATGAAAACTATTTAAATTACCATAATTTTGCATAATTGGCTAACTATTTTATGTACGATGTGTTGCCATTTTTATTTTAGGTGTTCTGACTTGTACTATTAACATTAATAAATATATAGAAATTAAAAATATTATCACTTTAACTAATAAATGGTTTTTTAGTGTTTAGATATTATGATAATGTATAAATTTAAAGTAAATTGTAAAAAAGAATAATGAATTAAGTATTAAATGAATTTTTATTGTTATGCTGTGATTTATTTTACATAAATTAAAGATATAAATTTTTTTCAAATTCATTCATGGGAAGAGTTAGAAATAAGACAGTTAAGAAGGCAGCAAAAGTTTTAATTGAAAAATACTATATGAAACTCACTTCAGATTTTCATTTCAATAAAAAGATCCTATCAGAAGTTGGTTAAGTACCATCAAAAAAATTGAGAAATAAAATTGCTGGATTTGCAACACATCTTTTGAAGAGAATTTAAACAGGATCTGTTAAGGGTATCTCACTCAAAGTAATGATTTCATTTCAAACTATAGATTTAAGAAGAAGAAAGAGAAAGAAGATTGGATTACGTTCCTGAAAAATCATCTGTTGATATTGACAATCTTAGAGGTGATCAAGATGTTAAAAGAATGCTTGAAAAAGCTGGTTTAGAAATTGACATTCCCATTGATGAGCCAGTTGTCGAAGAAAAATAATAAAAATAACCAAGAAGAGGATAAAGAAGATAATAATGATTGTGAAAGTACATTTATTAAAGTAATAAGCATAAGAAAAAATACATCTATAATTTATTAATCATAATGCAGATTTTTTTTATATTTCATTCTCCGTTTATAATCTTAATTAATTAAGTATGAAAACTTTTTAGTCATTAACATAATTTGTATTTTCATCATCAAATGTATTAAGTCTCTTTGATTTTTATCTTTAAGTTCCTTATTATTGTTATTCTTCTTGCAATTTAACATTTAGTTTTGTACCACCAGTGCTTTCAACAAAATTGAATTCGTTATGATTATAATAAAAATTTTTAAGAAATATTTCTTTAGGAAAATTTTCTAATAAATTTAATTATAGTGGTCTTATTTGAGATAAAAATTCATTTTCTCCTTTTCCAAATTCTTCTTCATCAAAATTAAATTAAAAATAATCAGGTTGAAATGGAGGATCAATTTTTTTCATTAAGAAATCTTTATATAAATTTTTATCACTCCATTAAGTCATCCATGGATGTTTTAATAGTGAATCAATATTATCTATTCTTTTTTTAGGTGTTTTTGCTAATAAATTACCTAATAAATCTTTTAAAAGTTAGGACATTGGTAATTAAGATGGAAAACTTAATTTTTAATTAAGTATTCTTTAATATATTTCATCTGTGTTTCTTGAATAAAAAGGTGGTAAACCAGTTATTAATTCATACAATAAAGCACCTAAACAATAAAGATCCAATTATAATGTATGACCTTATTTTAATAACATTTCAGGGGCCATATATTCAGGAGATCCACAAAATGAATAAGCTACATCTTCATTTTCCATATGAGGTTTAGATAAACCAAAATCAGCTATTCTAATATGTCCATCAAAATCAATTAAAATATTTTCAGGTTTGATATCTCTATAAATTATATTATTATCATGTAAGTTCTTCATTCCCAAACAGATTTCTGCAAAATAAAAAAATGCTTCTTCTTCACTCATTCTTTTAACCTAATTATATTAATAGAGAAATACTTTTCTTAAAAGATAAAATAATTCTCCTCCAGAACAATATTCTAATACGAAAACTAAATATCTTCTAGATTCAAATGCATATTGCATTTTAACAATAAATGGATGATTCAAATTATACATTATATCTCTTTCATTTTATATTATATTTTATTTATTTTATTACATTATAGGTTTCTTTTCAATAAGTTTCATAGCATAAAATAAACCTGTCTTTTTTTCTCTTACTAAATAAACTTTAGAGAATCCTCCAACACCAATACATCTAATAAATTCAAAATCTTTCAAACTAATTCGAGATTATTTTAGATCTTATTCAACATTCATAAATGGTTCAATAATCAAAGGTTATATAGAACAATTTGATAATAGAGATAAAGGTCTTTCAATCTTAGATAGAATATAATCTACAGGTATTTAACTATTTCCAGTTTTAATCCCAATTATTTGTTAATATTAATTTCCCAAACTTTTTACTATCTCTTATCTAACTGTTTCTAAAAGCCAAGATATATTATTTGTTGAGATATCAATTGTCATTTTTTATTTAAATTATTTATACTAAATTATTATTGTTATTAAATCTTATTATTATTTCCTATATTAATTCAATTATTTTACCTGGTGGTTGTAGGCTTTTTATTATCAGGTGAAAATTCTATAAGAGGTTAAAAACTAGCATGAGTTTAAAATTTTTATGTTTCAATCAATAAAGCACTATTTGATTTCTAATGAATTTTTAATTGATTTTCTTATTATGCTAAGATTGGAATTTATTGTGATTAATTTTTTGCACTCTATATACTCTAAGACTTTTGAAAATTCAATCTAGATAAAACATCCAAAGATTATTTTTATTTTATTTCCTATATTGCTTATTAAGCTTTTTATTTCAAATTTTAATCAGCTTTGTTGGAACTAGAAAAAGGTAATGTTTTCAAAATATCTTTATGAAATAGTTATTTTTTTGCTTTGAATAATTATTATATCGGTACATGTAATTGTATATTCATCCAATATATTGTCTATAGATTTTATTTTAGATTAAGAATTTTAATGAGATTGAGGTTGTGTTTTCATATGATTTCCATTACTATAGACTTATGTTTTCTAATTTATTTTTTCTTAACTAACTATTTTAGGTGATATTAATCCTCTCGATTTAAGCACATTTTATTGTTAAATTTTTCTTGAATTTTACCTACATTATAAGTTTAATTACTATTATTATAATATTTTTAGATTTGATTAAGAACTATTTGATTTTAACAAAGGACTTTATTGAGGACCAATTTATTTCTTATTTGTGTACACAAATTTATACTTTTTACTCCAATTAAAATTATGGAGAATTTGACTTTCGAACATTTAAAGCTTCTCGAGTTGATAAATAATTCATTAATGCTTGATTAGATAACTCTGTTGATTATGTTTTTTAGTGTTACTTCTTTTGGAGCATTACTTATAGTTTGTTATTATTAAATAATAATAAATGGTAAATATATTAAAAATCATTTATTACTAAATAATCAATAACTATTATAATTTAAGTTAAATAAGATAAAAAGATATATTTCCTGCTTAAGTCTTTTGCTGTTTATTTTCATTGTCTTTAAAATTACTTCCTATTTTTTCAAGTAATTTTTTTTTAAGTTCAGCAAAAATAACAACAAATTTTATTTTTATTAAAAAATATAATAAAGTTCACTTATTACAGATTTTTACTTCATTTATCAGAAATTTAATATTTTAATTTAAAAATGAGACTAGTTTAGTTTTGACAATAAAATAATATTTAATTCACTAAAATAATTTAATATTTTTTTACTTATATATTATTTATCCATATATACAAGAGAGTTTGTACTTATTTTTGAGACAAATAATTAAAAAAGCCATAACTGTGATTAAAATCTAAGTTACTTAAACAAAATTTGAAAAGATTGTTTAAGGCATTCTATTTAGAAATAGTTATAGTAAAATAGAGGATATTTAAAATCTTAAAACTGATTTCCTATATAGAAAAATCCATATTTATTTTTATGAAAAATGGGTTATTTGGCAGCAGTACAATTATTTATGATGTTTGGAATATTGATTGGCCTTATTAAAAATTAATTAGAGTTTGAATATTATATTAATAAATAAATTTATTATAGGCCATCTTATTGTGAATGATGCAGTTATGATAAATAGAGGAGAATTTAGATTTATCAATCTATTTTAGATCTTAATTTAAATAGTATAATTGATGTAATCATTTAATATAATGGTAGATTATTATTTAATTTGGTATCTTTAGATCTAAATATATTTGGTTTTTAACATTTTATTAATATCATATAAATATTTTATTTGATTCTAGTTTAATTAGTGTTTTTTATGATTGACGTTGTATTTCTTGATTTAATTTAAAAGTTTTCATTTTCCATTACTTCAAAAACCAATTCGGTTTAATGGATAAAATTTTCAAATAAATAATAATAATATTAATTTAAATTCATTTTTGTTATTTAAATGTATAATTTAACTTCATAATCTCAATTTTTATATAAATATTGTTTGATTTTAATATTTTTGGAAATAGTGTATTATTTCAAGGATAAACTTTTTAATTTTTGCCATTTAGCATTAGGATAAATTAATACTAATTAAATAAGTCATTATTTATCAATTAAAATATTTAGGAAGATTAAAATTTATAATATTAAAAAATATTCAATTTAGATTTCAATATTCTATAATTTCTTAATATTCTTAATCTTCTTAATAAGTGTGGTAATCATACTAATCAAACTCTTCATCATTTTTTTAAGAATCCTATTATTACATCTTAGCATCATCTATTTATAATTCATTAACTTGAAAACATCTTAATTTATGATTTTAATTTGTAAAATTACAATTCATTTGACCACAATTCAAACATATTTATTCTTTATGATCTTATTAGATATGAAAAAGATATACAAGTTCTATCATACTTTTTTTGCAAATAAAGCATTCAACAATGGCATGACATTATTTATGGTTTTATAATTCTTAATTAGAAATGGTTAATCCGCATAAACACTTATAATTATCTTATTTTTCAAATTACAGTAAGTATTCTTTTCTATTATTGATATAGTTTAATCTTAATTAATATAATTCTTCATCAATAACATCATTTTGTTTATTATCAGGAGGATTATTTTAATTATCTATTTTTATGTCTTCTTCCTATTTAGGGGCTTTATTGAAAATTTTTTGTATGATTCCAATAAATACTTTACTGATAGAATTTGAAATTAATTGAATAAATTTCATTTAAATATAGAATATTTTTAATAAAGAGTGAAATTGGGATTGTAAATTGTTCATACATTAAATTAGTTCTATAATAGAATTATTATTATAAATTGTTAAATTAAAAGTATATATAATGAGATGAATAAAATATTGTTATATTAATAATTAAATTTTTAACAGAAACATCTAAAAAAAATGTCGATATAGATAGCTAATTTACCAGAGTTTAGTTATAAATAGATTACAAAGAGATCGTTAGATTTGGAGAACTTCTTTAAAGAATTTGAGATGAGATAATTTTTAGAGGAATGTAATTACTCTGAATAAGAATTATATGTTGAATGTCGAAAGATGAGAGAATTTCAATAAAAAAGGAAATTGAAACTAAACAAATATATAAATAGCTATCTAGAAGGGCCTTCAATAATAAATGCAGTTTAATTATTACTTTGAATTCATACTATATATATGTTTCAATAATTGATATAAACAGTTAAGAAAATAATATTAATGATATAGAAATGATACAAAAATCATATAAAATCATTCTAAACTCATACCTAGTTTTCTTATTTAAGTTAAGACAAGTTATTCATAATCTTCTATTGTTAGCGTGATTTTACCATCATAATAACTATTAATTATTTGAATCTAAAAAGTAAACCCTTTTTAAGTTGATTACTAATCATTCATTCTTATAAGTTTACAAGATTTTTAAGTAATTCTCATACCTAAAATAATATATAACAATTAAATTTTTCTTCATTTAATTAATCTGACTTAAAAGAGTTCTCTCTAACTATTTCTAATCTTTCATATGCAATTATAACTAACTTTTCTGGCATTCTTTTAATAGGTAAGTAGGTAGTTAATCAGAATTATTTTTTTGTATTAATTATTCATCATCTTATAATTAATGAGAACTTCTAGGCTTATTATTATCTATTATTTATATAAATTGATTTTATTTCTTAATATATATTATATATATTATTAATTATATTATAATAAAATGATAACATTTGAAAATAATATCACCAGACTTTTTAAACTTAAAGCTTAAGCCTAAGATTTAATTGATAAATAAACTTCAAGTTAACATTCCTTATAATAATACTCTAGACAATTATTAATTATTGGATGCCAACTCTTAAGCTTAAATTAATCAATATCGTCAAGAAATTGAAGCCTTGAAACATTAATCACTTGAATTATAAGATCATTATGAATAATAATCTCTAGTATTTTCATAAAAGATTAATTCTTTAACATCAGAAATTTAAATTTTGAATTTTCAAAATGATAAATTAGAAAATAACTATTAAAATGAAATGTAATCCTATATACATTAAATATTTAGACAAGAACTTAACTCTGTCATCTAATAATTATAAGAAACTATATAAAATTAATAATCTAAATTCTAAAAAGAGATTGATAATCTCAAATTAATGCATAATCAAGAACTCTATATTCTCAAAAAAAGAAAATGACACAATTTATTATACTATATATAAATTATATTTAATTTAAAAAAGATATTAAATGGTATTTAATATAAACTTATCTCTAGCCTAAAGCTCCTAAAACTAGCAAAACTAAGAAATTATAAAAAAAAGTAGCTGATAGAAAAAAGAATCCACTATTTGTTAAAGAAGCCAAGAACTTTAGAATTGGAAATGATGTTCAACCAAAAAGAGATTTATCTAGATATGTCAGATGGCCAAGATATATTTTACTTCATAGATAAAAAAAGATTTTATTACAAAGAATTAAAGTACCTGCTGCAATTCATTAATTCAGCAAAACACTAGATAAGAATCAATGTAATTTTTATCTTACTATTATTTAGCATCCAAAGTTTTGGCTTTATTGAAGAAATATTCACCAGAAACTAAAACTGAAAAAAAATAAAGATTAACCAAATTAGCTGAATAAAAGGTGCAAGCATAAAAATAAGAATCTAAAAAAGTTTAAGTCCTTAAATTTGGATTAAATCATGTCACTACACTTATTGAAACTAAAAAAGCAAAACTTGTAGTAATTGCTTATGATGTTGATCCAATTGAATTAGTCGTTTGGTTACCATAATTATGTAGAAGATAAGAAGTTCCATTCTGTTTTATCAAAAGTAATACATTTTCATAAATCAATAGATAAGGCAAGATTAGGAACTTTGGTTCATTAAAAAACAGCTACTTGTGTTGCCTTAACCGAAGTTAGAAAAGAAGATTAAGCCGAATTTGATAATTTAGTAACATTCTTTTATATAGTAAGGCAAGAGATTTAAGATAACATTATAATGAAAATCATGAATTATTGAGAACTATTGGAGGAGGATAAGTTGGAATTAAGTCAAGACATTAATAAGAAGCATTAAAGAAGGCATTAGAGTTGGAAGAATTGAAAAAGACATCTTAATGAACATGTTTACATTAATAAAATAGTATATTAACAAATTTATATTTTATAATTATCATGATTCTATTTAATTAGTTATTATTAAAGCATTATCACATTAATTCATAATATTGGAATTTATTTATATTAATATTTTCGATCTACTCTATTTTTTGTATTATGAATAATATTTATTGAAATAAATTATATACCTATTGACAGGTCAGTTTTGTATTTTTAATTGAAATAGAACGAACTAAATATTTATTTCTGATGATCGTAATAAAGGTAATAATTACAGATAATATTTAATTTTATAATTAAATAATGTCAATTCAACTTCAATAATAGATAAAAAATAATGCATTGGAAATAAAAGAATATATTCATGATCTGTATGATTGGGAAGAACAAGTGAACACATAATAAAAGCCATAGAAGAAATAAAATATAGATTTAGATTAAAATTAAGTACCAATTAGAGGAAAGGTTGAATAAGAGAAATAATGTGAGATATTAAAGAAATAATTAAAAAGAGATACAAATTCAGTTTAAAACTATTATGATGCATGGAATAAAGTGGATGTAGATAAATTATTAGAAGAGACAGATGATGCAATAATAATGGATGTTTATAAGAAACCTTAATAAATAAATACAAATAGTAAGATAGTAATAAAGGGTGGTAGAAATGTAATTAAATCCTAAGTGATTTTGAATAAAGAATAAGCAAATGAATTATTTAAGTAGTAAGAATTTTAGAAGGCAATCTAAAAATATACAGAATGTATAGAAGAATTAAATTAGAAATAATCATTAAATGAAGAAGAATTGGAATAATTAGTAATAATATATTCAAATAGAGCATAATGTTAATTAAAACTATTAGATTATAATTAAGCTTTATTTGATTGTAATAAAGCATTAAGTTTAAATAGTAATCACTAGAAATCTTTACTTAGAAGATCAACAGTTCTTTAAGAGTTAGGAAAATGGAAGGAAGCATTAAAAGATAGTGAGAAATTAGTATTATTGGGAGATTAAGATGCTAAATAAATAGTAGCAAAACTATAGAAGAAAATTTAGTAGAAAAGAGAAAATGCAAGAAACTAATTAAAATAAGTTAAAGTAATTATTATATGTATAGAATTAGCCATTCATGAATGATTCAGTGACAATATAAGTGATTGATTAAGAGAAAGAAGATATTAAAGTAGAAACTAGATCTAATTATTTAAATGAAATAGATGATTGAATTAATTATAAAATATAATATGTTATGGCAATATTTAATAATAGTCTAATTTTGCTATCATTCAGCTTTAACACAAATAGCATCTCATACATTTGAATTAACAAAAGTCGCTCAATAAAATTATATCACTCAAAATCAAAGCATTAATTTACATTATTATTACAGCGATTATTATGCTATGAATTTGAGAATTGGAACACCTAACTAAGTTTTTTAGGTTCTTGTAGATACAGGTTCAAGTGTAAAAATATCAAAATTATAAAGATATTATGGTTAGCTAATTATACTTGTGATAATTGTTCTATTGCTCATAGATTTAAACCATTTATGTCTTAGACATACATTAACTTTAATTAAAATTATACTCAAAATTATGAATAAGGATAATGTTCAGGCTAATTTGGATAAGATTTAATCTCTGTTGCGGATACACCTATATATACAAATCTATCTTTTCTATTAGCAGATTAAGTATCTAATTTATATGTATTATTATTACATTAATATACAAGCTGTAATTATTGACTTCTGGTATTATGGGTCTATCTAATTGGAATAAATATCAAAATATATTTGAATCAGCATATTCCAATTAATTAATATAGTCTCCGCTATTTGGGTTTTAATTTTCAAATACTACTTAACCCTCATAATTGCTTTATGGTAAATTCAATGAATCTGTCTTAAATTAAACTATATGGATCCAAACTAATATGGATAGATCATGGGTATTCCTATTTCTTTATATAGTCTACATAAATCTTAGGAGTTCAAATTAACAATAAAGATTATCTTTATTTTAAAGATCATAGTAGTATCTTTGATTCTGGAACATCTTGCTTATTATTAGAAGAATAAGTCTATTGGAAAATCTATTATGATTATATCAATTGTGGATTAAACTGCGACTGTAACAAAACATATCCTAATCTTACTTTCTACTTTCAAGGAGCAAAAGTAACAGTACCTGATACTGCTTATAAGAGATATTTGTCAAATGGATCATGTTCAATTTGTATAGGCTAAGCTAAAACAACAAATATTCTTGGAGATCCATTTATGAGACAATTTATTTCTATTTTCAATAAAGAAGAATAACTTATTGGATTATATTAGGCATAAAAAGTTACTGAAATCAAATTCTGGTATTTTTACACTCTTTTAGGAATATAAATTCTCTTTATATGTGTTATAGTTTATTACTAGATAAAAAGAAAATTATTTTAACTTGTTAAAGAATGATATAAAATTTATTATTACATTAAATTTATATTTATATAAATGAATGCCGATAAAATCAAAAATTTAAAGAATTTCTTTGATTCTGAATATTTTACACCTGAGATGCTATTACAAAACATTTCTAAATATAGAGAATAACCTGACATACTTAATTTATTATACACTATTATGCTAAATTTAGAAGATAAAATAATTTCATTCTATTCTCCATAATTTTGTTAATTGTTAATCAAAACTGAAATTGCTTAATTATTTGATTTTTTCAAGAAAAAATGCAGTTAATCAAGACCTTTATTTTTTAATGTATGAATATAATGTTAAATTTATAAGCTTTATTGGTTACTTGGTGCATATTTATAATTAGAAAAATAGAAAAAAAAGAAGGAAAAAATTGATTTATTTTTAAGGGTATGAGATTTAAAATTAATAAAAAAGCAAATGGAAATGTCAATGGTAAATGGGGAGTTTAATGAGAAAGCATTTGAGATTTAAGATTAAGAATAATTGAATTAAATTTTACTGAAAGATTTTTAGTAAAAAGATTTAAGACAAGAATATTTTACAGAAATGTAAAAGTTTATGGGAACATTGATAAAACATTCATTAGTATTGAAGGAATTTCCAAAAGATGATAGAAAACATCATTTAAAATTGTTAATACAGAAACAAAATTAAAATTTATAAAAAATAGTAAAAAANTATCTTTGATTCTGGAACATCTTGCTTATTATTAGAAGAATAAGTCTATTGGAAAATCTATTATGATTATATCAATTGTGGATTAAACTGCGACTGTAACAAAACATATCCTAATCTTACTTTCTACTTTCAAGGAGCAAAAGTAACAGTACCTGATACTGCTTATAAGAGATATTTGTCAAATGGATCATGTTCAATTTGTATAGGCTAAGCTAAAACAACAAATATTCTTGGAGATCCATTTATGAGACAATTTATTTCTATTTTCAATAAAGAAGAATAACTTATTGGATTATATTAGGCATAAAAAGTTACTGAAATCAAATTCTGGTATTTTTACACTCTTTTAGGAATATAAATTCTCTTTATATGTGTTATAGTTTATTACTAGATAAAAAGAAAATTATTTTAACTTGTTAAAGAATGATATAAAATTTATTATTACATTAAATTTATATTTATATAAATGAATGCCGATAAAATCAAAAATTTAAAGAATTTCTTTGATTCTGAATATTTTACACCTGAGATGCTATTACAAAACATTTCTAAATATAGAGAATAACCTGACATACTTAATTTATTATACACTATTATGCTAAATTTAGAAGATAAAATAATTTCATTCTATTCTCCATAATTTTGTTAATTGTTAATCAAAACTGAAATTGCTTAATTATTTGATTTTTTCAAGAAAAAATGCAGTTAATCAAGACCTTTATTTTTTAATGTATGAATATAATGTTAAATTTATAAGCTTTATTGGTTACTTGGTGCATATTTATAATTAGAAAAATAGAAAAAAAAGAAGGAAAAAATTGATTTATTTTTAAGGGTATGAGATTTAAAATTAATAAAAAAGCAAATGGAAATGTCAATGGTAAATGGGGAGTTTAATGAGAAAGCATTTGAGATTTAAGATTAAGAATAATTGAATTAAATTTTACTGAAAGATTTTTAGTAAAAAGATTTAAGACAAGAATATTTTACAGAAATGTAAAAGTTTATGGGAACATTGATAAAACATTCATTAGTATTGAAGGAATTTCCAAAAGATGATAGAAAACATCATTTAAAATTGTTAATACAGAAACAAAATTAAAATTTATAAAAAATAGTAAAAAAGTTCTAATTTGGAGTGATATTACCATTTTATGATGAAAAAGATGATTAAAATAAATCATAATACATTGTAAATATATTAGAGAAACATTAAATATGTTTTCATACAAAAAAGAGAGTACCTTATTTGATATTAGTAGAAACTATTAAGTAATTTATTTATATATAACAGTTAGTTCTAAAGACTTAGAATAGTATTAAGCAATTCCAGCTTAATCTTAACCAAATATTGAAGTAGTAGGATATGTAGAAGCTTAATTAAATGATTAAGGATTTGAGAAGTAATTGGCCTAAATAGAATAGGAGGAATAGAAATTATATCATGAAGCCTTAGAAAAAATAATGTAAATGGAAAAGAAAGGAAAAAGATAAAGTTAAATTATGTAAACAATAGATTCATATATGCAAAAATAAGTAATATGTAACTGAAAATAGAAAAAATCATAAATGAATGGAAAAGACATAAAATAAAGTGATGTATTAAAATAAGAAGGTATTTAAAAAAGAAAAGCTTCATTGACAACTAATTAAAATTTATCATACACTAGAAATTTTAGAAAATCTAATTCCTAAGAAAGGAATGATTAGAAATCAGAAGAATGTTATAAGACATTGTAATAGATTTTGCCAATAGAGAAATTACATATATTGAAAAAATTTAAAAAAAGAAAGCATTCTTTATGGGAATAAGTATAGAATTGATTTAATATAGAGTTGGGAAGAAAGAATTTAAAATTATAAAAAAGATTCAAGATATTATCATTTCCCTTCATATAAAATACGACCAATTATAATAAAAGGAGGTGATGATTTAAGATAAGAAATGTTCGCTATTTAGATGATGAAACAGTTTAATAAAATATTTAAAGAAGCAGAAGTTAATTTATATTTGAGACCATATTAAATAATAGTAACATCAGCAAATTCTGGAATAGTAGGTAATTATTATATTTATTATTAAGAATATATTCCAAATACAATATCAATAGATGGTCTTAAGAAAATGTTTGGTAATGGTACTAAGACATTATATTAAATTTATTAAGAAATATTTGGAAGTGTATTTGAAGAAGCATAAAAAAACTTTATTGAAAGCTTAGCTAGTTATTCTGTATTTTCATATTTGATGTAGGTTAATTTTTAAATAATAAAAATATTAGGTAAAAGATAGACATAATGGAAATTTATTAATAGATGATAGAGGTCATATAATTCATATAGATTTTGGATTTCTATTATAAACATCACCTGGAGGTGTTAATTTTGAATCAGCTCCATTTAAATTAACATAAGAATATGTAGAATTAATGATGGGAAAAGAAAGTGATTATTTTGGTTATTTTAAATCATTAATGACTAAAGGATTTTTAGCATTAAAGAAATATGTAATAGAAATAGAAAACTTTTTTAAAATAATGGTAGAGAAATCTGATTTACCTTGTTTTGCAAATTTAGATTTAAAATTATTTACAAGTAGATTTTAATTAAATGCTACTGATAAAGAAGTAATAATATAAACATAAATTTAGATAATGGATTTAGTTGATAGATTAATTAATTAAAGTTTATCAAGTTGGAGAACAGCATAATATGATAATTTCTAAAAGAGAACTAATGGAATATTGCCATGAAACAGTTAATAATAATTTTATTGTTTTATTAATATTATAATCATATGATCAATAACAACTAACTGTTTATTGAAAGTTTAAGAGGACCTTTTTCTTAAAGAAGAAGTTCAACTCCTGGAAAATAAAAGAATAGAATCTTTAGAGCTTCAATGTAAAATGAATTAAATTCAACATAAAATCATGATAATAGTCTTGCTAATTCAGCTATAAGAAGTGTATCAAGATAAAGAAATTCTATATAAATGGATTAATAAGATTATTCAATTAAACCTATTATAACTTAACCAAAAAAAAATGTGTTGATGAAGAAAAGTTCTAATATTTAGAATAGATATCTATAGATAACTGAAAACTAAAAATAATTAATTTTAATTGATCATACAAAAGATTAATCTGATATTATTTTACAATACTTACCAGAAGCATAAAAATTTATTAATAAAGCAAATTAATCTATTCTATAAAATTGGATACCAACTTTACCTTAAGATGAAAGAAAATAAATTGAAAAAAATAAAAAGTATTTTCCTATTCCAAGAAACATACCATTCCATGAAATTATTGATGGACTTAAAATTTTGTATGGTTAAGGTAAAAATAGAAGATTATGGCCAGGAGAAGAAGCATTATTAATGGAAACAATTAGATTATATATTGAAAAGATATTATCGAATCCAAAATTATTATTGCATAGTGTTACTTTTACTTTATAATAAATAATTAAATTAGCAGGACTTGAAGAATTGTTAAATTATAAATTATGTATGCAACAGTTAGAGTGTCATTGGAAAATGATGATTACAAGATTTAAATATAGTGGATTAGCAGAATTAAATAAAAAGTCTTGGTAATATTGGTTAGAATAAGCATAACTAAGAGGTCATTTTCTTAATTTATAAAATGATAATTTATTAACATAATACTTATTATAACATTAATAAATTGACTGATAATGATGATTTATATAGATGTAAATAATAATGATATCATTAAAGATGTACTGTTTCTGCATAATTTATTAAAAATCTAATATGGGTACTAGATGAACCTGCATGAAATACAGCACATTTTTCTATCATTTATTCAACTTATACTTAGACATTCTGTTTCTGTCTCATTAATCTCTCTTTTCAATTATAAAGCTCCACATCTTTTTGAACAATCTTTTGTTCCTCTTACCATTGCATATATAGCTTGAGCACCTATTCCCCAATCTATTTCTTATTCTTCTGACATTTTATTTATATTTTATATAATATTAGTAAATATAATTCTAAATGTACATTTTTATTATTACTTTATACTAGAAACACTTTTAACTTATTATAATACTCCACAACTGCTAATTAATATAATACTTATTTATTATTAAATGAATGGCTACTGCTATTAACCTAGTACCAAAGAAATTATTGAAAATCTACAAACTAATTCTCAGAGTCCTCATTTAGAGTTGGTCTCTACTACTAGATAAATGGCTAGGTCAACCTATTAAAGACCAAAAAAAATAAGAAGAAACACAACTATATCCATCTTTACGTAAATTATAATAATATGAAGATAATAAAATGAAAGTGAATCTCCTAAAAAAACTTAAAGGTCTTTGTTTTTATTAAAAAAATACATCAATGTGGTAAGAATATCAAAAAGCTTCATTAATTCTTTAAAAGAATATCAAACTAAATAGAAAATAGAAAGATTAGATTCAAAACAATGGAGAAAGCAATCTTTATTACCATTCTATCCTGATCATTTTTTTATTAAAAAATGGAGAAATTTAATTGAAGTATTGACATTTTCAAGTGTTATCTTGTATCCTATTTATATCAGTTACGAAGTAAATAATATATTTGAAATTGTAATATTTTTACTTGATTTGCTCTTTATAATTGACATTATTAGGAACTTTCTGACTGGCTACATTGATGAATCTAATAATTTAATAATTGATTTTAACTCAATTTTTAAACATTACTTAAAAACTTGGTTCCTTCTTGATGTTTTATCTATAATACCATCAACTAATTATGAAAAAGAATGGCTTAAAAAATTTAAAATGATAAGAGTTCTTAAATATTTTTTAAATCATAAAGAAGTTACATATAAAGGATAAGAGAATTATATTCAATTGATTGAATCTTTTAATGCTGAATAAGAATTTACATTAAAAAGTGGAACTAAATATCTTTTAAATGTAGGAGTAACATCATGTTTATTAATACATATATTTGGTTGCTGGTAGCATTTCTTTAAATAATAAAATTATATAACTACTATATATTGGTCATCTTAAACAATTACAACTGTTGGTTATGGTGATATTAATACTAATTATGAATTAGCTGTTCTTTGGATGATTATTGGAGTTGCTTTCTATTCTTTCACCATTGGAGATTTTGCTTTGATGATGTCAAAATCAAAAGTTAATGCAGATTAGGATCTTCTATTTTCTATAGAATAATTAAGTCATTCTTAGAATTTTTCTGAAAAATTGAAACATAAATTTTTACTTTTTGTAAAAAATAATCTATATCATAATTAATTTTGGTTAACTGAGTATAGGTCTATGGCAAAAGAACTACCTCATCATTTAAATTTATATTTAACTTTAAGCGCTATGCTTGATATCTGTAAGCAAATTCCAATCTTTTTGTACGACATTAATTTTACATCCTATTTGTTATTGAATATTAGATATTTAATAGTTGATGAAGGATTTATTTTATATAGAGAAGGTTAAAGTTCCAGTGAAATATTCTTTTTATTATAAGGGGATATTCGGATTACTACAAAAGATAAAACAGTTTTATTGAATATTTTGGAAGGAACTATTTTTGGAGAATTTGAAGCTATTGAAGAGAAATTAAGAGGAACTTATTGTGTTGCTCATAAAAAATCTATATGTTTAGTTATTCCATATAGGATATTAAGAAGAGTTATGTAACAAAGTTAAATCTTAGATTTTGAAATCAGATAATTGCATTTAAGGAGAAGAAGATTAATCATCAATCATTTTATTGAAGAAAAAAGTATATTTTTCAAATTAAATAAGGAAGAAAACAAGCTTATAAAAGATAAGAAGCTAGATTTTATACCTAATCTTTTATATAAATGACAAAAGAAGAATATGTTATCAATAAAAAGGCCAATTAAATATTTAGTGTGGAAGAATATAATAAATCATTACTAAATAAAATTATAGGTAAGAAGTTGCAAAGACTTTCTTTATTTTTGGTTAAATTTAAAAGATCTGTTTAAAGAGTTATTGAAATGAATCATTAATTAGATGAAACTATACCAGAATAGTGGAAAGAGTTAACTAATTATTAATTAATAAAGAGAGTCTTTCCAAAAGATTATTTATCAGATAAATATTCTTAGATTTCTTTGTCAAGAAAATCATCATCTGTTCATTCTTCTGTTAGTAAATTCAGTAAAATGAAATATTCAACTTATAGTTAATAATACTTTTTCCAAAAGCTTCCTGAAATTAGATTGAAACATATAGTTTTATAACATATTAGATTAACAAAAAATAAGTTTGTACCTTTGTAATAAATTATCAACAAATACTAAGATGATCCTGAATAACTTAATTTAAAGAAGAAAGAAAGTGTAGAAAGATCAGTATGGACTAAAAAATTTACTAAAATTTCATAAACAGTTATCTTGCGAATTGATTAGATAGAAGAGAGTGGAGATAAATATAATGATATAATGTAAAGAATGAAAATAATTGAAAAATTATGGTTAAAAGGTTCAATGTACAAGTTTGAATGGTTCTAAAATAAGTATGGGAAAGATAAAAAATTTTTAATATGAAAAATTCAGTTTTTGGAATGTCATTGTAAAAATATACATATTATATATGAAATTAATCTATTGAAGATCATTATTAAATGCAAAAAATATTTTTTTATTTTTGATATATTAATGTACTTAAAAAACAATCATCTTGCTCCTTTTCCTTTTCTTGCAGTGTGACTAACATATGGTTTAGCATGTGATCCAGGTAAACCAGAAGCTCTGCCAAAATGTTTTAATTCTTCTCTAACTCTTGGTCCCCTCAATAAGATAGTTCCAGTGCCTTAAAAATAATTATTGAAAAATATACCTGTTGGATTTTATTATGCTAATTGATCAAAAGTCAATGTTTTTCCACCAGCTGCTTGAATTCTCTTTCTAGCTGTTTCAGTGAATCTAAGAGCACATACATTAATTTTAGGAACAGTCAGAAGACGTACACTAATTGCATAATAATATATATGATTACTCATCTGTAACAGTGCCAACAACTACTAATGTTCTTGTCTTATCTTTAGCAGTATTAATTTATTTAACAAGTCTACTAACACTAATTGGATATCTGGCAGTTCTTGTTTATTAAAGTCTCCTTAAAATTGTAGCATTGAAATTTGAATCTGTTCTTCTGGCTAAGAATTTATATAACTATATAATTAATCAAAAATCATTACCTTGATCAATAATTTCAAATAGAGGTTAGTTGATGTTACCTTTCTTCCAACATTCCTTTATACTCTTGTCTTCTTATATGCGTCTACTCCCTAACATGATTAATAGTAATATTCATTACCATTTAAAAAATAAATATATCTTTATTTAATTTATGTTATATAAATCAAATATATATAATTATTCATCAATTCACTTCCATATAATTAATTAACTTTCCTTCTCTCCATTCTCCTTTTTTATAGTTACCGTCCTATTCATAAATTATTCCTTCTCCATGCTATTTACCATCAAACCATTAACCTTCATATTTTCTCCCATCATTATATAAAAATATTCCAAAGCCATTTTTCTTATCATTTTCATAATTTCCACTATATTTCTTTCCATCTGGCCATTAATATTCACCTTATCCATGCATATTATTATCAAGCCACTCACCTCTATAAACACAACCATTGCTCCATTTATAAATCCCATATCCATTCATTTTATTGTTACACCAATCCCCATCATAAGTATTTCCATCTGCCCAAATATATTTTCCTTTCCCCTATTTCTCTCCATTTACATATTATCCTATGTAATAACTTCCATCTGGCCAAAATTCCTTCCCTTAACCTTCGAATTTATCATTTTTCCAATTTCCTTCATATCTATGCCCATTAGAATATTGATAGATACCATATCCAGAACATAAATTATCTAAAAATTATCCTTCATCTATTTTTTATTAAAATAATTTACAATAATCCCCATCTATATGCAAAAATCTTCCTTATCCATTTGCTTTATTATTTTTCCAATATCCCTCATATTTCGTTCCATCTATTCTTCTATGATACTTCATTACCCTTCCATTCCATCACTCCGTAACCATCTCTCTTATTTCCTAACCATTCACCTATATATTTGCTTCCATCATCAAAATCAAAAGTAAACCTCTTCTCTCTCTCTTTCTTTTTTTTCAGCTCCTCTTCCCTTCAAAACTATTTAAATTCATACGTATTATTTAAAGCATATTAAGCTTGACTTTTTGAAAAGTAACGATACGATATTGGTTCCGTTACTTATCTGCTTTCTTATGTAATCTCATCTTCAACCTTATTGCAATCACTACAAGTTGTTCCCATTTTCTCAAAATTTTAATTATATTTCTAATTCGAAATTAACTTTATATTGTTCATTTTTATAACAAATATTAGATAAAAATATTCATCTATTAAAAGCAATAATAAATTATCGATTTTAGATTATTTAATAAAGTAAAGATTTAATAGTTCTTTTAAATAAATTACAATTCGTATTTATTCATTAAAAATAAGAGAGAAGGATTTGAATTTACATTTAAAAAACTATTGTTCATTTAGAATCTTTTTATGTTCAAAAAATTTGTTTTAAATCATCTTAAATATTAGTGTTAAATAAGATAATCTCAACTAAATATTTNTATTTTCTCCCATCATTATATAAAAATATTCCAAAGCCATTTTTCTTATCATTTTCATAATTTCCACTATATTTCTTTCCATCTGGCCATTAATATTCACCTTATCCATGCATATTATTATCAAGCCACTCACCTCTATAAACACAACCATTGCTCCATTTATAAATCCCATATCCATTCATTTTATTGTTACACCAATCCCCATCATAAGTATTTCCATCTGCCCAAATATATTTTCCTTTCCCCTATTTCTCTCCATTTACATATTATCCTATGTAATAACTTCCATCTGGCCAAAATTCCTTCCCTTAACCTTCGAATTTATCATTTTTCCAATTTCCTTCATATCTATGCCCATTAGAATATTGATAGATACCATATCCAGAACATAAATTATCTAAAAATTATCCTTCATCTATTTTTTATTAAAATAATTTACAATAATCCCCATCTATATGCAAAAATCTTCCTTATCCATTTGCTTTATTATTTTTCCAATATCCCTCATATTTCGTTCCATCTATTCTTCTATGATACTTCATTACCCTTCCATTCCATCACTCCGTAACCATCTCTCTTATTTCCTAACCATTCACCTATATATTTGCTTCCATCATCAAAATCAAAAGTAAACCTCTTCTCTCTCTCTTTCTTTTTTTTCAGCTCCTCTTCCCTTCAAAACTATTTAAATTCATACGTATTATTTAAAGCATATTAAGCTTGACTTTTTGAAAAGTAACGATACGATATTGGTTCCGTTACTTATCTGCTTTCTTATGTAATCTCATCTTCAACCTTATTGCAATCACTACAAGTTGTTCCCATTTTCTCAAAATTTTAATTATATTTCTAATTCGAAATTAACTTTATATTGTTCATTTTTATAACAAATATTAGATAAAAATATTCATCTATTAAAAGCAATAATAAATTATCGATTTTAGATTATTTAATAAAGTAAAGATTTAATAGTTCTTTTAAATAAATTACAATTCGTATTTATTCATTAAAAATAAGAGAGAAGGATTTGAATTTACATTTAAAAAACTATTGTTCATTTAGAATCTTTTTATGTTCAAAAAATTTGTTTTAAATCATCTTAAATATTAGTGTTAAATAAGATAATCTCAACTAAATATTTAAAAATAAAAATGCAAATAAAAAAATAAATATATTAATTTGGTTTTAATATATTCATTAAAATTATAACTAAATTACAAAATCAAATGTTCAATCTAGAATTAATAATGATTTACCAAAGGGAAATCATATGTTCTGCAGAAAAAGAAAAGAATAAATTTGCTCTTTTAGTTTCATTTTTAAAACAATTAACTATTTCCTCTAACGTTTTATTTTATCCATTTTCAATTTAAGTACATGCTATGAGTTAAATTTTTTTATTTAAATATTTTATTTTTTGTAGTTATTCTTCTGGTTTTTTAGCTTTACCATCTGAGTAGAATAATATTAAATATCTATAAGATTAATTATAAATTTACTATTAGGATGATGAGTCCTGACTAATAATTTTTCTAGCTTTTTTGAATGGTTTAGAAAAATCTGTTCCTCCACCTAAATGATTCATTTTTATGTGATCTTCTATATCTTTGGCTCTTTTTGCATTTTTCAATATTTTTACTGTTTTATTAAAAAGTATGAGGCTTATCTTAGCTTCACTATTAAATTCGATATCATTCTGCTTTATATTAGATATACAACCTCGAACCCCTTTTTTAATATCAGTCCAATCTTTATCCATAGAGCTTGAACTATCCAACATGAAAATATAATGAATTCTATTTGAGTTTGATTCAACCACATTATTTAAAAAATTTTTTCCTAATTTTTTGCAAATTTCTTCTCCATATAACTTCCAAATTTTTAGCAATTTGAATTTTAAATGATTTTTTTCATTTTTAGTTAATTAGATTTTGAAATCCCATTATTATTTTGAATCTTAAGACATTCGTAAAAATTAATCTTTATTTTGTCTGTTTAGAAAAAGCTCATCACAGGTATTTAAAGATGAAATTATTTTCTCATTTTCTATTTGGGGAAACATTGCTATAATATTAAGTATTTATACCTATTAAAAAATGCCCATTTAAACATTTGTGGTTTGATTAGTGATTATATTCTAGGTCACATATTCTATTGCAAAAGTTACATTTTTTTTCACATCTTTATACTATTTTTTGAAATTAATCTTGTAAATCTAATTCTTCAAATTTGATTAGAGGGCTTGTCTCTTATTAAATTGTTTAAAGAAATTCAGAAACAAAAACATCTAAAATATAAACTTTAGTATCCTTAAATTAACTAAGTTAAATCTAAACTTGTTATATATTATTTTGATTAAAAATAAATCTATATATTTATTTGAGTTAATTTACATTAGGAGATTAATTTCCTTATAGATAAGAAAATACAATTTCAAACATTTTTACCTCTGCATCTGTTTCTGGATTTTCAAAGCATTCTTTAACTTAGATATCTCTTAGCTTTAATTATTCTTGTAACTATTGAGCATTAGCTGAAATTATTTTTTTAAAATTCTCAAATTAAACGTTTATTTTATTTTAGAGATTCTCTACCAATTATTCTTAGAAAGTTTATATTTTATTATTCATGTATTCTGAAATCTTTTTATCTTAATTTAATATATAATCAATAACCTATTCTCTCTTATTTATGTCATTAAACATTTATTAATCAAGCTCTTTGACTGGGTTATAATTTTACTAATTAATCATATCTTCCACTTCTTTCCTACTATTTTTATAAAATTACTATTTAAAATTAGAATTTATTTAGTTCATAAACTATCTAACAGATTTTTTGCTCAATTCATTTTTATCATCTTTGTTTTCAGCTAGAATCTTCTCAAATTAATTTTATTTACTTTATTCCAATTGATCTATTATTTTTCTTACTGATTACATTTATTAAAAGCAAATAAACTTCCAAATAATTAATAAACTAAAAAATATTATACATCTTTCTCCTAATCTATTTAATGTAAGCCCAAAATAGGCAAATGATTTATTAAACTTATTTTATATTAAATCTGTATTTAATTTATCAATGAGTATATTTACTTTTTGCATATTATACGACGACACTCCTACTTACTATTACTAATAAAACTAAGTTGAATGCTAATTAATTATTTCTTATGAAATGAATTAATAAGTTTCTGTGTATAATTGATCCCACGATTAATCTATTTTCATTCTATCTGTAAAAGACTAGCAAAAATTATTTTAAAGATTTAGATTGTAATTTTAAAATTACATTTACTCAAAATAGTTTTAATATTATTGATAATCTACATCATCATTAAATTCAAATTTAAATTTTTATGAAATAATGTAAAATTCATTACACTTTTATTCTAAATATTATTTTACTTCAAAACATAACAATTATTTTTCTTCTTAAAAAATATTTATGTAATTTAGCTTATTATAAATCTAAGGAGGAAAATTATTATATTCCAAAAAGTTTGGTTTCTGTAGATCCTAGGGTATTTATATTGACATTAATAATCTTTAAAATTCTCTAAATTAATCTGTATTTAATTAAGAATGCTATTGATTCATAAATTATTAAAGATTTGGATCAATTTATAACTAAAAATGATCAAAAATACATTATAATTATTGAATATTGTTTCCCTCAGTTTAAAAACTGTAAATAAGATCAGAAATAAATTTATTAAAGCCTTCTTAAAGATGATCTTTCTGAATATATTTGATTTTTATTTAACATCGATAAAATTTTAAAAAATTGATATAATTTGGTCCATCAAAATCTTGGATTTTTTGTTATAAAGTTTATTGAGAGATATTGTAGTATTTATCTGTTTTAAAAATAGGTCTAAATTAAGTCTCATTCAACTCTTAAGAATATAATTGAAATAATTAATCTTTTCCTTCCTAATTTTAGTCTATTTAATCTCTCAATAATTAAAGATAGCTAGTTTCTTTGGTTGATCTCAAAATAAATTCATTATATTAGCCTTTTATGGTTTCATATTGCAAATTTTAAAATCTATAAAATTATTATCGTAAATTTTTAGAAAATTATTTTACAATATTATCCCACTCTTAATGAAATTATTCCATATTTTTCTCGTTGATTTATTCTTATTAAGCTTCTTCATACTAAAATCTAACGCGCTCAGATAAATCTTGAAAACCTTTTTGTTTATAATACTCAATTAATTGAAGAATAATTGATTCTGTAATTATTAGTTTGCAGGCTAATTTTTCATTATGAATTTATTATTCTAATTAATCTTAAAATTTTAAATAAATTTTTTTAGAAATCTTTTTCTCTTATTAATAATTTATAAGATCTTAATTTATATTTTCTTAAATCCTTTGTAGTTTGTTACTAACCTCATTTGTCACATCATATTCTAATTATTATAAATGTTAGAAAGTTATTTAATTATTTAGAGTAGAATCATTAATCTAAAATCTAATTTAATTTTTAAATTCAAAATCTCCACTTCTTCTTTCAAAAATATTGTTATATTCATTTTTCATTTATATATTTTAATGTAATTGTAGAAGTTCTTCAAATTCAGAAAAATCAGGCAATTTTTAAATGCTATTCCAAATTTCATCAATAGAGTTTAATATTTAAGTTAGATTTAATAATTATACTTTATCAATGGAGAGTTGAAATTTTTCAAAATAATTTTTAATCATTTTAATTCCATTTTAATAAGCACTGGTAGAAAATGTTTCATTAATTTTTGATTAAGTCCACTATTAAGAATTCCAAATATTCTATATTTAAGTAAATCCTAAGACCCAAATATGTTTTGGATTGATATCTATAATATTTGAATAATCAATTTATTAATTTTATTCCTCTTAACTTAAGTGTATAGCTAATTATTGTATTTGTTCAAGAAAAGGTCCTTTCTTTTACACATCATTATTTTAATTAAAGCACCATACTATCTATTTTATTGCTGCCATGTTTTTAATTAGTTGAGCATATTATTAAATAGAAATTTCAATAAGTTTATGAAATTATGAAAGAATATCTCCTTTGATTGTTAATAAAATAATATCGCTAACTGCTAAAATAAACAATGACATTTTTTTATCAAATTCATTATCAATTTGATTTGGACTTTAAAGTCCTTCAGTATCCAGTATCAAAATTTGATCAAATAAATTTTCATAAGTAGATTTTTCTCTCACTTTTATTAATTGTATATTAACTCCTTTTGTGCATCTTCCCACACTTTCCAAAAAATGACATCCAAATATTTTATTTAATAGGGTTGATTTACCTGAACTTTAAGGTCCTAAAACACTTAAAATTAAAACTTTTTAATCTTTATTTTTATTTAGTTTTTCTATTAATTGACTTAAAAATTACTTATTTATTTTTTAAGTATCACTATCTAAAAGTTCAAAGGGTTCCCCTTTTCTGATTAATTAACAAAGTGAATCAATCGGATCAATATCAATTTTTATTCCTAGACTTTTGAATTAAATTAATTCTCTCCAAAATATCTCTATACTAATTTTTTTAAATTTAATAAGATTCTCAATTTCCTGAATTTAATTTTAAACCTCCGAAAATTATTAATTTAATTCTTAAGATTAATTTGAAAATAATATTTAACTACTAACTCTTATGGATGATCGTTCTTGAATAAGATTTTAAGATCTCAATGTTAATTATTACATATTTTCCTCATCAAATTGTTTCAATTTTTCAATAAACCATAAATACTAAATATGATCTTTTTTTAATATTTATTAAAATAGCTTTAATAATTTTGTAGGTATTCTATATTTTTTAAAGATTTAATAGTCTTAAATTTGCTCCTCTACTTCTTTAATCGATTAATCTTAACTTGGATGCTACAACATTTAGTGAATTTTGTTTTCCAATATATTAATCTAAAAATCACTGTGGCGCAAAGAAAAAGCTTCTAAATCATAGAATCCCTAATCTAATTCAAATATTCTTTTTAATTCTTTCTCTATAGTGTCAAATAGAATTTGATTTTAAATAATCTCTTCTGAATTTTCTTTAGATTTGGAATTGAATTCTTAAAGGATTTTTAAATATATTTTATTAGATTCTGTTATCAAATCCTACTATGCAAATATTTAATCATAAATATATTTTGAAGCTTAATCAATCTCATTTAGTTAAACTTATTTATTGATTTCTCCTTATGCTAGATCAATAATTTAATGAAAAGTGATATTAAATTATTTTAATTCCCTTAAAGTTTATTCTGGTATTTAACTTTTATTTGAATTTCGAATGAGGAGACATATTTAATAAGAATTAAGATGTTAAATTGATTTTATTATTTCAATAGTATTATTTAATTCATTTTCTGTATCTATTTGAATTATCCAAATTTAAAATAGAGGTAAAACTTTAATTAAAATATCTAATGGAATATATCCATGTGTATCTGCAACCATAAAGTTCCTTGTACCATTAAATTCATAATCAAACATCAAATCTATTGTATTATCATTCAATTAACAATTATCTCTTATTTCAAATTTTTATTGTTTATAAAAGATGTTATTTATCAATTCTGTTTTACCTATTTTTGATTAGTTTTTACTTAAATTAAAATTTATAATATTGATACTATTTTTCATCAAGTAATACAATTTATCATTTATTTCATATATATCTTAAAAATTTTAAACATTATCAAGTTTATAAGTTTAGTATATAAATGGAACAGGATAAATTTTTGAATGATACTTAAGAAGCAAATATTCTAATTCTTAATTTGAATTATTAAAAAAGATTTGAAAAATGGCTTTGATATTTAAGTATCCTGATTTAAATTAGGAAATTTTCTAAATTTCTTCGTTTATAATTTTAAGAAAAAGATCAAACGATTCACCTCTTTTTAAAATATCTACAAATATATCAAATAGATAATATGTAGAATTTGCATCCATACATTAAACCCAATTTTTTATTGTTGAAAAAAGTAGTTGATTTTATTCTTCTGGAGCATAAAAGCTGAATTGTTCTATTGCTATTTTCGAACCTTTTGGAAATTATTTATGAATCTTTTTCTGTCTTTAACAAATAGGGTTTAATTAGAAAATGTTAAAATACTCAATAATTCCTAACCAATTTTCATATAATGTTTTGTCTAATTCATAAAGTTATTCGCACGCCTAAATAAATTTTGAATCTTTAAAATTATTATTTTTTAAGGAAAGGAATATTTATTCGATTATTTTCTAGAATTATTCATTTTATGTATTTAATTTTAAATAAAACTCTATGAATAGAATCATGTGTTATTTATCTATATATTAAAAACTGTAAGGAAGAATCATCAAAATATTTTTAATTATAAAATTTATATTTTCTAATTATGTTTCTTTAAATTTATCTTTTAGTAATTTAGCTGCTTCAAAAATACTTAAACTTTTCTATGCTTTTATTTATTGAATAATATCCAATATTTAAGGATTAAATTAAGTAATCCAAAAAAAATGAACCAATTCTCTTTCTTCTTAAATTTCATTTAATTAACAATATTATAATTCAGAGACATTTTACCAAAATTATGATGACAATTTTACAGAAGTTTCACAAATTGTTGTTTTTATATCTGATAATTTTTTCTTATACTCTTAATAATGTTAAACTTAAAAATCGTTTGAAAAATAAAATACTGTATGAACAAATTAATTTAAAATTTAATCTTTATTTGAATTTATTTACTCTTCAATAATTTATTTCATAACATCTTCTCTACTTTTCCCCTCTATTTTACAAATATTTTAAATATCTGAGAATCCTTATGATATATCAAATTAAATCAAATAATTCATCCAAAAATAAAATATAATACAATAATATACCTCTTCTATTTCTTCATTAATTTTTTCAATAGATTAAATATAAGAAAGTAAGGCATCCAATTTAAATTCATGCTTCTAACATTACAATAAGCTACAAAATTTTAAAATTAAAAATTCTCGATATTCTTTATAATTTTCAATAAGAGAATCAATTGCTAAAAAAAAATTATAATCTTTCATTTATTTTATATAGTTTTTAAATTCCTCTGAAGATATTAACTATAATTATCTTTCTTATAATTTCTTGATTATTTTTTTATAAGAATCTTTATCAATATTTTATTTTTTTTCAAGGTAAAATTGAAATTAATTTATTTAAGGTGTTAATTAGGCACCTATAATTTATTCTATAATATTTATCTGCTATTATATATTTGGAAGAAAGAGAAAGGAAATTAAAGTTTGAAGTAATTTTATTTATTGAATGAATTTTTTTCCTAATCTACATTCATTTAAATCAAGCAAATCAAAAATTTTTTCCTCTAAATTAGAAATTATTTATTCATTTTTTGAAATAAGATAATGAATTTCGTTATCCTTATTAAACTAAGAGTTTTTTAAAGACTATAAAATAAGTTTTTTATCTTTGTTAATCCTTGCTCTCTAATATAATTCTTAATTATTTGATATTTTGACATATCCACTTTATTCAAGTATTTCTTCACCATTAAATTCCTATATCATAAATTATATTATTTTTTATTAATCATCTTAATCCAATTAATCAATAATTTTTTTTAACTCATTTATAATAAACACAGGACGAATATATTATCTTTTTCTAATCCTTTCAAAAATCGTTTTTAAATTTTCTATTGCATCTTTATTATTTATTTAAGGGAAACCAGAATCCATTATTAAAAACAATTAATTTAATTATTGCTATTAATAGAAATTTATAGAATAAATGTAGAATTTTTATTATTTTTAATAATAAATATAAAAATCAATCTAGAATGTAAAATTCGAATAATAAGAAATCTGAGAATAATAAAAATGCCGATTAAAAAATTTAAAATGAGAAATCTAAATAACAGCAATAAAATAAACAAGCACCAAATAAAAAATCGTTAAATAATCATTAAATTTATACTTTAATGTAATGTGGAATGAATGGAATTGACTTCTAACTTATGCATGATGAGAGTCATATTTCTAAAATAACTGAGATAGTTGAAGGAATCTGCTTTAAAGTAGTGAAATGATTATATTAATTATTTCATTTTGATCGCAATCTTTTTAATATTTATTATGCTAAAATATTATATTAAAAAAAAAGTATTTTGAGTGATGTAAAAAAAAGTGAGCAATCAACAACTTGTTGATTATGCAAAATTAAAAGTATTATCAATAAAAAAGGATTGTATAGAAAAATGAGATCCAAAAGATTCATTAATTAAATTATAAAATTGAGCATATATTTTATAAATATCAGATATCTCAAATACAATATTTGATTTATATTGAAATCCTTATTATTTGCATATGTAATTTGTATAATTTTTTGATTTATTCTATTGTCAGCTTCTTACATTTTAACATTTTAATTAGTTGTAAAATCATCAATTTATTCTCCATTTTATACTATATAATTCAATTATAAAAATATCAACTAAAATTTGATATTTAAGCAAATTAAATATTCTAATAACTTCATTAAAAAAATAAATAATGAAACCCTCTCCTATTATTATACCTTATTCAATGGAGTTAAGATTTATTAAGACAATGTCTTAAGTTATTAGATAATTTTCAAATTTTTCTTTACATTTAAATCTGAAAAGGACTTTTTAATTTCAAATGTCTAAAATGAATGAACACAAATTTCTAACAAGTTTCATATTCAAAAATATTCCTTGTTTATTTATTTAACAATTCAAATTTCATGTTTTTTTCTAAAGTTTTGTTTTTATTTCTAATTCTTGTTTTACATTAAGTTTTAAGATGATCCATTTTGAAATGTTAATTTAGTTTATCTTCAAAATTACAAAATTAAATAATTTAATCAAAATTATATTTTTTTATATATCTTTAATAACATGTAGTATAAGTAGTAATATCAGTATTCAAAGGATATTCATTTTATTAAACATATTTATACAATCCTCCAGCTTTATCGATTTACAATATATTATTTGATTAAAGGCAGAAATTTTTAATTGTCTAATCGCGAAATGTAAAAAAACCAAAAGAATAATAATGATCAATCAATATTATGTCTTATTGTGGAATAAGCATTTAAAAAAGAATCTAATTGCTTTTTATAAGTTTTATGTTTCTTACTTGTTACATAATTACAATATTCTCTTATTATTATTAATTTAATTATTTTATTTTCAAAGAATTTTTGTCATTTTTTTTAAATTTATAATCTAGTAGTTTTGGTATTTACTATTTTAACTATATTAAATTTTATTAAGATCATCATCACACATCTTTCTACATCTAATAAATTTTGATTAGTTGATTTTATTTATTATAATATAGTAATAATAATAACATTTATTTTAAATTGTATTCAAAATTTTCTATATATGTACCTTAATTTGATCAATTACTAAATAAATTTTGATTCGTAAAATAAATTCTATCATATTCTTATAAAAATCATGTAAATTTCATTTGATTTTTTTAAAAGTTAACTTGTAAAGCTGTTTTAAAATAACTTTATTTATGAAACATATTTAATTTATAATTTTCAAACTAATAAATATTTATTTTTGGAATAAAAAAATTATTATAATGAAATAGTTTAAAATACTACATATTTCTAATACCAATTATTAAGATTATTTTATTCGATTAATATTGAAATATTATGGAATTTTAATGAATCTTAAATTATTAATTTTAATTACATATTTAATCTCATAATTCTCATATGAATGGATATTTATTAAATATAACTAAAAAATTGTTTATGAATATAAAAAATTTTGAATAATTTATGATTGCAAGAAAAACTAAATAAATAAAAAAGACACTAAATTTGTAAGATATAATATAGAATTGAATAATTTAATTAGATTGAAAAAGGAAATATAAATTTATTAAATGTATTTAGATAGTTTCAAATGCAATTATGAATTATTGAAAGCATGTTTATATTTTAATATTTAAAAAATAAAATATTTTTGGGTATTCTAACATGATAAATTTATAATTAAATGCTGAAAAACTTAAAATTAATGAATAAATAAGTAATATTTTATTAAAATGAGATTCAATTAGTTAAATTGTTATTGAATTATTTATATTTGTTTAATATTTAATATTCCAGTTTTTAAATGGTTAATTATGTTCTGTTGCTAATAGTTTGTATGAGTTTAAAAAGTCTAAAGATTAAAGAAATAGATTAATAATATCAGATTAGCAAGTAATCTATTAGACTATCAGATAATGAGTATTAAAGTTCAAATGGATTTCGATATGGTTTATGGTCTAGATATAATCCTTTGACTTAAATTACTTAATTGGGTATTATTAATTAATTTGAAAGCAATTGCTTACTTTTACATAGTGCAGTTGAAGAAAAGACTTATTCACTTAACTTTTTATATTCTGATTGTTTAGATTACGCAAATAAAAAAATTAAAAAAAAAATTGCTTTTATAGATAATAATAATGAAGAACATATTTTTGAAGAGAAAGTAGATATTTTTGAATATGAGAATGTTTGGTATTTTTTTTGTATTTTTTAATTGCCACAATAACAAAAATTAGAACTAATTATTATTGGTAATAAAATAACCATACTCCATTAATATTTAGAAATAAAACGGCCTTTTTAAGATACTAACCTCTTAATGACTTTTGGGGATAGTATGATTGTAGGTCTATCAAAAGTTCCATCTATTTAATCTGGAACTAAATTTACTTATTTTCCAGGCTAATTGATTCTTTATGAATATACAGTTATAGAGAATTTAGATGACATAAATTATGATTAATTAGCTAACGAAACCTTATAACCATTTTTAAGTTGTAAATGTAAACCTAACTTAATTTATACTTTAAATGATTTAGATATCAATTATTTATAAAATTAGATTTTTGTATCAGAAAATATCAATTGTAATTCATTTACTTTATCTGGATGGCTGAAAATTACAGATATAATTTAGAAATAGGATGAATTTATGTATCAATTATTGATTCTAACGTCTAATTTCTAAAACTCTTTAGCAGATATAAATTTATCTCCATTATCTTTATCTTATAGGATTTCATCAATTAAAAATTAAATAATTGTTTCAACTTACAGTTATACATTTCCAATAGTAACAATAGATTTTTCTGATAATCCATTTCTAATTAAAAAAGAATTGGAAATTGATAATCCAATAACTCTTTGGCATAATATTTATGTTAAATTATAAGAAGATTATTTAACGATAGAAATAAAATTCTATGATGAGAATTAAATTTATATTTATAAATCAGAAATTAAAGTAATCTAATTTAAAAGAACATAATTTAAATTATAATATGGTAATAATTTATAATTGGCATCCAATTATTTAAATGTATAACTAAGAAATATAAAATTTTATAATTGTGAAATTTAAATAATTTAATAAAATTGTCATTATAGTTGTAAAGATTGTGATGGTCCTACTAAAAATAATTGTTTATCTTGTGATAAAACATCTTCTAGAATTTATTTACCATAATTCAAAGCTTGTGTATGTCCAATAAATACAATAGATAAAGAATATTGTTTATCCTATTCAGATTATAATCTAGAATTAGTTATTGATATAAATATGAAACAAAAGTGTAAATATGGATATTTTGAATATCTTGATAATTGTTTTTAATGGTAATTTCTCAATATGAATTAGCCCTTCCATTATTACAGAAAACTTAGTAACTTGTTTAGAATGTGTATAAAATCCTAAAAAATGGATATAAGATCCATAATGTGATAAGACTTTATTTTTAGATAAGAATGGAGATGTATAAAGAATTTATTCAGATTAAATACCTAAATATTTCCAATTTGATGGAATGGATCTGATTTATTGTAAAGACTGTAACTAAAATTATTCCTTTATTCTCAATGATTATATGTAAGATATATCTAAAATTAAAATTATATCTTATAAGTATTTCTGTTATAGTGTTATACCAAATTGTGAACAATGTATATATACTATATATGGAAATATTTGTTATTAATGCTATTATGAATATGTACTGATTAATGGTGCTTGTACTTAATTGAAAAACACAGAAGTAAAATACTGTATCGCTCCATATTATTTAACATTAAATAAATAATGTAAATTATGTTCTATTAGTTTTTGCAAATATTGTTTTGAATTCTTGTTGAATGATTAAAATATATGTACATTATATGGTGAATTTTAATATGAAGATTAAGATGAAGAAAGAATTGTTGGATGTGCTTTATGTGAAGAAAATTATATTTATGATTTTGATATTGGTAAATGTTTATTTTAGAAACCCAATATATAAAATTGTTTAAGATCTTATATTAAAGATAATCAAGAAATATGCACTTTATCATTAATAGATGATTTTAATATTGCTTCTGAAATAGTAGAATGTTAAAAATATTAACCTAATTGTTTATAATGTATTTTATCTCCTGAATCTTAAATAAAATGTGTTATTTGTGATTTAGGATACACAGCTTCAATTAAAAATGGAGGTTGTTATTAAACAGATTATTTTTCAACAGCATCAGCAAAAATAGTAACAGAAGGTTCTTTTTTACTAAAGAATGGTTGGACTTAATTAATTCAAAGTTTTATGATGAAATTTTAGCCTATTTAATATTTTTCTAATAGATTTCCTATTTTAGATATTCAAGAATAAATAGTTGAATGTATTGATGGTTTTTAACTTGTTGAATTTGTATGTAGAAAATTTTGTGATTCTAATTGTTAAAAATGTGATTATAATTATTAAGATGGTTTTATTTGTGATAAGTGTCCCTTGAATTATTATTTCTAACCTAATAGATATTAATTTGAAGGCTCTTGTTCTTAATGCCCTAATTTATGTTAAGCATGTTAAATACGATCAGAATAAGAAATATATGTAATTATATATTTTATTTTAGACTTAAAAACCTAATTTCTCAATTGATAATTATGATAATCATTAATTTACTAAAAAATGTTTCAAATAAGTTTCTGATCCTAATATATAATTAGATCCTTATGATTAAATTGCAAGATATTGTTTTGATGAATTTTGTTCTTCGACTTTCTTACATAAAATTCAATATGATTATTGTGAATTGATCGATTCACATTGGGAAAAAGAAATTTAAATTTAATATTTGAATTATATTGGAGTTCATACTATAATTATTTAATTTAACTTTACTAGTTCATTACCCTGTTATTTTGTCAACCAATTGTTAAAAACAACATTAAAAACTAAAATATTTTCACTTAAAAAAGTTTAATTCATTATTACTTCAGAAATTAACTTAATTTATTAAACCAATGCACCAATAATTATTTAAAATATTGATAATTTAGTTATTGCTAATCTTATTTAAAAAAGAATGGAAAATGATGACTTTTTAATTCTAAACTATAATAACTCAATAGATTTAAAATTAGTTAATTTTACAATAATTGATAGTATTATTCATAATACTGAATCTTGCTTTTAAACTTCATCTTTTGGTGATATTTAACTTAATAATTTAACAATCCTTAACACAAGGATTGAAAATTCATCTTTGTTAAGTTTAGAAATGTCAAAAATTAATGGAATTATTAAAATTCATGTATTACAAATAACAAATTCTATTTTAATTAATTCTAATTTATTTTAGTTTACAAATAATTAAATCTTCTTATAAGTTGAATATATTTAAATTGAAAATTGTATATTTTAAAATTCTACAATTTTATTTGCTGAACCTAATTTTGATTAATTAAATCAAATAACATTTAAGAATATAACCATAAAATAATGTTAATTTTAAAATTCCAACTTTATTAGTTGTTTTGGATAGACAATTCTATCAATAATAAATATCAATTTATTTACAAATGATATATAAATGTCAAGCTTAATCAATGCAAATTATAATCTATCCATAGATTATTTTTATGCATCTGATAATAATCTAAAAGAGTCATAATTAATTACAATTCTTGAGAAAAATTATAACTCACTTATTTCTATAAGAATTAATAATTTTAATATATAATAGTTTTAAATGTAAAACTCAAATTTTTTAAAAATGTAATCAAGCTAAGAATCAAGTAATGTAATTTTTAAAATGACAAAATTCTATTTAAAAGAAATAATAAGTCCTTCTAATTATGGATTCACTCCATTTTTATTTATTATTAAATGCTACTAACTCATATCAAAAGATATTTAATTTTTTAATTTGAATAATATTTTCATTTTTTATATATATGATAGTAATCAAATTGTAATTTAGAATATAATCTATGAATAATAATATTAAAAGTAAAAAATACAATTAGATTAAATTTGCAAAATGAATATCCTAGAAAAAAATTAACTACTAAAAATAATGAACTTTAATTCCTTTAAAATTTAAAACTTATTGGTTTTAAATTAATTTACTGTTGATGAATCTATATTGCATTTATCTCCAAAATAAATCGAATTAACCTCAGTAAATAGTACTATACAAATTATGGATATTATATTTAAAGGAAACTTATTATTACATTAATAATCAGAAAAATCTTTTTCCCTTTTAGCAATAGATTCAGAAAGAAATATAGAAATCTAAATAAATAATATTTAATTTTTTGAAAATATTTTTCATTCATAAATAGATGATACATTTGTATCTTATGCATCATTAATTTTTATTAATTCTTAAAGTAGCATAGTGGAAATATTAAATTTATTATCTTAACATAATGCATTTACAAATTCATCTAATTCTTTTATCTACATAAATTCATTAAATGTAACATTTCGTAATTATAATGTTTAAAATCATAATGATTTAACCATAAATTTATTATAGAAATATTATAATTTAGAGTTGAATGAATAATTAGAGAGCAGTAGATTAAAATAATTAATTTTTGAAATATTTAATATAAAAAATATTGGTGGAGCTGCTAAAATAAAAACATCTACATTTATATGTTAATATTGTAATTTTGAAAATATTCTTGCATTTAAAAGTGGGATTTTTGAAATCATTACAGAAAATAAAGGAATAATAAAATTAATTGAAATTACAGCAAATAATATATCAACAGATTTATATTAAGTATCAAATACAACAGGTTCCATAAGTATCAATTCATAAAATAGTATTCTAAATCTAGAAATTTCTGATTCAAGTTTTAAAAATATTTTTAATAGAATGTCTTCATCAATACTTACAATTTAACCTTCTAATATCTAAAATATAATTGTTTTATTTAATATTTAAATTGAAAGTTGTATATCATTGATGAATTAAATTCTTTATGTTTAATTTTCTAAAAAAATTGTTGAAAAAAATAAATTATTATTTAAGAACATTAAAATATCATAAAATGAGGAATAATGGAAATATTTTTTTTTTTAAATAGGAGTTTTGAGTAAAAATGAATAATTAAGTATTTCAAGTAGTGAAAACTCTGAGATATATTTAGAGAATTGTTAAGTTTCAGTAAAAAATGTAATTTTCTAGGGATTTTATATATCACCAATCATGATATTTATTAATTCACCATAATTAATATTAAAGAATCTGTAATTGAGATAAATTTAAGTATTTTACACTTTTACTTTAATAAAAATAATTTAAAACATGAATTTACCATCATAAGTAAATATCTAAAAATTGAGAATTGATAGTTCTTAAATATATTCAGCAGAGGATAATAAAATTGAATATAACAATTAAATATATTTTAGAATAGGATGTAATTAATTTTCAACTAAATTGTCTATAGATAGATCAAGTTATTATTTAAGAGATGTTTTTAAATCTATATAATAAGATTTGTCAGATTTAACATCATTGATATCTATATAAAGTTCTTCAGATGTACATTAGTTTACTTTTAATTAATTACATTTAATTTAAAACAATTGCACTTTTTGTAACGATGGATTATTTTCTTTAAATTTCTTTTCATTTAAATATGTTAAAATTGTAGATTTTATTTGTAATTATAACTTTGTTTAATAGTATGGATGTATAAAGTTTATTACTCAAAATAATATATCTTAAATAGTTTAAATGAAGAATTTGATTATTATTAAAAATGAAGGTAGTTAAGGAATAGCATTATCTTCTTTTAAAGTGCCTATTATTATAAAATAATGTCAAATTCTATTTAATAATGCTAGTAATTTAGGTGGAGGTTTATATTTGGAACTAAATAGTAGTTAATTTATTATTGAAAAATGTAATATAATATTAAATAAAGCAAGAGAGGGTGGAGGTATTTATTTTAATGAAGATAGTAATATAAATGTTTAAAATTTTAAACAAAATTATTTAATATTTAATCAAGCTTCTTTATATGGAAATAATCTTGTAGAAAATCCAACTCATTTAACTTTATTTATAAATTCATTAGAAATGCCATCAATAATTAAAAATACTGAATAATTATCAATTCATAAATTAAATTTATAACCTTATATAACTATTGAATAAGAAAAGAAAATAAAATCAAAATATTTAATGATTCCAAGTAATTAGATTATATCTGAATTTAGTATTTGTTTACCTAAAACTTCATAAACTTTAATTTAAATCAATAAATTAGCTTTAATGTTTAAGAATAGCCTAAATGAATAACTCTTTTATCTTGGAAATTCTTTTTGTCTTGTTAAAAATAAAATTGTGAAATTCGATCGTACAGAAATAAATGGATATTTGAAAAAGAATTCATTATTATTTGATATTAATTAAAATAATTTTGATTTAACTTAACTTACTTTTTAATTTGATCCTTATAACTAAGATTATCATTATTTAGATATTTAATTAAATTGTCAAACAGAAATATAATAAAATTTTATAGAATATAACATCTAAGCATAAAGTTACAAATGTTAATTAGGAGAATTTTATGTTGACTTTGGTTGTTAAAAATGCCTTCCAATTTAAGGTTTTTATTCTGTAACTTATGATACAATTAAATGTTCAATATTTGATAAAGAGAAATTCTTAGAGATTTAATAAAATGCTATAAATTTAAAAAAAGGATATTGGAGGCCAAATTATCTATCTGATTATTCTACATTATGTTTTAAAAATACAGAAAATTGTAATGGAAGTTGGAAAGTAGGAGATAAAAGTTGTAATGAAGGACATATTGGTGCATTATGTGAAGAATGTGATATTTATAATATTATGGGATTTGGAAGATATTTTAAAAGTTAATCTAATTCTGATTGTTTTATATGTGATGGAGTTTTAGATAGTATTATTCCTTTTATCTTAAATACAATATGGTAAATTCATCATTTATTTTAGGGCTATCTTATCAATTATTATAACTCTAAAAAGTATTGAAAGATCTAATGAACTATTTTTATTATTCAAAATAAAAGAAAGATTTAGTAAAATATTATTTAAATTAAATTAAGGTATTTAAAATTACTATTCTAGATCTTTAAAGTATCTTAATGAAAATGTTTTTAACTTATTTGTGGATATTTTCAGTAATATTCACATTTAATACAAGTTTTTCATTTTAATTAAACTTTATAAATTAAGCTAGTAATACTTCATATTCTATGGCAAACAATTTAGATTGTTATTTATCTGAAATATAAAATATTGAATTAATCTATTTCAAAGTTATTATAATCATAATTTTAATATTATGGTAATTTACTTTAATTTTTATTGGATATATACTATTTTCAATTACTACAAAATCAAAATTTAAACTTAGTATTATTACAAATACTTTACTTTGTCTTTATATTTTTAATTTTGCAGGAATTATTAAAATGTACACTATTTAAATTATTAATTATTTAGTTTATGTTCTTTAGTATCTATAAGAGAAATATCAAAATTTTAATATATTTAAGGAGATTTAACTAGATTATTTTATTCTTAAATTCATCTATTATGGATATTTTATTTAGTGCTTCCAGGATTAATAATTTTTGGATGTGCAATCCCATTCTCATTATTTATGTTAATGTACATTAAACGTAAATCTCTAAACTAATCTAAATTAAGACCTCACATCTGTTATCTTTTTAATGAATATGAATAGAACTGTTACTTTTGGGAATAAATTAAATTAAGTAAAAAAGCTATTATAATTCTATTTTTAACTTATTTTGAAACTAGTATTACTTTAAAAGCATCTTTAATTGGAATGACTTTGTTATTATACTAATAATTAGCATTTAAAAATAGACCTTATATACATACTAATCTTAATAAATTAGATTTATAAACTGGATAAATTTGTTCTGTCGCAATTTTCCTAGCTGCCATTTAATATGAAAATGAAACATACAATTACAATTTCTCTTCAATTTTACTTTAAATTTTAATAATTTTCTTATTCATTATGCTTTCGTATATATTTATTTTTAGTATTGCAACCATTTATTTTAAGAAACATAAATTTATTTTAATTAAATACTTACATTTAATTCTTAAAGTTATGAAAATGAAGAAAAGCTCATAAAAATTTTATGATCTTTTGAACTAAAAATTAAAATAAAATCAAAAATTAAAAGAAAATATAGCTAAATTAAAAAAATATCTTATGTTGGTTTCAAAATCATAAATAAAACATAGATCGTATTTAATATTATATTCTTAGCATTATTCTCTCTTCAATTATTTCCGTACCAACTCACAATTCAAGACTTTTGAGTGCAGAACTTACAGAATAGCATTATATGATAACCAAAAGAATGAATGAATTTTGAAAAAATGTTATAAAATCTATGAATTCAGTTTATTATTAATTAACTTAAAAAAATATTTATAAATATTTGATAAATATATATCTATTCAAATAGTTTTATGAATATTTAATTTAAGAACTATATTCATTTCTAAATCCTTTTAAAAAATTAAAGTCGGATGTTGAATAAATTTTAATACATTATTAATTTCTTCTTTTTTAGCATAATTGATAAACAGAGTTATTAAAAATATAAATTACTCTTATAATTACCAATTAAATGATAACCAATTTATCTTACAGAGATGAATAGAATTAGTTTATTAATTTAAATTCAGTTATAATCATAATTTTAAAATTTTGATTCAATGATATTACTTAATTATCTTATAAATTTGAATCAACTTGAAACATTAGTTTAGAAGAGCTAATCTATGTTAGAAAGATCTTTTGTTATTTTAGGTAATAAATAAGTATTAAAGTTATTTACATCATTTTTTTTCAGATTTTTTGAGCAAAAGTATATTTAATAAAGCTTATAATATGATTAGAGTTTAAAATAATATACTCATTTTATAAAAAATAATACCTTATATTATTAAATTCTATTCATATAAATTAAAAAATATATTTGATAATCATATTATTTGATACCCATATATATTTGAAAAATTTTTAAATAGCTCATAATAATAATCATCCTACCAATAAAGTTAATTATTTAGATTTTAACTGTTTTATTAATTTACAAAATGTGGCTGTTTCTATAGTATACATTTTTATTGTTCAAAATAGATAAGAAAATTCCCAAAGTCATTTTATTAAGAAATTTTGACATAAGCGAGGTATTCAAAAATATTAATTATCCTACCATTTTTCTTTTCTGCATCCAAATAACTATAAAATAGATGAAATATCTAGTGTAATCTAAATTATTCTCTTAAATTTCCAGAGGGAAGTTGTCTTATTGCATAATCTGCATATGTTTTAAATTTACTATTGGGATTGTATGACAATTTCAATTTCTTGATATCTTCTTTTAACTTTTCGTAATTGTTATTTATAGAATTAAGGATATTCTGAATAGTAGGGTGAGTATTATTATTTATTGGAAGTTCAAATTTTTTTAGAAATTCTATTAACTTATTTTACAATTATTATTAATTGTTAAGATTGTTTGAATATTATTCATTTGATATATATTAACCATTCGAAAATTAAGGGGATTAATTAATCTTAGCAATATTCACATAATCTTTTATAAAATTATTTGACTTTTCTTAATTATAATCGCCAAATTGATTACTTTAATCTGAGTGGTTTTGAAGATCATTTAATTTATTATTCTTCATTATTTTTTCTTAAAAACACGTAGTATTACTTTTTTAATTTTCTTAGATTGCTTGTATAAATTCATTCAATGAATTTACTAAGTGTTAAGTATTATTACTAATTATTTCGTAAGAAGGATCTAGATGTGTATTAAATTATATTAGATTTTATAGAGTATCATTTATTTAAAAAATATCCATTTAATTTAACATATTAAATGAGATGTCATATTGTTATTGAATATTCAATTTAACCTCATCAAACATTTAAATTAATTAATTTTGTAGATTGTTTATTTTTTTAACAGTATCTTAATACTCTAAGGCCTTAGTTTCTATAAAATTCTTTAATTCAATAATTTCTTTTTAATCTTTGTGATGTGCACAATGATTACCATCTTAAGAGCAATCAAAACAATTTAATCGAAAATTACTACAAAACTAATTCAAACAAACATGAGAAATCTTCTTATGATTATGATTAGAAATTGGGCAATACATTTCTACTAAACTATTATTAAAATGAGGAAAATTTAATTGTAACTTATTTTATATCAATTATTCATACATTCTAAAATAATAAAACAATATTTTACAATGCTTTATAATGAATTTCAGCTATGGTTGGTTATTTGAATTTACCATCGAATCCTTCTTAATTTAATTAATTATCAATAGATTACATTGAATTAATAATTTAAGTAGATAATTCATTAAATTAGTTACTATAATTTGTTTGTTTTTATGAATTAGAAAACAATCTCAAATATTTGTCTAAAGAATTATTTTTGTACGATTCAATTAAATCTAATTATTCTGTTAAATTAAAATTTTTAAACTCTGACATTGAGTTTAGTAGTTAATCTAGTATTTTTTTGGCTTTTTATTTTTATTAATTTAAAAATTCTTTATTCTATTAATTATTTAAACTCTATTAAATATAATAATTATTAGAGCTATATGTTCGATTTAATTATAAAACTAAATTGTTATAACATAAGTTGATCATAGGATGTAAAAGATCCTCTTTAAAATATGATACCACAGCTCTCATTACATAGAGTAAATTAACTACATTCTATAAGTCTTGATACACATAGTATTGAATTTGAGCTTAAGCTTCTTAATATTACTTATAAATCTAACATTCTATTCTATTATTTGAGGATGACCGAGATGTTGACCTCCTTTGAAACATTAAATTATTTAATTAAATATTTTCTATAGAATATGTGATATTTAACCAGTTTTTCTAATGTATTATAATTATATGTAATTACATATAAATTTTATATTTTGTATTTGATAGAATTATTCAAGATAATCTTTAAATTCTTATAAAATAAATTTTACATCTTAATCAAGTTGTTTAGCGAATTTTCAAATTATTTGATGATTTTAATGTATTTTGAATAGATTATTTCCTTATTTAAAATTATATTAGTTTTTATGTTATAATTAGTTTCTTTGAATTAAAAAAATATAAATTTAAAATTCAATATATCCTCATATAAATAATATAATAATAAATAAGTTCATAACTAATTAAAAGAAATTCATTATATATTTTCTACTTTTTGAAATATAGTTTGTTTCTGATCTAAATTTTGACAAAAATATCTATGCATCTTCTTTTTTAATTTATGTATATAATTTTAATAATCAATAGCATTATCAATTTTTAATATTAGAAGTGATAGTGTTAAGAAAATCTTCAAAGACTTTGCTTTTTTATTTTCAATATTAACAAGAATTTAATTCTTGTAAAATAACCAAAGTTATTGAGAAATATATAAAAAGAGAAAAACTTAAAAATTTAAGAGAAATTAAAACAATCAAAGTCTTGAAAAATAAATTAGGTTAAAATGATTAAATAGTGTATTAGTTATTTTGGTATGTTGGTGTCAATATATATAAGTGATTATAATTAATAAAGTAACATAAAATTAATTGTCAGAGTTATCAAAATGGGAATACCTTGTTCATCACAAAGAAAAACCACATTTTAATAAGAGTAGAATGGTAAATGTAAAAATTTATCATAAATTAATGAAACAGATTAATAGATTTCAATTAGTAATGGAATTTCTTACTTTTTAAGAAGATTAGATTAATTTAATAAATAAGATCAACCGCATGAAACTAAATAGTTAGTTTCATTCTTTGAAAAATAATAATAATGGTTAGAATGGAAATTAGAATGTGATATTGCTTTCATAATTGATTTAACAACAAAAAATGATAAAAAAAGAATAAGACTATTAAAAGAATTATTAGCTGATAAGGAGAGACATTAGTCTAGATTTGGAATTATTTATCTTGGAAATGAGAAAGCTTAGTTTGATTTAATAGATGACTCTGAAGAAACAACTTATAATCTATAAAAATAACTATAAAATCTTAAATTAGATGACTGGATAAATATTTTTAAAGCTCTCAGAGCTCATATAATTTTTAATAAAGAGTAAATCTTACCTTCAATTTATATTTTGAGTGAAAATAAATAGTCTTAAAATGATGATTCAATTTTAGAAGTTGTTGATAACTTATTAGAGGATACATGTTAAAAACATTCTCTAAATTTTCATTGTAATAGTTATAAAGTAGAAGATAAAGATTTTTATAGTGAACAAGAACTAAAATTATGAGGAATTAATATTGTAATATAACTAACTAAATAATTTTCTTAAGAATTCTTAATATTGCATATATTATTTTTAATATAAATTTAAATCAAAATTATCTTATTCATTTTTAAACTTATTTTATTTTTCAATTTACCCCTTTTTAATGTCTAAAATCATTGTATAATATGATACAATAATTAGGTCTTTTTAATTTCAGTGGCTTAATAATAATTATTGTTGATTGACAAATTAATGTTTTAGTGTGTTAGAATTTTGATTGATAACATAAAACTGGAGTTAAAAAATATAAATCAATTATATTGAAATTATGATGATTAATATAAGTTTTTAAAAAATAAGAATAAAATTATTGATTTTGAACTGATGTTATTATTTGAAATAAAACAAACTACTACTATCATCCATATCCAATTAAGATACTTTATTAATGTAAAAAAGAAGAAAAACATTAATAATTGAAAGATTATGAGTATTTAAAAAAATAAATTAGATTATTTAATATTACAATAAATTTCCAATAAAATCATTAATTATTTTCCTTATGTACTAATTACAACATTAAAGGGATAAACCTTTTGGCTTCTTCCTTTGTTAACAATTGTATTAATTTAGTGTTATTATTGTTTATAATTTTTTCGACTTCATCAAGTTGATACTTGGAAAGATCACTAAAAATATATTTAGTATTTACTTTAATGTTATCTTATAAATTTTATCAAATAGATCTTTACCAAGTGTAGTTTATAAATAAGATCTCATTGCTTAAGGGTTATTAAAATAATCTAAACCAACTTCTATATTAGTTTATCCAGCAGATTTTGTTAAATTAAAATCTTCATCATCATCTTCTAAGTCATCTATGTCAACAACTTCTTCAGAATCAAATTATTCTAAAATCTATTATCTTTTTTTTTCAAATTAAGCATCTTCTAATTAATTTACAATATTATTTGTTTCCTATACTTCTTCCATCTAATAATTAAGAAATTCTTCATACCACTTTTTCGTATTCTTTACATTAAATTGCTTATTACAATGCATCTATTTCTGCTTCATTCTCTTCTTATACTAATCCATAATCCATATTTCTATTATCTTCATCATATTCTTCAAAATTGTCTTTATCTTCTTAATTTTTCTCAGCATATTTATTTTTATCATTTTATTAACCTTCAATTTCATTAGTTTCTTAATCACTATTATATTCCTCTAATTAATTATCATCAAAATGTTCAGGTTAAGATATTGTTTATCTAACAATATATTTTGGTTCATTTTCTAAGTTTGGTTAACTTTATTATTATTGTTATATTTATTATCTTCTTTTTTGTAGATCATCTCTCATTTCTTTTTAGTACTATTCTCTCTTCTTTTTTTATTCATCTTTTAATCTTTTTTTTGCCTCCTCTTCTTATTAAAGTCTAATTAATTTTCTCTTTTCTTCTTCTTTTCTTCTAAGATCAGCCTCTAATTTTATTTACTGCATTCTTTTTCTTTCTTATTCTTATCTTTCATTATCAACTAATTTATTCTTACTACTGTTTCTTTATTTTTATAATTAGGCTGCAGAATTAGGCTTTTATTGTTCCCTTCTTGGTTATTATACATATTATTTTGGTTATTACATAACATGTTATTAAACTAATGGTTTTTCTTATCTACCTTAAATATTTCTATTTTATTGTTATTAATATTATTAATTATTTTTTTATATTTGCTATTGTTAAATTGGTGGTTGTTATTACTATTATTATACTTTTTATTATTGTAGTTATTATTTTGGAATAAACTATTATTAAGGTACATATTATTATTATTATTATTATTGTTATTGTTATTTTGGAACTTATTATGGTTATTACAATAATTATTACGATTAAGTACTATTTTATTTACTTAATAAATTAGGAGGAGGTCTAAGATTATCTTCATCAATTAATTTTAAATCAGTTATGTTTGCTTAACAATTGATTTTCTATATTAAGTTTATTATTATAAAATTACCTATTTATGTAATATAGTATGAGCAAATTCTACTTTTTATTAACTTTCAGTTAAAAATTCTTTCATTCTCGAAGATATAATTGGCATTTCTAATAAATGTTTAATTAGAAATAAGTTACTTAAAATTTAATTGATATTAGGTCTTTTTTATGGTTATAATTATAGTAATGATTTGACTAAATTATTCATATCTTTAGTAAAAGCATTAGGGATTTATGTAAATTGTCCTTTAACAATTTTTAAAGCTAAGAAATGTAAACTATCTGCAAGGAAAGGAGGTTTCAAAGCACATAATTCATATAAGATTGCTCCTAATGACCAAATATCGCTCTAATTTATTGATATATATTACAGCTTAAGAATAAGGTTTTGATTCAATAATTTCTGGTGATAAATAATAAGGAGTTCCAATTTAAGTTTTAGCTTTTTCTAAAGTATTGCCTAAAATTTTAGCAATTCCAAAATCTCCTAATTTAACTCTATTTTATTTAGTTAAAAAGATATTTTATCCTTTTAAATCTCGATGAATAATTTTCCTATCATGAACATGTTTCAATGCTAAACATATTTATGTAAACCAATCAAGTATTTAAGATTCTTTAAATAATTTCCCTTACTAATTTTTAATTTTCAAAGCCAAATCACCACCTAGATAATATAATAATTTAATACCATCAGCATATTCCATTACAATACATAATTTACCTTATTTAGTTGCATATACATCTTTAAATTTAACTATATTTGGATGATCTAAATGTTGTAATATTTTAGCTTCTTTAATTGTTTCTTCTTTTTCTTTTTAAAGCATTGAACTTATATCAATTTATTTTTTAACCCATTAAGTGCTAAATGTCAAATAATATATTACCCATCTCTAATATCTTCTACTAATATTGCCTTACCAAAAGCACCTTCTCCTAACACTCTAATCTTACGAAATTAATCATAATCAGGTGCAGCCATATTTGATATTTATTTATTTATATATTTTAAAATAACTTAGTAAATAATTTTATCAAATCTAATCAAATTCTCATTTTTAAATCTAATAATAATTCATCATTAAAATCATGATTTAAATGAATAATCTTTTAATGAAGCATCTATTAATTATCAATTCGGCATTATTAATTTGGTTTTACCTATTTATAATTAAAACAATAGTACTGTTGCAATATAATCTTATAAATTTAATGATTTAAGTAATTCTAAACTTCCAAATGCTATTGGAGTGCAATTATCTTTATTAATAATATTTAAATCACCTCCTTTATTTAAAAAATCAATTATAATTTATTTATTACCTGACTAAAATGCCATATGAAGAGGTGTATTATCATTTGAACATTTTTAATTTACATCTGCTCCAGCTCTTAATAATAACTTTGACATTTAAGTATCTCCAAATTTAGCACTATAATATAATGGCGTATTTCCATTTTAATCATATTATTCTGTATCAGCCTTTACATATTGAAATCCAGCAGATTCAGCTATTGTTACACTTTTCATTTTTGCTGCTTAAATTAACTTTCTGCTTTTCACTTTTGTTTCTCCACTTATACGAATCTTAGCTACTTTCTTAATTAAAGATTATTTTAAATTCTCATTCTTTATTTCTTATTTTTAATGTAAGCTCTATATAATAATATTCTATTACTTATTTTGCTATTCTACTGCTTGCTAACGATATATCTAAAGTTTTTTATTAACTTAATCTTTGAGTCAAGGGAGATGATGGTGTTGAATATGGGGCAAATATACACTTTTATAATTAATCCAAAGCTAATTTTGGAGGACAAAATACTGAAAGATCCTTTAATTTTTCATTCTATCTCCTACTTAATTCTTAAGATAATTCTTCTAAAAATCTTTTTGCTTTCAAACATTTTTAAATCTTCTTTTCTATTTCTCTATTTTTTATCTCCACTTTCTATCCAAACATTTTAGATAACCTTTTTCTATACAAATATCTTTTCATTGCAATTTTTATTTTATTTGCAGCTTGTATTTCTATCTCATCTGTTATCCAACCTTATTTATTAGGTAATTCTTTCCCTTCTATTTAATTTATAAATTTTAATTATTAACTTTAAAATCTTCTACTTGATTATGGTCCTCCACTATAAAATTAAAGAAACTCATTCTTTTTCAAATTCTAATTTCTTATGGCTAATCTGAAATTCTAACTTTACTTAATTAATTTCTCTTATTAGAGTTTATTATTCTTATCTTCCTAGTCACAAATCAATATTTTAGATGGAGGATGAAATTTATGTTTTACCTATTCTAACATTAAATCCTCTCCATCTTTTATAAATAAAGGTTTTATCATTTATTTTGATGCATTTCTTTCAAAAAAGTTCTATTATGAAACTATTTGATTACCTTTTTTCTTATTTTATTATAATATAATTACTTATCTATATTTCTTAACAATATTTTGCATTATTTCTTTAAATTTTTAAACATATATGTTTGCTAAAGGATTTCCTTATCTTTATAATTTTTTCAACAGACTTTATTTCTTAAATTCTATTGCTTCTTTAAGAAATTTCTTTTTTTAAGCCTATATCAAATATTAAACAAATTTTGATTTCACAACTTTCATCTATCGAGAATCTTTAGAAAAATATTGCTTTCTTTTTTGACTAATGGTCTTTTCAGCTAACGATCAATATATCTTATACCAATTTATTTTCGTTTAATAGTATTTTATTCTTCAAAATATTATTATCGTTTTCTCATTTAATTCTCTTTTAAAGTATAAAAATCTTCTAAAATTTACTCTGAAATATTTAATTCAATTTGAGATTTAATCTATTTAATATATTTAAATAATATACTTTAGTTTATAAAGAATTGATTGCTCTTTAGATAAAGTCTTTATCTAAACATTTATTAATTAAGAAACTTGTTGATGCTATGTATTATAATTCTTCTTTAGTTATATAATTTCCTGTTTATTCACATTTATTAAGAATAATCCCTCTTTTAGTAGTTTATGCTCCATTAGCCATTTACTTTTTCATAATTTCATAACCATGTAAATGAAAATTTTTATTTATTGATATAAATTCTGCTTCAATTGCTTTATTCCATTCAATAAAAACTTCAGGTTATTAGATCTCGAAATCTTTAATATTAAGATTAAATTAAGTTTATGAATTAAAATTTTATAATTATGAAGGTGATTTATTTTATAAGTTTGTCGCATTAAGTTATATATTTTCTTGTCTTAGAGTGCTGGTTGAGTTTGATATTATTTATACTAATAGAAATTTAAGTCTTTTTAAAATAGCTTTGTATTATGATTTAACTTTTAACCAACCATATAAATCTAATTTTTCATGAAAGGATTAAGTTTAATTATCAATATTTAAAGTTGAATCATATTTAGATATAATTCCTAATTAATTTATAAATTACTATCAAATTGCTTTGAGATTGAATCAACACTACATTTAATGAGATAGTTTTGCTTATCTTCAATATTATTAAATTTCTAAAGAAGAATAAAATCAATTCCAAAATCTAAACAAATATTTTGGTACNATTTGATTACCTTTTTTCTTATTTTATTATAATATAATTACTTATCTATATTTCTTAACAATATTTTGCATTATTTCTTTAAATTTTTAAACATATATGTTTGCTAAAGGATTTCCTTATCTTTATAATTTTTTCAACAGACTTTATTTCTTAAATTCTATTGCTTCTTTAAGAAATTTCTTTTTTTAAGCCTATATCAAATATTAAACAAATTTTGATTTCACAACTTTCATCTATCGAGAATCTTTAGAAAAATATTGCTTTCTTTTTTGACTAATGGTCTTTTCAGCTAACGATCAATATATCTTATACCAATTTATTTTCGTTTAATAGTATTTTATTCTTCAAAATATTATTATCGTTTTCTCATTTAATTCTCTTTTAAAGTATAAAAATCTTCTAAAATTTACTCTGAAATATTTAATTCAATTTGAGATTTAATCTATTTAATATATTTAAATAATATACTTTAGTTTATAAAGAATTGATTGCTCTTTAGATAAAGTCTTTATCTAAACATTTATTAATTAAGAAACTTGTTGATGCTATGTATTATAATTCTTCTTTAGTTATATAATTTCCTGTTTATTCACATTTATTAAGAATAATCCCTCTTTTAGTAGTTTATGCTCCATTAGCCATTTACTTTTTCATAATTTCATAACCATGTAAATGAAAATTTTTATTTATTGATATAAATTCTGCTTCAATTGCTTTATTCCATTCAATAAAAACTTCAGGTTATTAGATCTCGAAATCTTTAATATTAAGATTAAATTAAGTTTATGAATTAAAATTTTATAATTATGAAGGTGATTTATTTTATAAGTTTGTCGCATTAAGTTATATATTTTCTTGTCTTAGAGTGCTGGTTGAGTTTGATATTATTTATACTAATAGAAATTTAAGTCTTTTTAAAATAGCTTTGTATTATGATTTAACTTTTAACCAACCATATAAATCTAATTTTTCATGAAAGGATTAAGTTTAATTATCAATATTTAAAGTTGAATCATATTTAGATATAATTCCTAATTAATTTATAAATTACTATCAAATTGCTTTGAGATTGAATCAACACTACATTTAATGAGATAGTTTTGCTTATCTTCAATATTATTAAATTTCTAAAGAAGAATAAAATCAATTCCAAAATCTAAACAAATATTTTGGTACTTTAATTTTAAAGGTTTATTTAGAATAGATTTATTGATCAATTTGTCAAATATAGTACAAAGATTTTGAATAAGAGTTTATTTAATATAGAGAGAATGTGTTCTGGATGTTGATCTTGTTAAAGGTTATTTGGAAATATTGAGAAAGTGATTTTGAATTTGTTATTTAGTAATAAGATTAGCAAATTCAGATTGATTGGTTTCTTATTTGAATGATAAATTTCTAGTTTTCATATAATAAAATTAAGAATAAATGATATTATATAAATGAATCAAATATCTTAAAGTAAATTCAATATTTATTAAGGTGAATATCTTTGTTTAGGATTAATGGCTAACATACCTTTTAATAATTAAATTAATAAAGGTGTAACTTAAATACCAGAATAATTTTATTCTCTTAAGACAAATTCAAGATTGGTAAGAATTTTGATTTGTTTTTCAACGATTTTACTAAAACTTCTTCCGGAAACAGCAAAAAGACCTTAAGCCATAACTTTTTAACCTTTATGATTGATAACTTATGTATCATAACTCATCCATAATGGTAATCCTGATATAATTTCTAAAATAACACATCCTAGTCCCCAGATATCTATAACCCATGATTTATCATAATTAACAAGAGATTCAATTAATTGACTATCATAAGACATTTAATTTTCTCTTAATATAAATGTTAACATTTCTGGTGACATATATTCTGGAGTAGCCATAGAAAATTTGTCAAAAACTTCAATAAATTTGAAAGAGGAACCATAATCTATAATTTTAAAATCAACATCTTATTATCCATAAGAAATAAGAATGTTTTCACTTTTGATATCACTATGAACCCAACCAGTCTTGACCAACAATTCTATAGTTTATGTAATTCTTTTGATAAACTTTAATAAAAAGACAGGAAACTACTTAAACAGCAAACTTAATTTCTATGGAATTAACTACCATGTATTCTTATTATACCTTATAACTATTATTGATGGATTCAAAATCATATAATTAAGTGCCCAATGAATATCCACACACTTCGTATATGATGAATACGTCATGAGGATCAATTACATAATCTAACATTTTACATAGATTCTTAACACCTTCATTTTATTAATACTAAGTCTTTATTTAACCTCCTTTATTAAAAAACTAAGTACAAAAAGCTAGTTCTTTAAAATGAGTTTCATGTTTAGATTTTCTAGGTATTTATTTAATAGCACATAATGCACCTCCTTTTAACTCTTTAGCTAACCAAATCAATGAAAAACCTCCTCTTCCTAATAACTTCTCTCTTTAAAATCCAAAAGGAAATCTATTACCAAATTTATCCCATTCTTCTAAAGTTATTTCATATTATTAAACAAATGTCTTAGGATCATTTATTTAATTATTCTTTATACCTACAGACTAAAATAGAGATTATTATTGTTATCTATGTTGTTGTTATTATTGTTGATTAGAATATGACCTTTGTTTTTAACTTGTATATAGAGATGTTGGTCTATTTTAATTTTTAGGAGATTAATTATAATCTCCAATACTATTATTTCTTTTATTTGATATTGATCTTTTTGTTTGAATCTAATTTCTTTATGATTGTTAAATTATTTTCAATTAATTAGGAAAATCAGCTTCTGAATCTGATTATTATTAAGTCAATATTCTGTTTGTTTTATTATTTAATAATCCCTTATTGATTTTCCACTTATTAGATAACACACTCTAATCTACCTTATTTAAAGGTGAATAATTCAAAGAAATCTAAACATTACTAAATTTACTTACTAATTTTGTATTTCTTGTATCATCAACCTCAGTTTATAGATTTAGTTTCTATTTAAAGTACAGTTATTTTAATTATACCTAATGTTACTATTTTATACTCCTTTTCATCTCTTAATTAATCAAATATTATATATATATATATATTTTATCATTCTAATTTAAAGGTAATCGATGAATAATTGATTGAAAAATCTTAATTTGATTCATTATTCAAAGTCTCCAATTATATTTTCTGAGCATTAACTTTTTCTAATTACATTATTATCTCTAAAATTTATTTAGACCTACTAATATATCCCAAACATTTGTGTATCATTAATCCTATAATTCCTATTACCATCAACACTACTATTATTATTGATTCAATAATCATCGATTCATATTCCTTTGTTATTATTACATATTTGAAATACAATTTATACCTTCTCTTTTTTTGACAACCATCACATTTACTGTTGTAATATTCCAATTCATAATAATATGGAGATTCTTTTGCCTATTCCTTACTTTAACAACTACATATAATCTCAAATTGTCTCTTTAATTTTTAAATGAATTCATACTGCTTGTAAATTTAACTTTAATAATTTTGATCTTGTATAAACATAAACATAGTCCTTTATCTCATTTTTTGCTATATCAGAAAATACCAAAACATTTAAAATTTATGGAACCAGTAAATTATTTTGAAATTTATAATTCTATTAGTTCAGATACACACTATCAATTCCAATTGTAATTACACTTTTCATCTTCTCTCCTATTAATAATGCAAAATAATCATGAATTATAATTTGCTTTATTTTATGACTTATCACTTAAATATTTATCTCATGTAGATTTTCATTATCATATGAATAATCTATCTATATATAATCTTTAATTATTTACAATTGTATATTCTTCATTATTACCCTCGACCAAGACTAATATTCCTTACTTATATAATTTGAAACTTACTGCTTTTGGCTTACTTAATAACATTTATGATTTATCATCTATCACTATAGTTTTATCATTAAACTCAATATTTTTATACATCAATGTTCCATTTTAGTACTATAAATATAATCGAAATTATTCAGAAATAATTTCAAATTCAAAATTTACTATGTTTGATTAAAATCTATGAATCCACTCCATTCTTCTATTAAAAATTATTAAACTACCACCCAAAAACAAAATAAAAATATACTTTGAATAGACCTTGATCTATTAGATCTAATCTGTCTTAATAGTTTCTTATTTGTAATTATTTATAAATTAAATATTATTATAAGTATTATTTCTAATTTCATATTCATAAACTATATTGCTTTATAATAAAAGTATCAATAAATTCAATTTCTCTATATAAATTAAATGAGAATTTTCAATAGATTCATATATTTAATAATGTTATGTCAAAACAAATTTTCGATCGATATTCTTGTGAGATATAAATGTTAAATTTTTATCACTTGTCAATATAATAATACCATAATGATTGATAACTGCTGATTAAATGAACTCTAATTAACTATAGAATTTGCCATCAACAAAATTATTTTAAAAATTCTACTCTGTTTTATGAGTTATTATCATTTACTGCTCTATTTCAATATCTAAATATTATGGTATTGCTTAACAATTTGTTGATTAAGTCAAATTATTATAATCATTAGAAAAATAGTATTTATATATATATCCCTCCTCGTCAATAATATCTATCTAATTATTTTAGTATAAAGGCAATTATAGTGTTTTATCAACTGTTAATTGGTATTAATTGGAGATTAAAGGGAAAATAATAAAAGTAGTAATAAACATAGATTTAATTCAGAAAATTTTTAATAAATATGGTTTAATATAATCTATCATTATAAATGCTTTTTTAAACCGGTCTATTCAACTTAATTTAAGAACTCCTATTTCAATGCAAGTCCAATTTGACCAACTTCATTTTCTGATCCATTATATAATATACAATTATCAAACACTAGATTGATATCAGTATAAAATTCTTTACAATTTTTATATTGATTTGTATTTAATTTTTACTATTTATTAATATATATATTGATATACCTTAACAGTTCCAAAATCCATTGGTTTTTTAACAATATCATAATAATCATTTATACCATACTTTTTTTCATCTACAGGATTATGAAATAATTAAGCTCCTTTTGCTTTCCATAAAATTTATAAGACTTTTTTAGCTACTTTTTCCCATAATTCATCATCCTTCATAGTATTTAAAACATTTTCATCAATTAATTCATCTGCATTAATTATTAAATTAGCTATTTATGGATACTATTATTAAAATTTAACGAATTCAGATGAACTCACTTCTTACAAATTTCCATATTCATCAGTAAACATTAATTTATATGCTTATTTCGGTAAATCCTTATTTTTCTTCTTTTATTATTTAGGCTATTCTCCTTTACTATTGTCATTAATATAAACAGAATTTGGTTTATAATCATCTTTATTTTTTCCAAAATAAGAATTAAACAATTCTATAACTTCTTTTCTCTAAAACCTTTTAGCAAAGAATTAAGCTGTTTTTTTGTGTTAATCCTAATGATTTGGATTACAACCATTCTACATTTAATTTAAAGATTTACATCAATTAAAATTTTACAAATTTCAGCATGTCCTTCTCTTGCTGAATAAAATAATGCTGTTTAATTAGATAATGTATCTACTAAATTAACATTGGCTCCAACTTAAACAAGTCTAAATAAATATTTGTATATAACATATATATTTACCTTGTAACAATATCAATCTTATTTTCTCTGGCTGCATAAAATAATGGTGTTTATCCATATTAATCTTAATCATTTATATTAACAGCATTCTGAGATAATAAAAAATCCAGTAATTTAAGTTTACCATCTCGACATATATAAAATAATATTGATTATTTTAACGAATCTTTAAAATTTAAATTAACTCTAAAATCTGTTAATAACGATAAAAATTTTAATGCCAAACCTTCATTATCAAATTAAACCACTATATATGAACAAATTTATTTGCTATTCGAATCAACCGTATTTACCAAGTCCATATCTTTATATTATTCTAAAAACATTCATTACATCATCTTACATAGATAATTCATCATCTTTTCATATTCTTGTCCTTTTAAAATTGTTTTAAATTCTTCATAGATTTATTATTGTTATTCTTAAGTAAATTTGGGCTGATTCTAATCTTAATCTACTTATTAAGGAATTTGTGCTTGACTTTGAGCTGGGAATCGATAAGCTGGATAATTTTGAACCATAAAACATAACATAAACTAATTATAAGCTATATACTTAATTACTTTTACTTATTTCATCATCATTAAATTTTGATAGCAAACTTTATATTTACATATCATTGTAATTCATCGCTTATAATATCGATATCAAATCTCCTCTTGTTATTTTACCATTTTTTTAGAATTTTTAAAAAATAGCATCATAAGGTTACATATACATGTATTGCATATTTATAAATAATAAATATTATAATTGACATTAAAAATAACACTTTCAAGTTCATATTTTAAAAATATGTCATGTATTTCTTTTCTGACCTCATTTTAGTTTTTAAATCTTAATTTTCATATTCACTCTTTATTTTACTCACATTAATAATTAAAATTTGTAGATGAAATTATTATAGTCAACCTATAAATATATCATTTATTTCATTAGAGAGCAAATGATTTTTAACTTGATTCCCATGGTTGTAATCTATCCGATAAATTTTACAGAGGAATAGGCTCAGTATAGATAACTTACTTTGGCAATGAATTACGATATTTTATTTTTTAAGGTTTATTATTTAAACAATGAAGTCTTGGAAGAAAACAATCTTCAATAGTGCCAATTTATTTCCCTTTAATCTCATCAATTGTATTTGAATATTTCTTACGACTTTCTGGTTTATCTTTTGTTTTTCTTTTTATTATATTTTCAATATATGATTGATAGAATGTATTTTTTTTTGGTAGATTAGTAATTACAAAAGGAGAAGGATTGTTAAATTAGAAATTCGATCTTTTTACTAATTTTTAAGGAGATACCCGAAGTTCAATATATTTTTAAGGAGATGGTTAACTATTAATACGATATGTGAATATTGGAAAAACCTGCCCCTTGTTATTTTGTTTAATTAAGCCTTTTTTGACAAAGAATTAAAAATTTGGTTCTTAATAACATGGAGGTTTTTCTCTGATGTTCATAATATTAAACACAAAGAAAATATTAATAACTTATGATTAAATTATTCTCAACAGCATTAAGACCAGTTATTACACAATAATGTTATTTAAAAAGATAGTTTATCTATAATTTTGCTAAAATTAGTAAGAAAGATTAGGAAAGAATGGATAAGAAATAAGAGAAGTAAAATCTTGGACTTTCTAAAACAATTGATTTTTCAGTATATCAAACAAAGTTTGATTAATATGCTCAAAAGTTTTAAGAATCATTAAAGAAATTATAAGTTGGTAAATTATCACCTGAAATGTTGGACAGAGTTTCAATTTAAGCATATGGTGAAAAATTGGCTTTGTCTTCTTTAGCTTAAGCATCATAGAAATCCTAAGGAGTATTGATTTTAAATGTATTTGATGAGTCAACAATTATGGATGTTATGAAAGTATAGTTAATTTGAGTTATAAGGCTTTAGAAAATTCAGACCTTAATTTATAAGTTAAGAAGTAGGACAAATAAATTGTATGTCAATTAGCTTAAGGTAATACTAAGGAGAGTAGAATCATTGCAGTAAATAATTTAAAGAAATTAATGGAGGATGCTAAACAAAATCTAAGATAAATTAGACATGAATGCATAGATGATGTAAACGATTATTTAACTTAAGTTAAAACCTTATAAAAAAATAACATCTGAAGATACAATGAGATAAGCAGAAAAATAAATACAAGACTTATTTGAAAAATAAACTCAATCTTTGGATTCTATATATAAATCAAAAGAGAAAGAGTTATTGAATAATTGATTATTTTTTACAATATATTAAAATTTATATATAATTCTCGAATTGCCATACCTTAATAGTACAATCAATATCTGTAATGATTTTATATTAGAATGATTAAGTAATTTATAGATATCAAAATAATCAATTAGAATAAATACAATAAAATAAATATTATGTATTCTAAATAAGCAACAATCTCAAAATCTTAGAACTTAAAATCGAAGCTCTCTATTAAAGATACTATGTCGAATTCTCATTAAATTCATAGTCAACCCTAATCTTCGAAGGGTTAAGACAATCATAAATAAGAAGTACATTTGTTTTAATTTAGAATAAATAAGATTGTAATTAGATGAAGAAGAAACTATTCAACATTTTGGGTAAGAACAGTGAATCACATAAATTATTTAAAGTTTCACCTACTAATTCACTTAAGTAATAATATTTCGTATCTGCATCTCTCTAACAAAAATACAAAGGATCTATGTTAAAATAAAATCATACAACTGAAAATAATGATTCTCTTAAAACTATCAAGTGCAATCCTGTGAAGTTACTTAAATCCAATAAACATCGGGACAGTAATAAATATTGCGAATTCATTTCAAATAACAATTTTGACATGTAAAAACAATTTGGAAGTTTTGTGAGATCTATTGATCAAATTTAAGCTGATTAATTACCTATGTAAAATACTGAAAGAAGTACTTTAATTGCACTTTTCGAAAAACTTAATGAAAAGGATTCAAAGTAATTTAAACCTAAAAGATAAACACTTTAACATTCAGAATCTTATTCATAAAAGTAATCAATATAAGCTGAATTTGTTGATTTAAGATTAAAATAAAGAAACAAATGCAATTTTTCTAATAATTCATCAGGATAATTAGTCAATCCAAATTCAACAACAACATAAATACATTAGAATCCATTAATATCTATTGAATCAAAAATTAAAATAGATGAAAATTTATAAACAATTGTCGATAAAACAAAATAAATATTATTAAAATATTAAGCAAAATTGAAACAAAATGATTATGAAAAGGATGCATTAATTTAAGAAATTTAATATTGGAAATCTAAATACTTAAAATGCAAACAACAATAATTTTGATTGTTATTTATATATTAAAATTTTGTAATAACATAAACATAATTTATAAAATGAGTAATAATTCTGAAGAAAAGAATAATGATATATAGGAGGAGCCTATGACAGAAGAAGAAAGATAATTTGCAGATGAATTAGATTAGAAAATTTAGAGTGCATAATAAAAATTGGATTCATTAGGATTAACATAGGATAGATTAAGTTGGTTATAAGAAACAATAAAAAAGAGATAAGAAGAGAGTCCATTAACAGAAGAAGAGAAAAAAGAGAAATTTTAATAATTAGCAGATAAAGCAATAGATATACCTACAATAGATAGATAAGGAAGAAAGATATTTACATTGGAAGAGACATTAAATAATTATAATAATGCTTGGGGAATTTTAAAGTATAGAGAATTACCAATTTGTTGGAGTAATTTAAAGGATAAAATATTATTTACATTACCAATGACATTTATGGCTGCATATACTTATGAAGCTATGCAATTAAAAAAGATTAATTTAAGTTTAAAAGAAATGAAATTTAAATTATTGTGTAGAAGTTGGGGTGTATTTTTTATATTGGGAACAACATTTTGCATAATTGATTCTTTATATTTTGATGAATTTTGGTAAATATAATAATGATTAAAATATTAGTGATATAAAATCTTATCATTATTAGACAAATGATCGAAAGAAATTGGCAAGAGAATTGAGATCACAATTATTGAATAAACCAAATAAAAAGACTGAAAATTGAGAATTGTATATAATTTAATTGTGATATTAAAATAAATTATAAAAAATTAATTTTAAATAAGAAAATTGAATCATATAATACTTCTTACATTTCTTTTCTAAATATCAAATAATTATAGAGAACATTAAAAACTTTTGTACAATAGCTCCTATTAATCATGGAGTATCAAAGACTTATACAGTAGTAAAAATATGATAAATATGATAAATTCACTTAAGAAATACCACTTAATGAAAATATCTAAAATTTATTTGATAAAATTAAAAGTGTCATCAGTGTCATCAAATGATTTGGATTTTTAGAATATGAATTTTGTGAATTCAAAAAAGCTAATTTTGATAAATTACTGATATATTTGATTGATGATCTTTAAGATGCATTATCATTTATAGTACCTGAAGAAAGGGTTCAATAATTAGATTAATTAGAAAGAAAATAAGCTTAAGCCTAAAAGATAATACTACTTAAGATCTATTATTTGTATCAATTTTATTTAAGTTGGAAAAGAAGTGATAGTAGCAGAAAAATAAGAAAGGTAATGAAAATCGTATCTATCAAATTTTATTGTGGTGATTTATAAGAAAGAAAAAATAACTCGATCAAAAAAAGAATTTGTAAAATAGAATGAGAGAATTTGATAGAATAACAGTAAGAAAAGATTCTTTTATTAGTGTTTTGAAAGATGATTGAAATATAATATTTCATATTATCATAACTTTTGTTTATTGTTCGCAACCTATTTTATTAATGACTTCAAGATATCTAATTTACATAGCTGCTTTGGCACTAAGAAGCTCAGCAGCTTCTTTCATCAATTTAGCTGATTAAACATTAGATTCAGCAATCAAAATTTTTGCTTATGCAGACCTATAAATGTTGATAAAAGATATATACCTAAGTTCTGTTGCTGCTTAAGCTAAAGCAGATTTAATTTTTTCATCTATTTGAATATCTTTTATCATCATTAATTCAATATCAATTCCCCAATCATCTACATGATCATCCACAAAATGTTAGATATAATCTTAAATTTCAGTTCTTTTTTCTAACACATCTTGTAAGGTATATGCACCGATTACACTTTTTATAGCTGCTAAAGTAATTTATGAAACAGCCATTTTAAGGTCATAAATATAAAAAATTGCCTTTTTTGGTTCTAATACTCTGTAATAAACAGATGCATCAACTTTAATTAGAATATTATCTTTTGTTATTACAAATTGTTTTTCACAGTCAATCATTTATGTTCTACAATCAATTTTTATTAATTTATCTGTGCAAGGATTAAAATATTATAAACCAGGGGGCACTAAGATAAAACATAAATTTGATACTAGTTTTTACATATTTTCCGAATCTTAAATAAACTCCAACAAACCCTTGTTCTATTTTCTTATATGGATATTCTACAAAGGGATTGCATGGACAAAATGCAGAACAATTTCCACAACATTCACCACATCTATATATATAATTTTAATAAGATCCTCCTAAATTTAAGTTTTTTTCATTCTCAACTAAACTCTCCCTAGGATATCTCTATTATTCTTGGTTTTCATTTAAATAAGGATTTATTTTTTCTTTTTCTAATGCATCTGGATGAACTATAGAAGTTAAATAATATTAATTACTTTTAGCAAGTTGCATGTCTTTGTAGTAATTTAATATAATATATATATAAACTATAAATAAATTTATGAATTTTGAAGATTATTAATATCTCTTCAAATTTGTATTGATTGGTGACACAGGTTAAAATATTAGATAATTTATAGGAGTTGGAAAATCCTGTTTTTTATCTTAATATATAAAAGGGAAATTCATACAAGAATATGATCCAACAATAGGACTAGAATTTGAAAGCAAATCTATAGAATTTAATGATGGAATTGTAGTTCAAAATTAATTATGGGATACAGTAACTATCACTATTTTAATTAGTCTGGAAGCTCTTAATTCATGGCTATATAGAAAACCTTTTGTTAAAAGTATTTATTATTTTTATATATAAATTTGTAGTGCTGCTGGTGCTATTATTTTCTATAAAATTGATAGCCAAAACTCATTCAAATCATTAGAAAATTGGATCAGTATTCTTAAATAAGTCTCATCTGATTAAATTCAAATTATTATTGTTGCAACACATAAAGATCTAGAAAATTAAAGGTTTTACTTATTATTGAAATTTAGACAAGTTTAAACCCAACAAGGAAGAAATCTTGCTGATTCTTTAGATGCTAAGTTTTATGAAATTTCTAATCATGATAAAGATTAAATTGATGGAATTATTAATTCACTATCTTATAATGTATTACGATTAATCAATACCAATAAAATTAATCCACTAAACACAGTATTCCTATTAATCATAAATAGCAATATGGAATAAAAATGAGTAGACAATAAGAATAATAATATGCATCTTAATAAGATAACGCTGATGATAATTTCATTTAACAATAGTCTTCTCCAAACAGGAGAGGTTCAGANCTAGTTTTTACATATTTTCCGAATCTTAAATAAACTCCAACAAACCCTTGTTCTATTTTCTTATATGGATATTCTACAAAGGGATTGCATGGACAAAATGCAGAACAATTTCCACAACATTCACCACATCTATATATATAATTTTAATAAGATCCTCCTAAATTTAAGTTTTTTTCATTCTCAACTAAACTCTCCCTAGGATATCTCTATTATTCTTGGTTTTCATTTAAATAAGGATTTATTTTTTCTTTTTCTAATGCATCTGGATGAACTATAGAAGTTAAATAATATTAATTACTTTTAGCAAGTTGCATGTCTTTGTAGTAATTTAATATAATATATATATAAACTATAAATAAATTTATGAATTTTGAAGATTATTAATATCTCTTCAAATTTGTATTGATTGGTGACACAGGTTAAAATATTAGATAATTTATAGGAGTTGGAAAATCCTGTTTTTTATCTTAATATATAAAAGGGAAATTCATACAAGAATATGATCCAACAATAGGACTAGAATTTGAAAGCAAATCTATAGAATTTAATGATGGAATTGTAGTTCAAAATTAATTATGGGATACAGTAACTATCACTATTTTAATTAGTCTGGAAGCTCTTAATTCATGGCTATATAGAAAACCTTTTGTTAAAAGTATTTATTATTTTTATATATAAATTTGTAGTGCTGCTGGTGCTATTATTTTCTATAAAATTGATAGCCAAAACTCATTCAAATCATTAGAAAATTGGATCAGTATTCTTAAATAAGTCTCATCTGATTAAATTCAAATTATTATTGTTGCAACACATAAAGATCTAGAAAATTAAAGGTTTTACTTATTATTGAAATTTAGACAAGTTTAAACCCAACAAGGAAGAAATCTTGCTGATTCTTTAGATGCTAAGTTTTATGAAATTTCTAATCATGATAAAGATTAAATTGATGGAATTATTAATTCACTATCTTATAATGTATTACGATTAATCAATACCAATAAAATTAATCCACTAAACACAGTATTCCTATTAATCATAAATAGCAATATGGAATAAAAATGAGTAGACAATAAGAATAATAATATGCATCTTAATAAGATAACGCTGATGATAATTTCATTTAACAATAGTCTTCTCCAAACAGGAGAGGTTCAGATAGCAAAATTGAATAAAATTCGTTCTCCTCAAACAAAGTAACAGCTTCTCCATAAAGACCATAACAAGAAAAAGAGTAAAAAGAATAGAATTAATAATAAAATAAGCCATCATTCCAATTATTATATATTCTGCTACCAATAATAATTGCATATTGGTTATATTAAATATTATTATGAATAATTGTGTATTAAAAATGTATATTTAATAATAATATCTTAAATCAATAGTTCTCAAATGAATTCTAAAATATTACTATTAACATCTATGTGCATATTTCTCTATTTGCAATTACCCTAAGAATTATTATAAATATATTATTTACATAGAGATATTTATATAATTCAATACCCATCCAACCAACAATAATTGAATGCATAATTGGATTACTTCTGTGCATTTCTAAAGCATATTTTTGAACTTTGTATAATGGGATTGGTTAAAGATTATAATTTCTACATCTTAAGTTTGTTAATATATGAATGCATCTAACATACAAACCTCTTATTTAATCATCATCAAAATTTAAAAATTATGGTTTATTTTGAGATGAATATTCAGTAGGAGTGGGAACTTAAGGATTAGTTAGATTCCAATAATTTTCAGTCATTTGTTACAATTTATCAATTACATATTCTTATTTGAATACAGCACTAGCATTAATATTGAACAATTTCGATATTAAAAGTGTAGTAATTTAAATATAAGCAACATGATCCATATTATTAGAATCGAATTTCATTGCTTAAGGTATTTTCTTATATCCAGTCCATACACATTCTAATGCATCTACAGGATATTATTTCAAAAGCTAATTAATTTTGAATTCAAAGTGAAATTCATATAATTCTTTTGACAAACTGAGAATTTTGTCAAGTGTCAAATTAAAACCTGGTTTTGATATTCTATTAATAACATGAGCTCTAATGTGATAATTATCAACCCTAAAATTATTAATTTATTTTAATACACATCTAATTCTTCGAAATTTTAAAGATATCCATTTCGATCCTATAAGAATTTTTAAAAGTCAGTAACAAATCCAACAAAACTATTATCAAAAACTTCTTTGGCCCATAGAACACAATGAATTGGAAGATATGGAAATTTCTTATAAGTGTTTTAATCTACATTATAAACATTCTTTAATGTCTCCTAGATTTATAATTATTAATTTGGTTTTCCAAATTGAGTATAAGCTTTTAAACCATTTAAAATTTAATCAAATAAAACCTTATTATGTTTCTAAGCTTATTATTAAATTAATAATCTTGATGTTTAATTATTTATGGCAGAAAAAATGATATCATGTTGTTTAACAATGATTTCAGATTTTTCACTAAATTTAGTTTTATCAACATCAATATTCATAGAAGAACAAAGCATTTAAGCTTATTATTAAGCTACATCAGCTTTTTACATACCAAGTGTTTATTAACTATAAATAAATAAATATTTTACTTAAACCAATAATGAGTTCCTAAAGTATATTTACGAACAATATCATCATCTAATATGGTTAATTTAGAATTTGGTTGAGTACAACATTCCATTAAAGAAAAAAGTCTAATAATTTCACATCCAGTTCCCCCACTTCCAATCACCAAAGCATTTAATGATTATAATTTTATTTTTATCTAAGTATCATCATTTTCTATATCACTAATAAATTAAATGAATGAACATTCTTATGGTGTGAATTTACCAGTAAATTTTACTACTTCCAAACTACAATAACCAGCCCATAAATTTATAACTGGATATTTGGTTGTCTACATTTATCTTATAGTCTTTTAACATAATTAAACATCAAATTAATCTAAATCAAATGTTTTGTATATAGCTAAAGCAATGCTTATAATTTCTTATTCATTCTATGGTTTTATTGTTTAATCCAACAATTATAAATTTGCTATTACAGTACTGTATACAATTTTATCCTCATTTGTTTTAAGTGAGTTAGGATTGTATATAGTATCAGAAAGCTTTTGAAATTGGTACTTGAAAGGTACTTTAGTTAATTAAACTAATCCACCTGCCAAATATTTATTATAATGTTATGTATGTTCAATAGAAAATTCAGTTGGAGATATTATTTTAATGGGACGTGCTTCTGGTCCATTTACTTATGTCATACCTTCAACATTACTAATTCTTACAAAATCACCCGTTTTATAGTTATGTGGAATGGAGTTGTGAATTTTGACTATTCCTGGATTAGAATTAGTAATGTCAATAATATGATATGGGAATGGTTAAACTCCATCTCTATCAAAGACTTTGAATCCTTATCCAAAATCTGAAAATTTAAGACAAATGAATCCAAATGTACATGTCCAAATAACTCCTTTATTATTCTTTTAATTTTTAGATGCATTTTAACGGAGATGTTCACTTACAGCTATTGCAAATTTAAGGGATTAAATATCACAAATTATTGTTAAATCATGCTTTTCTATTTTTGATAAGATTTCATTGTCCTTGTAAGACATTTCCAATGTTTCTATTTATGTTACATTATTTATTTTTAAGAGTAGTTCACATTATTTTAGTCTTTATAATTATGTATCACAAAGTGTTATCAATTCAGGTTATTATGTAGAAATATGTTTGGCAATCTCTAATCCAAGCTAGGATTGTAGTTATTAATTACACTAGACAGTCCGATAATGATAATTTTAAGACGTTAGAATTTCTATGATGTGGTCTTTCCGAATAATTTGATTTCTTTCTCTGTCGCCAATTCATCGAATGATTGAATTTACATATATATATTTTTAATTAATTATTTATGGACTTATTATTAATATTATATAACATTCAACTCAATCTATTAAATATACTTCTATATTACACTTTCATCATATAATATATAAATAATGAAATCATTTATTATATATATCTTTTTATTATTTTTTGCACTTTTTCTCACACAATCCTTAAACTATTATCATTTATTTATTATATTATCATTAGAGTTATGTAAGACATTTAAAATTTCTCATTCATATCATATCCTCTAAAATTTATTTGTTATTTTAAATAATTATTTTCATAGATATATATTTCTATCTTAGAGATTTGAAATTAGTAAATAAATATATTGTATAAATATTCTCCATATTTTTTTATTAGAATTACTACATTAATCTCCTTAATATTGCTATTATCATCTTATTATAATAAAAATGAATAACTACGATTCTCAATAATTGAGTCATTTTTAATATAAATGTATAAATTTTTGTAATGGGCATACCAAATTATCAACTTGAAATAAAATTGCTGTGGTTTATAAAATTTGACTTTGATTACTACTAAAATATGATTTATTATTTCATCAAGTTTATGATGTACTAAATTAAATTATATTAATATCGGATTTTCTTTATGTTCTTAATTTTTATTTTGAATATATTAAAATAACTTGTATACACAAATAAACTCAAAATTTATCCAGTTTCTATCATCATAACTATTTAAATGTAGTAAATGAATTTGATCTTTTACGACTACCTTCTTTTTCTTATTTAACTTTCTTGGATTGTTTCAATTACCATACAAATTAATTTGGAGTGCAACTTAATGTACTTTTTTAACATTCAATTTCAGATATAGAATAACATGAGTCATCATCATCTTCAATTAATTACTCATTATTTTTTGGATTTATGTAATTTTCTAAAATAAATTACTCCAATTCTCCTTTTTCATATGATTTAAATAATTGATCTAAATCTTTCGAATCATGAGAAACAACAAAATTCTTCAACTCACTTCTTTCCTCTGCTGTAATCAATTTCTATTGAAACATGCTTTATATTGTACGAAGCAAAGAGGAATAAAATGGAACTAATTCTATATTTGAAGACATATTTAAACGAATTATATTAAAATATTGTTTTACTTATTAACTAAAAATATCTATACTAAATTCCTATGTATTCTTTATTGATATTATATGATAATTGATATTAAATAAAACTATAAATTTTATTATCATTAACATTTCAAAATTAATGAGGTTCACCTTATGTTGGTAATAAACCAAATCTCTTCTTTAATTCAACACGATATTTCTAATTTAAATCATCAGGGCTAAATCTTGCTATTCAATTAATTTATATCAATACCAGGATGAGCATTAAATGTATATGAACCATCATCAAGTGTATTTTTTAAAGTGTAAACTCTTTTTCCTTCCTCATTCAAATAATACCTCAAATGCATTTTTTATTTTTAATATTTAATTTATATTATATATTAATATAACACTATATTAAATATGTTAAATAAATTTATTTCTTTCTCAAAATTTTATGCTATTTCAACTATTTAAAGTGTATTATTATTCTATTATTTCCCTTTTTGAACACTAATATAAATTTATTTGATGATTAAAATTTTATAATCAGAAAAATCTAATTCCTTCTTTTTTTTTAATTTACATTCAAGATTAAAAAAAGATTAGAATATTATATTAAAAAGTATTGAATAGAATCCAAGTTAGATTTAGTATAAAAATGTTTAATTTAAAAATAAAAAATTATGTATGATCACAATTCAAACCTTTGATATATGTGTAAACATGTTTTAAATAATAATTTAATTACAACACTTCGTCTCAAACTTGATGATATAAAAATTGTAATTTATGTATTTGATTATAAAACAAAACATGCGTAGATATTTCATATAATATAATATGAATCATTGTCCTTCAGGAGTAGCTTCTGCTCCTCCTGATCTGAGTTTGCTGAAAATGTGTAAGAGCACAACGATTCCCAAATATACAAGACTAATTATAAGTACGGTGTTTGGTTGAACTTTAAGTGATGAAACATCTCCTGAATAAAAATTTAATCCTGATTGTCCCCCATTTTCTGTTGCTTTTGATGCTAAATCATGTAAACACAAATATCTTACGACTCTTGCCTCCTCCTTATCTTCTTTTTATTGCGTCTTTGGCGAGTTATGCTTTTTCAGACATTTATTTAATTAATTAAAATGAATATTGTGCACGTTGCTTAATTATTAGTTGTTTATATAATCATTAAATTAAAACTCATTTTTATACACATTATTTTTTAACTATCTATCTAATCAAAGCAAATCTAATTCAAATTTTCTATTATCTCTAATCCCATTATGTTACTAAACATTCATTATTAAAAACCTAAACATAAGCATTTTTCACATGTATTTGTTGTAATTTAATTTCTCATTAAGATGAAAGCAATCCTCATTCCAATAATTTATTCAGTTAAAATTTATCAATTAAACAAATTAACAAAAATTAAATCAAAGAAACCATATGTTTTAAAAACTCTTATATTTTATTAAGGAATTATAAAAAATTAGCTTTTAAAAAATGAAAAAAAATATATATCAAATTTTAAATCATGGAATATAAAATAAAATCTATAAATATGAAATCTAATAATTTAATATCATTATAATGCACTGATAATTAAGTTTTTTTTTTTTTTTCATGTTTTCCAAATTTATTGAATACAAAATCTTTATAACTAATTAAACAATTCATTTGATTTTAGAATTAATCTAACTCAATAACCTAATATTCTTATTTGAAATCTTCATTTTAAACTTCTTTATAGTTCTAGGATAATTCAAATTTTTTTAGTTTTACAATTACTTATTTTGGTAGTTATAATCTTTTATTTTTAAAATTTGATATCATCAAATTAGATGGTTAAATTTTCTAAAAAGACATTTGAACTTGTGCTTTATCTATTTATATATTTATTCATCTTAAATAAATTATTAAAATCTTCATTTAAAATTTATTGATAATTAGCTTTCTTCAAATTCTTGCATGATGAAATCAAATCAAATTAAGTATCAATTTCATTACTTAAACTTAGCTTATTTCTTTAATATTTTTTTAATCTTCTAATCTTATCATCTTAAATTAAAAATGAAAACCATATTTAATTTTTATCATTTTAAAAATCTATCAAAAACTTATTTAAATAGATTAATTACAAAAATTGATTTGATAATCCTCTTTTTAGAAATTCAATATAAAAAAGATTTATTTTATATTTGTATTTCAATTGAGAATTATTATAATTTAGATTGCTAAATGTATATAAAATAAATAATTAAAAAAAGTCTAAAAAATAAATAAGTTGAGTTTTATTGAAATGTTCTATGCAATAAAATATTATTTTCATATTATATTTTGTCATCTGTATGTCAGTCAGATTGATTTTGAATCATCATTTGCCTCTATATTGAATCATTTTATTAAAAATTTTAGTAATTAGGTTAAAGTTACTTTGATTATGAATAAAGTTATAATGACTACATTTATTATTATTGATTAAATATCATCGAGTTTTGCTATAAAAAAGTTTGAAATGATGAATAATCATCAGGATAATAATTTTATTATTGCATCCAAAGATTACACATAAATTATTATTATTAAAGTATGATTTATTGATATTATTAATATTATTATTGATTATTATTGTTTATTTTTGAGTTTGTTTATTATGAAATTTGTTTATTTTTTCCCAAACAATTATAAGTTTTCGATTATTCATAAGAATTCAGTTTTTTTGCAAATCTTTTTGTATTTAAATTTACTATAGCAAACTTCCAAACAATAAGTCCATGATGATTCAGAAAGCTACTTTCGTATAATTTTTATAAATAACCTAGAAATTCAGTTCGATATTCTTAAGTAAAATATTCATATAATCTTTAGATAGGATAATTGGCAAACTAATCATTAACTAATTTACGAAAAGATCTAAATTAATAGAATATAAATACTCTTCTGAAACTGCCACTTCTTCTTCCCATAATTTTTATCTCCATTAAGGTCCTGAATGAATGATTGCTTTTTCAGCAACATTACTACCATATTTATCCATTGACATTGATACAAAGTCTTTTATTAGATATTATTCAAGAAGGATTCTTTTATGACATTCTTAACCTTTCTCTAATATTTATTAGATAATATAATTAGAATATTGTCTCCTTACTAAACATGAAGAATTTTATAGAATTCTCATGATTATATCATTTGCAACTTATTTTCCAGCTTAATCAATTAGTTTTGGTAGTATATCAATTATTTTATTTACTATAAGACATCCATATTAATCTGTCGAAAGCTCAATTTATTTTGAATTAATATTTAATATCTAATAAATTTAATTAAATAAATTACATATTTATCTAAAATAAGCAAAAGTAAATATAAATTATTGCCATCAAATACTTCTAGACTTTTTTAAAAAATTTAATTCCCTATTTTATCTGTATACAATTTTTTAATAAAACTATCATCTTTCAATATAAAATTGGCATATTTTTAAAATTAATTTTATGAATCTCTAGGTGATTATGACATTATTTCTAATCCTTTTTAAATCACTTTACATGCATAGAGATCAACAATCAATTTATTTATTCTATTGAATATTTAATCTAAAATCTTATTCCTATATAAGGGAGGGCCTATTTTAATTTTAATAACTTTACCAACCTCAATGATTTTTTCCAATATATAGTGCATATATTTGTCTAAACTTAAGTTTATTATATTATTATTGATAAATGTTAGAAATACATATTCTCTATCTTTAGGATTGGCATTTTCATATTCTTATTACATACGTCTAGAATTTTTAGTTAATTTTTCATGTGTAATATAAGAAGACCTTAAAATAAAATTATTTAATTTTACATATCAGCTTAAAAGGCAGAAATCAAGGAAGGTTTGAAATTATCAGTTAGTAATACATTTTTCATCTATTCATTGAGCTAATCAAATTCTTCATCTTTTTATTATCTATAAGTATTACCTGCATAATTCAATTAATCATCAATTTATTTAGAAGACAAGATTTAGGAAATGTTAGAATTGTTTAGAACTGTTTAAGTAGCAGTTGATCCACTATTTTAGGGGAGGCAATTAATTATTTCATCAAAATCAGAATTTATTTCAATAGGGAGTGGATTTGACATAATTTTTATTAAACAAATTAATTAATAATCAAATATTACATCATTCTTATTAGAATTAATTGACATTAAATTTTTAAGATAAATTTATAAAAATAGAAATAATTTAAATCTTAAATATTCTCATATCATGCAGAAATTCATAATTCATAATTGAAACTTAATTTCACTATTGATTAAATTATAAAAAAAGGAATATTTATCAATTATTTAACGAAACAAGAAAATTTTACTAAATAATTTGAAATCAAAATGAAAATCTTGATTTCTCATCATTTTCTTTAATGTTAATCTTTTAATTCATAAAATTATAAGATGAAGAAAAGTATATCTACAATCTATTCGAATGATACTAAATATTATTTATTTTCAAATAATAAATATATTTACCATTTTGATTTAAGATGAAAGAAATTGTATTATCTAAAACTCCATCACATATAAAACAATCTGAATTAGATTAACTTTTAAACTATCCTAAAAATCCTCTAATATTAAATATATTACATTCTTCACATTATGCACCAATATGTCCTCCTGATAACTTTTATTTTCTACTGTCCAACCTTCATTAAAATTTTCGATATTTCTAATACAAAAAAACAAATAATCTAATAGAGAATTAGGTCTCCAAATCCCCTCTCTTAAATTTAAAGAAATTTAAAAAATCTCTAAGCATTTTTCTTTATAAAATATTGAATATTTATTAGTATTAATAGTAACAGAATAAAAACCTTAAATTGAAAGGCATTGTTAAGTACTAAAGTCAATATAAAATCTCCTTAATAACATTTTTAGTTATGAAGTTATTTGTCATCATCATCATATCATTAAAATGAGGATAAATTGAATTTTAAATTTAGATTGTTTTAATAAAAGGGACTATTTAGAACATAAAAAAGTTAAACTTTAATTAAAGAAATAATCTATTCAAAATTCATTAAATTTAGTTCAATATATTTTAAAAATAGTTTTATTGCTTACAATAATTGTAAGTTTATACTAAATATTTCTATTAAATCTAAAATATAACATATCTAATATTAATCGAAATAATATTTATTAAATTTAATCTTTAATAGCATATAATTTTTATTCTATTATAAAATCTATTTAAAAATCATTTATGATTAAAAATCCATTAATTAAATAATTTAATTGCTATGTCACGTTCTAATTATCAATAAGAAGAGCAAACTTAGAGATATAAGTCATAATTAGAGGCTTAAGCTCAAATTCAATATTATGTATATCAGGACTTATAGAATGTAGTAAATTTACTATATTCAATGAAAGCTGTGATTTAATATTTTAAAGAGGATCCTTAACATCCTATGATCGACTTATGTAATAACAAATTAGTTTTATAATTAAATCTATCAAATGGAATTCATTAGGATTTGTTATAATAGTGTTAAAATACAGAATTATTTCAATTTTTAGATAAATAAAAATAAAATGCTCAAAAAATGCTTGATTAAATTCTCTCTTAAATGTTTGGTTAGGAAAAATTAAAAGAATAGTTGTGTTTAGTTGAATCTTACAAAAATAATTGTTTAGGAAAAAATTTTTAATGGAGATAGTATGAATAAAAACAAACAAATTTACCTGTCTAATTTAATGAGTAAGTATTAAAAAAAATTATTAATTCCATATAATTTATTGATAATAAAATAAATTAAGTAGGATAAAATGGTGAATTGAAATAGCCAATAGTAGGTGAAATTTAATATATAGCATAGTAAATTATTGTTTTATTATTTTAGATAGTATGAATAATTGACATAAAATAAGTTGCAATTAAATTTTCCTCTTTTTAAGAATAGTACTTCTATTTAAAGTAATAATAAATCTTTTTAAGAGCAAAACAATTGTTTTGAATTGCAACAAAACCAAAATTATAATAATTAATATTGCGATTATAATAAACAAGGCTAAAATAACTTTTTAAAAGAATGTGTGGATATTACTTAGACAGCTTAACCTTAGAATGGAAATTATAAATCAAATGAATAATATTCAAACAATCTTAACAATTAATAATAATTGTAAAATAAGTTAATAGAATTTCTAAAAAAATTTGAACTTCCAATAAATAATAATACTCACCCTACTATTCAGAATATCCTTAATTCTATAAATAACAATTACGAAAAGTTAAAAGAAGATATCAAGAAGTTATCATAATATCCCAATAGTAATTTTAAAACATAAGCAGATTATGCAATAAGTCAACGTTCTTCTGGAAATTTAAGAGAATAATTTAGATTACACTAGATATTTCATCTATTTTATAGTTATTTGGATGCAGAAAATAAAAATGGCAGGATAATTAATATTTTTGAATACCTCACTTATGTCAAAATTTCTTATTAAAATGACTCTGGGAATTTTCTTATCTATTTTGAACAATAAAAATGTATACTATAGAAACAGCCACATTTTGTAAATTAATAAAACAGTTCAAATCTAAATAATTAACTTTATTGGTAGGATGATTATTATTATGAGCTATTTAAAAATTTTTCAAATATATATGGGTATCAAATAATATGATTATCAAATATATTTTTTAATTTATATGAATAGAATTTAATAATATAAGGTATTATTTTTTATAAAATGAGTATATTATTTTAAACTCTAATCATATTATAAAATTGATTAAATATACTTTTGCTCAAAAAATCTGAAAAAAAATGATGTAAATAACTTTAATACTTATTTATTACCTAAAATAACAATTGATTATGATACTATTTTTATCTTATAAAATTTAAATCCTATATTGATTGAGAATTAAAGTTTATAAAATGATTAGTAATAAAATATTTTTAAGATTAATAAATATAGATAAAGTGATTAATAGATAATGAAAGAATCACTTTTTTTTCTTAAATTGGTTACAAATTAGTAAAAAAATTTCCATTAAGATACTTTAATAATTGACTAAATTTTTCTTTTATTTTGAATAATAACTATTGTTCATTTGATCTTTCAATACTTCTTAAAGTTATGGTTAAAATTAAACGTCTGCTTCTTTTCAAAGTGAAAAAATCATATTTCTTGAAATAAATAAATTAATAGTTAAATAAAAAATAATAAAAATTTTGGAGTTAATAAATTAGAGATATTGAATTAAAATGTTTTTTGGAATTAGATTTTGATTTTTCTAAATTAAAATGAGTTCAAATGGATAATAAAATAAATTATTAAAACAGAAAAAATACATAAAAGTAAAATAATTTAATCATTAATTAAAAGTGTTGAGAAACCAACCATCTGGAATAAGTTATAAATTAGATTCATCAGAGCAGCTAATTAATTTGCCATTTTGCCATTCTCCAAATTTTTTTTTTCCTTCTTTATTAATCATAAGTCCTTTTCCATGTTGTTTTCCATCTAGCCAATATCCTTAATATTGTTTTCCATCAGGCCAGTTAAATATACCAAATCCAGACTTTTTATCATTTTCATATTCTCCATCATAGTATTTTCCATCACTCCATCGATAATATCCTCTTCCGTGCATTTGATTTTTGAGCCAGTATCCATAATAAGACTATATTCTAAATAATGAATAAATTACCCTACCATCTGGCCATTCATATTTTCCTATTCCATTAATCATATTATCCATCCATTCTCCATTATATGTACTTTATTAACTCCATTTATAAATTCCTTTTCCATTCTTTTTACCATTTTTAAATTCTCCTTCATAAATGGAACCATCAGGCCAAACTTCTTTTCCTATTCCATTTGATTTACCTTATTTAAATTATCCTGTATAAATTGGTCCTTTTGCATAAACACATTTTCCATCACCTTCTAAATAATTGTTAATAAAATTTCCTTCATATATATCTCCATTTGGCATGATTAATTTTCCTAAACCATTTGCCATATTATTAAATATAATTCCTGTATAGATTCCACCATCTTCAAATTTAAGTTGATTCTAAATAGTTTCAATTTACTCTTGTTTTGAATCTGTTGATATGTATTACTCTTTTATAAATGTAGAAGAATTGGATTTACTATCCATTGAAGGTGGTTTTTCTTAGAATAATGTTTATAAGTACAAGGCTGTTTTTCATCTTCTTCTTCTATTTCAGGATCAGAATCAGAATCAGAACTAATTTCTTCCTTTTTATTAATTTCACTTTATTGTACATCTGGTTTCATTTAACATTTCTAACATTCTTGTCCCATGTGATATAGATAAAATATCACTTTGATTTTGTAATATAAAAATAATAATAAAATGGGTAATGCAAATGTTTGTTGTTCACAACCTATTGTCTAAAATAAAAATTAATTGATAGTATTAGAAAAATAAATAAATAAAAATGAGGATTGTGATGTAGGAGAATAAGAAGCTGATGATTTTGTTAGAATTGGATTAAGTAATTCTATTAATATGATTTTTTTCAGAAACAAATAATGTTAAAGAACATACTTTATTCAATTAACTATTACCAATTAAAAGATTAGTTAGTGTTGAAGCACCAAAATAAGGTTAGCGTTTAGACTCTTTTCCTGAAATTTCAAATTAGATTGTTCGAACTGTCTTAAGTTAATTNTCATAGTATTTTCCATCACTCCATCGATAATATCCTCTTCCGTGCATTTGATTTTTGAGCCAGTATCCATAATAAGACTATATTCTAAATAATGAATAAATTACCCTACCATCTGGCCATTCATATTTTCCTATTCCATTAATCATATTATCCATCCATTCTCCATTATATGTACTTTATTAACTCCATTTATAAATTCCTTTTCCATTCTTTTTACCATTTTTAAATTCTCCTTCATAAATGGAACCATCAGGCCAAACTTCTTTTCCTATTCCATTTGATTTACCTTATTTAAATTATCCTGTATAAATTGGTCCTTTTGCATAAACACATTTTCCATCACCTTCTAAATAATTGTTAATAAAATTTCCTTCATATATATCTCCATTTGGCATGATTAATTTTCCTAAACCATTTGCCATATTATTAAATATAATTCCTGTATAGATTCCACCATCTTCAAATTTAAGTTGATTCTAAATAGTTTCAATTTACTCTTGTTTTGAATCTGTTGATATGTATTACTCTTTTATAAATGTAGAAGAATTGGATTTACTATCCATTGAAGGTGGTTTTTCTTAGAATAATGTTTATAAGTACAAGGCTGTTTTTCATCTTCTTCTTCTATTTCAGGATCAGAATCAGAATCAGAACTAATTTCTTCCTTTTTATTAATTTCACTTTATTGTACATCTGGTTTCATTTAACATTTCTAACATTCTTGTCCCATGTGATATAGATAAAATATCACTTTGATTTTGTAATATAAAAATAATAATAAAATGGGTAATGCAAATGTTTGTTGTTCACAACCTATTGTCTAAAATAAAAATTAATTGATAGTATTAGAAAAATAAATAAATAAAAATGAGGATTGTGATGTAGGAGAATAAGAAGCTGATGATTTTGTTAGAATTGGATTAAGTAATTCTATTAATATGATTTTTTTCAGAAACAAATAATGTTAAAGAACATACTTTATTCAATTAACTATTACCAATTAAAAGATTAGTTAGTGTTGAAGCACCAAAATAAGGTTAGCGTTTAGACTCTTTTCCTGAAATTTCAAATTAGATTGTTCGAACTGTCTTAAGTTAATTACCAATACTTTAAATACCAAATTTTATTGAGAGAGGAGTATAGAGTCCTCCAATTAAATTTGATAATGATTTCATTTACTATGGAGAATGGAAGGATACTTAAAAACATGGTTATGGAAAACTATTATGGCCAGATGGAAGTTATTATGAAGGAAGTTTTATTAACAATGAAGCTTCTGGATATGGTAGATTAATACATTCATTTGGTGATTATTATGAAGGTTATTGGTAAAATGATTAAGCTAATGGTGATGGTAAATATCATAGATACAAAAATAAAGCTACTTATGAAGGTAGTTGGATGAGTGATAAATAATAAGGTTAAGGCAAAGAAACTTGGTAGGATGGTTCCTCTTATGAAGGAGAATATTATAATGGTAAAAAGTAAGGAAAAGGTTTTTTTAAATGGGGAAATGGAAATATGTATATAGGAGAATTTAAAAGTAATAAAATGGATGGACAAGGAATTTATTATTGGAAAAGTGGAAAGGTTTATGATGGACAATGGAAAGAAAATAGAATGGATGGAGAAGGAGTAATATTATCCTTCTATATCTAAGACTTTTAATTGGCCTGATGGTCGTAAATACAAGGGAGGTTATAAAAATGATCTTAAAGAAGGATATGGTATTTTTGAATGGTCTGATGGTAAATATTATAAAGGAGAATGGAAACAAGGTAAATAACATGGAAAAGGTATACTAAAAATGGATTAATCTAAAGAAATTTAATCTGAATGGGTTAATGGAAAAATTAGTACTGAAAAACAAATCGATTTCTAAGGAGCCACCTCTTGAATTTCTTTTCTATTTTTATTATTATTGTATTTTTATTAATATTATTTCATTAATCATTTCCATTTCTTTACTTCTATAATTATATTATTAACTGACATGAGTGAATCTTAACTCATTGAAAAGCTTCAACAATATGATAGTAAGAAAGGAAAGTTTGATAATGAACCTATTCATTCCTCTTAAGAATGTAGCTACAAAATTAGTACAAGTCCAAGAATTCATAAATTTCATCGATCTCCTGTCATTCATTAATCTCCAGCTAATATTTCATCCTCTTTAGAACATTATCCATTTGATAAAGAAGATATTTAAATTTAAGATCCTCAAGGGGAAATAAGATTCTTACTTAAAATTATCGACTAATTGTAATATGATTTATAAATCCAATATAATGATAGTGAAATTATTAAAAAGAAGTATTAAGAATTACAATTTTAAGTTCAAAAAATGCAAAGTAATGTTTTCAAAGAGTAAGAATAATATGAAAATAAATAATACTGTGATCAACTACAAAGATAAAATAAATAATTAAATAACGACAATAACACACTTAAAAAAAATTATCAAGAAGTCTAATAAAAATTTATTGATTGTTAAAAAGATCTAGATAATTTGAAATTAAATGCATCAGAACTATTAATTTAAAACGAAGGATTATATTCATTATTAAATTCTTTAAAAGAAAAACATCAATTTGATGTTGATAGTCAAGCTAAACACTTTGAACTTATTAATCAAAAAAAAATTGATGATGAAATAAATCTTATTCAAAAACAATACAAAAGAGAAATTGAAACATAAAATTCTATCTCAGATTCATATAAAAAAAAAATTGATGATCTAACTAATGATTGTGAAATTAAATCCAAGAAATTAAGTTAATAACAAGAAATCAATTTAAAATAAGAGTTAGAAATTGAAATCTTAAATGGAAAATTAATTCGATATTAAAAATTAGAACAAGAATTAGTTGATATTGATACACTTTATTAATAAAAAACAGATTATGCTCATAATTAGTTCAAGAAAACACAAAGTTAGGAGAAGAGTTAAAAAATTAAAAATCATAAATCTAACTATTAGATTCATCTTTTAAATTAAAATAAAATCTTTTAGAAAAAGAAAAAAGTGAGTATGTTGAAAGAATCTAACAATTGCAAAAACAATTAGATGAGTTATCGAATGTAAATAATGAATTCAAAAAAAAAGAATTGGAGCAATAAAGATTGTTAAACAAATTATCAGAGTATGGAGATGAGAATTTGAGACTTTTAGAATAAAATACTTTTATTTTGGATAAAACAAATGATACAGAAACATTAAGAGTAAACTACAAGAACTTGGTTAAAAGATATTATTAATTAAAAAGTGAGAATGATGGATTAGTATAATCAATAAATTAGCATATAACAAATAGTGCAATTTTACAAAGATAGTTACAAAATGCAATAATAGAAAAAAATGAAGTCATTACCAATCTACATTATACATAATAGTAGTTACTAAATTTATAATATTAACTAAGTCATTGAAGTATAAAAATAATTTAAGTAATTATTAGATAGTTTAGTAAAATTAATTGATAAATTTAATATAAGTTTTATAATATAAATAGAAATCAATCTACTCTTGATGGAGGTTCTTTGAACTCATCTTTAATATTCATGGTCTTATCGATTCCTTAATCACACATCATTTAACAAAATTCATCAAAAGAGATCTAATTATTATTATTAGGTTTGATTTCATTGAGCATATCATTGAGATTGCTTTCCGAAATTTATCTTCCATGTCTAGCTAGTGCTTCTCTAATATCATCTTTTTAAATATAGCCAACGTTTAGAGTGTCGAAATACTTAAACAAAGACCATAACTAATTTTAATAGATTAGATATATACTCTCTCTCTAGTAAAAAGTTTTCTTTGATCTATACAAGCAGCCAAAAAATCAGTATATTTAATCATCAATGGTTAAGGTGATTTAGTTTCTACAAATTGAGTTCCTTCCTATTCTCCCATAAGTTAGATACCTTCATCTTCTTCTAAGACGATAGTTTAAATCAATTGTTCAATTTCCCAATGTGTAACAATTGATCCTTCTTTAATAAGGGCTGCTTTAAGTTCTTCAACAGTTATGGTCCCTGAGTTATCAACATCAATTTTAGAAAAAATCTATTTTAAATGTTATAATTCAGATTCATTCATTTAATTGATGAGTACCTTTGTAACTTCCTTTTTGAATTTAGCTCCTCCTCTATAAGTTTTTAGCATTTAATAAATAGTACGATCTTATTACATTTAAGCAACATTCATTTTATTATTGAGTTATAAAGAGGGATTCTATTTAGTTTAAAACCAAGGATGATCTAAACACTCTTTTGCTGAAAGTCTTGATTAAGGATCTTTAGAAAGCATTTAATTTAGTAAATCTTTAGCTTCTTCTGATATAGTATTCCAAACTTTAGATTCAAATTTAACATCTTTACTACGTATATTAAGAAATAGTTTCTCTTTTGATTATCCCAGAAAAGGAGGAGATCCACATAAAAGACTATAAAGAAGGACACCTAAACTCCAAATATCACATTTTTCATCGTAATCTCCTTCTATAACTTCAGGTGGCATATACAGAGGTGTACCTATAAAAGTTTTTAATTTCCTTCTTCTATGTATTATATCAAATTTGTTTGCAAACCCAAAATCAATTAATTTAGGCTCAGAATACAAACTTTATTCAGTAAATAAAATGTTCTCCGCTTTAATATCTCTATGCACTATTCCTTTTTCATGAATATAGACAACAGCTGAACATAACTAAATAATGAATAATGAATACTTTAGATATTATTCTTTATACTTAGTGTTCAGTTAAATTTATTTGTTGTTTTGCAATTCTTTCTACTAACTCTCCTCCTTCACAGAATTCCATACATATATAAATATATATTTCACTTTGATAGACTTCGTAAAACTTAATTATATTTGGGTGATCCAATTTTTTTAGAGTATATATTTCATTAGCCAATTATGCTTCTTTTCCATGAAGATTGTTTTTGTCTATAATCTTTATGGCATATTGTTTCTTTGAATTATTTTTCATTGTTGCTTAAACAACCTTGCCAAAAGAACCTATTCCAAGTACTTTACCAAAATTGTAAATAGAATGGATGTCTGTGGTTGATGTAAATACTGAATCATTATGACTAGTTTGCATTGGTACTATTCTTGCATGCTATTTTGTTTGTAAACAACCCATAACTTTTATTATCGCTAATATTAGAAAAAATTAATATTTATCAAATTAATTCGACTTCACAAAAAAATGGCCAATTCTTCTCAGTAATTCAAAATATATTATTTTTTTTAAATAATTTACATATCCTAACCTTGTTTTTATCAGATTCCACATAAACAATAACTAAGGACTTTGAATGAAGAAAAAATCTATAATCTTTTATTTAAGAAAAATCATAAAAATTTTCCTAAAAATATTACTGATAAAATAACTATTCAAAGCCATCAGCTTGGTTAATTGCTAAAATTACAAGACACATATCAAGGCTTTCAATTAACACTCCATTGGCAAATTCGATTTCTCTCAAGCTTTCCACATAAGAACGACTATAATAAGAATTTTAAATGATTTGTTTTAGAGTTATATCTGAGTCTAAAACAAAAGCCTTTTAAGTTTCACTACTCATTATATAGATTTCTAAACATTATTCTCTTTGTAAATATAAGAATCAATCGACTCTCCTTTAAATCTAAATTTAGCTTTTTATTTTTTTATTCCTCTAACCCCTCAATATATTTCAAAAGAATAAATAATGGAAATCCTCTTACATTATTCTTTCCCTAAGTTTTAAAAAAATATTTGTCCATTTATTATGTCGACTTTTTCTTATTTTGATAATTATAAACCAAAATCACTTTTTTTTTAATGTCTTTTATATTTTGAGATTTATATAATGAATTTCTAAATTTTTGTATAATCTCATAATTCAGAAAATTTAATTCTCTAATAATGATTATGTCTATACATGAGTTTCTAGAGATTCTTTCCTGTCTCTTTCTAGTTTCCTTAATATAATATAATCGTTTAGATTGCATTCTAATTTTTTTCTATAGGAAAGAATAAAAAATGCTAGTAATACCAAAGCCATGATATAATTATTGATATTTATTAGAATTAATTTTATAGTGTGGTCTGAGTCTCCTTTTTTTAAGTTTTAAAAATTTATCCTTTATTATTCTTATTATTATTAATGTTAATTTTTAATTCTTGTGAATAAAAGCGCATGAAAATATATTTAGAAGTGTATTAAAATAATTCTATAAAGAAATGTTATCTAAAATTATATTTTTAGTTATTTTCAGCTATTCTATACTATAAATAGATTAATTTGAATTTTATGATAAATTTTTATAAATTATAACAATTAGTAAATGATAATTATTTTTATCGTAATATTAGCAATATATGTGTTTTTGTAAATGCTTATCAGAATTACAAATTACTCTAAATATATAGAAAATCACCAATAATTTTGTAGTTGTTTCACCAGTTGCCAATCAGATTATTGTCAATATATTCCTATTGTTTATCAGAGACCAAAAGAAATCTGATTGGAGAATATTTTAAAATTTATGAAATTAGATAAATCATTTATATACCTAGGTCAGGAGATCAAAAACTAAATATTATTTGAATAATTATTTTTTTAAACAAATCCCTTTTTATAGGACAAGGCTGTAATAAATAATATTTATCAGATGGAATATATCGATAATAAATTTTAAAAAATGCTTTAACTACTTAAATTTTATATTCTGAAAACAAAATTTTTAAAAACGAAATTTATAAAAATATCGAGCAATCTGAACTACTGTTTATTATTCATATTATTGTAATTTTGTTAATACGCTTGAATTCATTAAACGAGAACTTTAATAATTCTAAAATTTTCATAATTGCAAGCCATAAATTATCAATGCTTTTGTAAACTATTCATTTATATTAGATGAATTAATTTTAGAGGAATAAAATAGGTATGATTAGAATAATTTTAAGTTAATATATTAACATCATGGCAGAAAATTGGTTATGTCAATCAAGCAGAAAAAGCTTGTTTATCAAATTCTGAACGAGTTCTTGTCTTTAACTAAGACTTTAATCTTCTTCTTATGATTATTGCATTTTTCTCAATCGAAAATTATTTGCTTTGGGGTAGTCTTGGGGGCGATTAAATATGGCTTTGAGTTATCAAATGTTATTCAAATTTATCTTTTTTAGATGCTTTTAGATTTTTCTCTTCTTAAGTTTTTGTGACTGAACACCCCATAAATTTTAATTGTTATTTTTAATCTGATCTAAAAAGTTAAAAAAATTTAACTTTTAAATAGTTTATTTTATCTTATAATAGATACTAAATATTAATAAAACATTATTGAGACTAAAAATAAACGAAAAGTCTCTCTAACAATTGTTTTTTTGGAAAAATTACTCCTTCTTGAAATTTTTTGTGATAAATTAATTTATCTGAATAAATGTTTCTTTTTTTTAATTTTTAATTTATTTATCTGATCAATTAATTTATAAATAAAAGTTGGATTTCTAAAATTCTGTATGTGATAGCAGGGTTACTTTATATTATTTTTTTTAAATAAAAATTTCTAAAAAAAAAAATGGAAATTTAAAAAAATAACTATGCTATTTATTAATAATATAAAACAAAACAAAATGAAATTTAGAGCAATTACAACTAAAATTAATTAATAAGTGATTAGCATTGATCTTTTGGAAGTATTTTATAGCAATTTTTTGTTCATTTTATTTTATAAGAAATAAATGGGAATTGATACATCATTCTTCTAAAAGTCGCCTTTAGTAATCTTAAAAGAGGAATACATATTTTTTTTTATATTCTCACAAGTTTATGTAAATAAAGTTATTTCTTTTATCTAATAAGCTTTATTATTTTTAATTTATAAATTAGTACAATATAAATTATTATTATATTCTTCAAAATTTTAGTTTAAAAAAACAATTAAAATTAGAAAAAGTATTCTCATGGGAAAAAAATAAATAAACTTTGATTTCTTTGTGAGATTAAAACCTGAGAACTAAAATTAATTAAAAAGCAAAATTTTGTTCTCATTTCTCATTTTATGCTGCTAACCTCTTAAGAATCAAACTTAGAAAAAGAAATTAATGAATAGAATTTTTAATTAAAATCTAAAATATTATTCTTCTGATTAAAAATTAAAGCAATTCCATTATTTAATTAAATCTATTTTAAACCAATTTAATTAAAGTTATTTAATTCTTATAAGTCTTATAAAATAATAATAGAATGAGGGAGTTGATTAATTCAAATTTTCTTGAGAAAAATTTGTTTAAAATGCTTACATTTCGAAATATTATTGTACAATAAAAATTCTTTGTTTAAAGAGATATATTTATTTTTTTAAATTGTTGTTTTTATGATTTTAGTACTATTGATTGTTGTTTTAAGGATTTCTTATTAGAAATTTTCATTTTAAAAAAATTGCTTAATTATAAAAACATGATTAATTTTGAATGAATAAGAAAATTAAATAACAAGAAGTAACAAAATGCCATGATATATTTTTTAATATTCCAAAACCATTGGTTGAAGATTAAATTTAAATCTCTATCTAATAATAGGAAAATATATATGATGAAAGAAAGTAATTTAAAATGAGAAAAAAGTTTTAAAAACAATAAATAAATGATAATTTTTATTAATATAGAATTTTTTATTATAATAATTTTAGAAATTTATTTACTGCTTGAAAGTGCAAAATGCAATAAAGTAGTTACGTAAATTTACTTATATACATTTAATTGATGATCATTTAATTAAATAGTCAAAATTCAATGAATTAAAAAATTAAAATTAAGGATTCTGTTTTCCCATATCATTGCTATAATTAATTAACAAATTAAAATTCTAAGTTTTAAATTAAATAGAAGAAAATAATTCGAAAACCCTTTAATAGGTAGTAATGTTAGCGAATTAAAAATTATTGTGTATGAGTGCTTTTAGCAAAAGATTATGTTTCATATAATCTTTTCCGATTTAATTTCTTAATGAAATTAAGAAGTTTGTTAACTATTATATAATAGCTGTATCAATCAATAAAAATTATTGATTAATTAAGAAATTAAATCTAATATAAAATTTTTTATTCCAATAATAAATGCTTAATTTACTTGATAACAATTTATTTAACTGAAACCTTTCTTCATTCTGAAGAGCTATAATGAAATAAAAGATTTGATTTTTAAAACCTATAGTTTGGAATCTTTCTTAGACATACTTTTTAGAGTTGACAAGTAAACATGTTAATTTATTCATTTTTACTTCTTCAAATTTAAAATATATTAGTTATTACAATAAGATTGCATAAATTTTTGATTTTTAGAAATTATGTCAAGGAATCTTTTGTCAAAATAATTGTACATTTATAAAAGGCCATACCTAGATAAAGGAATATAAATATAATTAGTAATGATAAAACCAAAATAGTATAAATTGACAATATTCCAGATTATCTTATATAAAAATAATCTTATTATTATTAAGCCCCTAATCTTTTAATGGAATAAGTTGTGTACCTTTCTTAAATAGGAAAGCAAATAAATAACTTTTAATTTTATCCTACTTTTTGGTTAGAGAAATTTCAATGTGAAAGTTGTTTAGGAGTTACCAAATAGATACTTTTAATTAAAAAATTTTGGAGAATTTTAGAATAGAGCATTTTAGATTCTTCATAACTGATTATTTTAGAGAAATATAAAAATTTTTTTTTAAAATATTGAAATTATTATTATTTCAATTGACTTAATTATATATTCTCCATTTTTTTTAAGTGATTCTCTTTCATTCTTAACAATCTGTTTATATAATCGAATTATAAATAAAAAGCTTATTTTTATATATAATATATCATGAAATCTTTCAAATGATATAATATTAATGAATAATCAAAATATATTTCTATAATTATAAAAGTTCATTGGAGAAAGACCATTCACATATTATTACCAAATTTGTGTTTAATACCATTATTGATAGTTGAAAAACTAGGGCTAATAAGAATTAAAATAAGTTTAATAATTTTGGCAGTTCTAAACCTCCTAAATTTATTTAGCTTCTACAGAGAGTTCTTCTTTCAAACATTTTTAAGTTTATTTTTCTTATTCTTCTATCTATTTTTTAAATCTTTTTGTCCTCCTTTCCTTCTTACCTATCCTTCCTTCATGTTTATAAAGAGATAGGATTGCTTTTCCTGTTGAAAATTTTATTCCAAATTGTTTAGCGGCTTGCTTAATAGTACAAGCACCTTGTTTTACTTTTTCAATGAATGCTAATCGTGTTTCATCTGAAATTTTTGCGTATTTCATAGAATCTAAAAATAATTATCTTCAATTAAAGTAAATTGCTTTGTGATTATAAATCATTAGATTTGCGATTCGGCAGATATTATACGAGAAATTAATAATATTTATAAGATTATTTATGGGTATTTTAAAATCAGAAGGTTAAAATGCTTATAAAATAGAGAATTGCGAGTTTTGTAAAGCATCCTCTCCCCAAAATATCTTTTTCGTTATTGTTAATGATTTTGTAATCATAAGTTTTTTTTTAAAAATACTCCATTTTTTAATTGTTTTATGATTACTTCTTATCAAGTTATTACGGTTATTTTGACCAAGAATTTAGTCATTTTTAGCTATATTTTTCTTATACAAAACAAATTTATTGAGAAGCAAAAATAGTCTAAAAAAATTTTAATTTATTGATGATGAAATGAACTACGAATAACATTTTATTTTCTGAGAATAAAGCTTATTGTACAAATTTAAGAATTAATAATTATTTTATTTCCTAAACAAAACATACTAATTTTAACTATATAGTATTTTAACTCAATAATATATAATTAAATTGAATTTTAGAGTATTTTTTTTTCTTTACTCTATAATAAAGTCTTTAAGTTTAAATATATGAGCAAAAAAAATATTCACTAAAAATCTTATATAAGATGATGATTATTTTCATACTATTTTTCTATAATTTGAGAAAGTTTTTTGTTGCAATTAAAAATCTCAATGAGCTTATTTATTCAGAAATAAAATTTTTAATTGAGTCTAAAATTAATAAACTCATTTAATAAAAAAAAAATTAACTTGCTAAACAAGTAAATTTAATCTAAAATTATTCGTATATAGAAAATATTTTTCAGGAAAACTTTACACCATGAATGTATATCACTGTTAAGAATTCATTTAATAGTTAAATATAGGCCAAATTATAATTTGGATGTTTTATGAATCAATGATTATTTTATGGATTAATGATTGTTTTAATAATTTAGTTCATCTTAAAAATAAATAATCATATTGTATCTGATGTTTCTTTTCTTTTAAGACAATTAAATTTATATCAACCTAATATTGAGCTTATACTAGAAGTGACGTAATTTTATAAATAAATAATAAATTTAGAATCCTTATATTCAATTTTAATTTAAATATGAAAATCATTCCTAAAACAACAGATATTCTCTATATAATATTTCTTATAAATTTTAATATAATGATAAAGTTAAAGGAAATATAATGAACACATAGAATGCTATATAAAATTTATTTAGTAAAAATAATTCTATAATCATAATAATCATAAATATTAGAATAAGCAAAAAATTTAATTAGTTGCAATTTTGAAAGTAAAATGATGTGTTTTTTATCCAATATATAAAATTCTTGAAATTACATTAGTATTTAAATTTAATGATTAAGTTCAAGAAATTTACAAAAATAAGAATAAGATTTATTTTTTGTTTGCTTAGATATATGAATTTTAAGATGTTTTTGACATTGATAAGTTTTTTAGCATTTATTATGAAATGAGAAAAATAAATTATAAATTAATAAATCATGAGAAATAAGAAGAAGGCCTTGACTAAAGAAGAAATATAATTTTACACATAAAGAAGATTGTAATATACTTAAGATTTTTTAAAAATGTCTTAACAATTCGATCCTAAGTTAAAATAATTAACAAGGCTTTTGATTGCAAGAAAATAGATGATGAATAGCAAAAATAATTAAGCAATGCCTTAAAGTAGAAAATGCAATAAAGTATTTGCTTCATTGACAAAGTCATCTGAAATACAAAAGAAAATAGATTAAGGAATGTTAGCAGAATCTTGTAAATATAATTTGGAACCTATGCCAAAATGCAGGTATTATAGAGTTTTTTATATAGTTTTGCTTATTCTGATATATGTTCAAGAATTTAAACTTCAATGGTACCAATAGTGGAGAAACTTGATAAAAATATTTAATAAAAATTAGATGATTAATAAAACCATTATGAATCAGGTAGCAAAACAAAGAAAAAGTAACTGATGAGATCAGATACATTTTTTAATGAGGATCAGAAACCAGAGGAATATATAGATTCTATGTAAATAAAAAGTTGGAGATTACACAATATAATAGCTAGCATTTCAATAATGTAGAGAACTAAAGCATATTAAGAATATAATCAAAGAAAATCTTTACATCATCGGCCAATCCATTTATAAATGTGTTCGAATGATATATCTGAATAATTATCTTTAGAGGATGAAGATGAAGGTATTAATGGTAACTAAGATTATGAAAAGTTGATAAAGTTTGAAAGATTGAAATTAAAAGAATAATTAGAGCAAGATAAAATAAAAAGTTAGAGATTGGATCAATATGTTTAAACATCACTATAAAAGCTAGGATTATAAAAAAAGATGTTTTCAATGAAGGAATTGCAAGAATTTATAAAACAATGTTAAGTTTAAACTTTAAATGTTGTGAATGAATATAAAACAGAAAGATAAGAATTTAAAAATAGAAAATCTTAATTACTGAGTTCTTTATTATCAACTAAAAATAATACATATTCAAATACATAATCAAGATATAAAAATTTATATTAAGATAGCATAAAATTAGATGAAAATAGATTTTGCAAAACAGAATATATTTCAAATAAAAATTCATTTTAAAATAATAATAATAATAAAAATGATTTAATGAGGTTAGGATAATTATCATTATTTAATATGAATAAAGTTAAATAAAGATTTAACAATTTACCCTAAAAATTTAAAAATGCTACGAATCGTAATTTATATTGATAATAATTTGAACATATTTTTCAAAATGCTTTTTCTGATGCTCCTCTTTAATCTATAATGATTCCATGTAGTTTATATTAAACATTTAATTTATTTTCCAAAACAGTCTTTAGATCTTATATTGCGATTTGATGAGATCTCTTATCATTTGTACTTGTATATATTCTTGCATTCTATAAATAATAATTTTATAATTTACACTACTGTTATCAAGAACAGAAATGATATAAACTTCCTTAATATTATAAGCATTGTTCATAGTATCAAGGTAATACTTTAAACTTTATTCTTAAACAGGATTATTCTATAATCCAAACACTCCTCCTGGATTTGTAAATACATCAAAATCATCTACTCCTCTAGTTCTAAAAAATGCAGCTACTTGATTTCTTGCCACTGAACTACTATCAGTAATTGCAAGCACTTTGATAGATTTATTTTATTATTAAATATTTCCTAAACCATTTCTATAATTAAATATAATGTATACTAGGGATTTTAAGATTGTTATGATGTTCCTTCAACACCATAAAATTGTTAAAGATTTTTTTAGAATCTAGGATCCTATTCTAATCTTTGCAATTTATTTTGTTCAATAGCATTAATTTATTGTTATTATTGAGATTATTTTGATATTTATTTTTTTGGTTATGAAGGATCATCAGCAGCAAAAAATTTATTAAGGTTTTTTTAAAAATTTGGATCACTAACCAATCTAGGATCAGGAGGAGCATCATTAAATTATTGATATCTAGGTTATGATTATGATTATGGTTAATTGTTATATTATTTTTATGTATTATGTTTTTTAACTTAAGTTGGATCTTCAGCTGCAAAGAATTTACTTAAATTCTATTAAAATTATTGATCATTTTGATTTCTTGACTATTATGCTTGATATTATGGTTAATATTATTGTTAATATTGATTATTTGATCTAGAATTACTTTATCTAATATTATTATTTGATTTATTAGGAATAGATGGATCATCAGCAGCAAAGAATTTAACAAGATTCTTTTAAAATTATGGATCAGAGGGCATAGAATTATTAGATTTAGTATGTTATTTAGGTTATATTTGATTAGGATCATCAGCAGCAAAAAATTTAATTAAATTCTTTTGAAATTGTGCATCATTATTATTATTAGATCCACCAGATCCAATTTAGCCTGCAGATGTAGTATAAACAGCTTAATTTTATTAAACACCATAAGGTGTATATTATTTTTATTAGATCGGTTCTTATTGATAACTAATTGGATTTCTAACAAGAGGGGCACCAGTAAGAGGATCTATATTTCAATAATATAAATACTGATAGAGCTAGCTTATAAAGCAATTTTTTTATCAAAATTAGGACTATTATATTGTTATTGATTGTATTATTAATCAGATCTTAAGACTGCACCTGTTAATGGATCTAGAATTATTTGAAATATTTACTTATGCTACTAGATTATAAATATAATTATTTTTCTTTAAGATTGATTGAATCCATAGTAGGCTCTTACTAATATCTAGTTTTGGAACTTGGACGGTTATACATTTAATGTAAATATATTAATTATAATGAATATAAAACTATCCATAACTCAATAAGTAATGCTTTATATTTAAATAAGTTAGATAAGGAGTTTAGCAGCATTAACTTTAGCAATGATAGTATTTTCATCTAAATCATCATGATGTTTTTCAATTTTTTGATTCTAAGAAATTTAATAATCTTCTTCAATTCTAGATAATTAAACAGCTTATTAAATGGTAATATGATTGTTCCATATTTACAGAGCTAGAATACATGATTTTAGATTTTCTGATTATAATTGAAAGCATACCAACTTAGGAGTCTAGACTCACAAGTTGCCAACTGTTTAGTTTTTTAAGAATATTTTGAATTTTGATTTTATCGTATTATTTTAAAGGTTTAATTTCTAGACCATAATTAATCTATAAATGCATTCCAAATTATTGATTAAATAATTTTAATTAAGGATCTAATTTATTTTATTATATTTAATAGAGTTGTGATTAAGATTATTCTCTAAATAAGACAGTATCTCTTTCTAAATAATTAATAATGGAATATTCCATAAATTATCTTATTCTTTGATTAGTTTCAATACCAACAGCATTTTTAGCTAAGATCAATAATGGCATAGTAGTAGTTTATATGAATTCCTTTTATGAATTGAATTCATCAGCTATAGATTAAGCTAATTAAGAGGTTGGCAAAATCAATTCATTTTAAAAATGAGTTTAAACTATTTTTCCATCTAACTAATGTTTTTAATATAATAATAAACTTTGATTATCCATTAATGATTTTGATTCAACATTCCAACTCCAAATGTCCTTTCAATTTTAGCTTCTTTATAAAATCTTTTAATTTTAAAATGTTAATATGTTGATTGCCATTCTGTAAATTTGAACTTAAGTAATAATCTATTCATATTAATAATAAAAGAATATGTATTTATTATTTTAATAAATCATGAATAATTATTCAACCAGATCCCATAAATTATTATGCAAATGTCCTTTTAGCAGAAGCAAACACAGATGAAAAAGCTCCTCCTCCTGATGAACCACTTGATTCTTATTTATCTAAATTTATAGCTTCAGTGTCTTTCATAGTTGCTCTAGCTATAATAACGGCTGGATCTATTGTTATAATTATTCTATTATTATATATTCGATTTTATTTTATACCCTTAATCACAAATCTCATCAATAATTATTATCACCTGATCAAAGTTTTCTAATAAAGTTTTCTTATTTATATGTTCTTTAGTTATATGATTAAGGGATTCATATATTCCATTTATTACTTAGGATAATATTATTTCATTCTCTTCAAAATCACCTAAAACAAATAAATGAACTTCATTAAATGCTTTCATTACAATATTGAATTAACAATATTGAAATATCTCAGCTTAAATATTATAAATATCAATTATACTTTCACTTCCTTTTGTCAAACGAGCTCCTACTCTCTTTCCTTTCTCCCATACATTATGTTCAAATTATTTTTATACCTCAATATCTGTTAGTACACCTTCTTGCACCCTTAACAAATTCTTTGCAAATAATTATGGATAATATTTTGAATATAGTCTTGTACCATCCTATGATCTTACAAATATTATTCCAAATATTTTTGATAAAGATGTAGACAATTAACTCATTCAATTTATTTATTACATTTATATCATTAACCAATATATTCATATATACTTATCAATCCATCATTCTATCCTATCAACAATTATTTATTATCCTTAGATATATCAATACATGAAACTATCTACTTCACTTCTATTGTTTACATAAACATCCATTTCTTATCCTTCTACCTTTTTAATATTCTCACTTATGAACCGGATCCTATTATTACAATATTTGAATCCATATTCCAATATATAATCTCTATTTTATTATCACCTTCATATTGACACTATATTTCATACTTTCTCGTCTATTCATTTCTCTCCCATATTACAATCTTACCTTTATCATCACTACTTACTAAAATATCTTTTTAACTATTAAATCTCACTTTTGTTATTTAACCTGTATGCAATTCCAATTTCTCACTAATTAACCATTCTTCATTATTTATTTATTTCCAAATTGATATATGACCATCTGTAAAACCAATTGCTATCTCTGAAGAATCTCTATTAAAACTTACACTTGTTGAAAATATACATTCATCTTCTGTAAAATTCTCATTCAATGAACAAATCTCCCTCCATTCTTAGTTCTATTTCTCTAATACTACTGCAAAATCATATAAACATTACACCATCTTTTTTGATGTACTATTTAATTATATTTCAAGTATTTGATTCCCTTCAGATTCTCTTATTGTTTTACTTACCCATCTCTCTTATTCTTTATTATAAATTAATTGATCTATTTATCCTTTCTAATGTGCATAAATAAAACTATTCTCCTCTTAACTAAAAGTACAACATTATAATTATTAATTTTCTAATATAATCCCACCAAATCCCCACTCTTTATTTTACTATTCATATTTAATAAAATGATCATTCTTTCCTATACTGATTATTTATTAATTATCATAAAGATATTTCGCTTCTAAAATTCTTGAATTTTAATGTTTCAGAGAACATACTTCTTTATAATAAACTTTTTTGTTTATTGGATCCTATTACATATATTATTTCAGATAATTAATTCACTATTATTATTTATATTCTTAACTTATCCAGAATTCATTAGCATTTTCTATAATAAAAAATTAAAATTAATAATAATTGAACTTTCATATTTGTTATTATATCTAATTAATTAATGAAAATACAATGAAGATATCTAAAAGCAATTAAGTAATTTATGATAAATTAGACTAAATTGAATTTGATACTTATTTATAAAGAATTTAATTTTAATTTTATATATATAATTATAATATGTAAAGAGCTTAATCAGCAGCACCTAATTATGGTATGATAGATAATGAAATATAGACTTTCCTATGGAGGATATGTTTAAAATAGCCACAAGATAAACATCAGTTTTTGGAATAGAGGGATATGAAGCTCCAAAGAAGTACGTTGATCCAATTCGGTAGATGGAAGATAGAAAATTTTTAACTTAAAAGAAAGGTAATATATATTAATGATCAAAAAAAGGTTAAAAGAATCGAAATCATGTTACAAAAAGAGGACATTATTTAGAAGATTTGAAAAAGTTATATGAAAAGTTACCTGCACCAAACAAATATGATATTGTTAAACCATGGGTTTCAGAAAAATAGGAAGGTAGAGTAAAAAGTGCTCCATAGAAGAGGTATATAACTATAGAGTATATTCAAAATAGATGCACATTTATTGATTAAATATTCAAAGAAGCAAAAGTTAGAGGAATTCCTGGAGCTGGAAAATATAATGTGATACCAACACTTGAAGAGGTTTTGAAAAAAGTTCAAGAAGAAAAGAAAAAGAAAATAGGGTAATATAAATTCTGAAATTAATAAATAGACCTGTTGAAAGACCAACTTATTTAAATGAAATTTAACATTTAGCAGTGATTAATCCTGGTCCTGGAAATTATAATCCTCATGTAAGATTAAATTTAACATTAACGTAGAGAATTGAAAGAAAACTAAAATTAAATGAAACTAAGCCATCTGATTAAATAGCAAAACATAAAGAATAAGAAAGAAAGAGAGGTAAATCATGTTTACCAGATATTGGAACATATAATCCTGAACCAGTTGAATTTACTTCATTTAACAAGTTATAATTACTCTCAAAAAAAAAAGATAAGTCTGATAAACATGTAAAAAAATTAAATATAAATCTATAGAATTTTGGAAGAGAAGATAGATTTAAAGATCCAAAAAAGAATAAATCAAAATAAGTTCCTGTTCCAGGTCCAGGATAATATCCAATGATTGTTTAATGGGCTGGAAAAGAAAAAGATAAAAATAATCCAAAGTAAAAAAATTATTTGGATGTCACTACACGAGGCATTTCTCGTTCAATATATTATTGAATTAAACTTTGTTAATTATTAAATTTTTACATTACAAAATATGAGTGGAATGATGAAATCTTTATATATTGAAGACAATTAATCAATTTGTTTAAAAGACATACCTATTCCTTAACCCTAAAATGGTTAAGTATTGATTAAGGTAGAATATGCTCCAGTAAATCCATTTGATAAAGAATTTCTAAATGGACATAAAATAACTTTAAAACCATTAGTAAGTAGTGTCCCTGGATTTGAAGGATCAGGTACAGTGATAGCTTCAGGGTAACTATAAATATTTTAAATATTTAGTGGAGGATTATTAGGTTGGCAATTAAAAGGAAATCGAGTAGCATTTTACACAGAACATTAATTTGGAGCTTTTGGTTAATATGCCATTGCAGATGTTAATTATTGTGCTCAATTACCTAAACATGTTACCTTCTAAGAAAGTTGTTGTAGTTATATCAATCCTTTATCTGTTTTAATGATGCATTAATTAATTGGAAATGCTCATGGAATAATATCCACTGGAGCATCTACTAATATAGGAAGAATGCTTACAAGATATTCCTAATATAAAGGAATAAATGTCATTAATATTGTATAATCCTAAACTGAAGAAAAAATATTAAAGGATGAAGGAGCTAAACTTATATTAAATATTAATTAAGAGGATTTTGATGAAAAATTAAAACTCATGTCTTCTTCATATAAGTATTATATCATCTATTAATACTAAGTACAACAGTTTTGTTTGATTCAGTTGGAGGTGATTAATTAAGTAGAATATTAAATCTAATGCCTTATGGATCAAGAACATATCTTTATGGTAATCATTCAAAACAATCACTTGAAGGAATCTATTGTGCTAATTTAATGTATCAAAATAAAAAAATATTTGGGTAATTGTGATAAATACTGTTAGATTTTCATTTGTAGATAATTTATAAACTAAAAATATTATTCAATTAAAGTTGATGATGAATGAAGTCTTAAACAATATTTAAGGATATTTTAAAACTCTACCAACAAAAATAGTAATTTTATTTATTAAAATAAGTTTACATTAGAAGAATTTGAAAAAGCCCTAGAATCTAAGGAGAAAGCAATTTTCAAAATTTGATACTGTTTTGTTTTGTTGATTTATAATTATGAATCATGAGGATGTATAATTTCCTACTTATTATTCTAAGGCTACCATCTTTTAAGTAGCAGCTAATATTAATTACTGTATCTGACTTTTTTCTTTTTTTAACTCTGTTAATTATGATTGTAATTTAGAATTTTCATCTTTTTATATGTTGATAGCCTAATCAATTTAATATAAAATACTTATCTAAGATCTCTTAACATAGCATCTAAAGTTGGTTAAGTTGTATTTTTAATTTCTTCATTATTATTAGTTATCCTTTATTTCATGATATGCAATTCTTGTTTCAATTGATCAATATCCTATTTATAGTTTTATAGAAGTTCATTAGTTAAATCAGTAATGTTCTATTTTCAATGTAAAAATAGATAATACATTCACCAACGATAAGTGGTTTTTTGCACTAGTGGCAGATTCTTATTCTAGCTTTGAAGTATGAGCTTATTAAATATCCTACATTTTTTAAATAATAATATTTATATAATATTTTATTATAAAATCGGGAAGAATTAATCATGTTGTTTTGTAAGAATTAGAAAACTAGCAAATACACTTCATAAAATAGAAATGTTTTTACTATATGAATTAAAAAATTCACAAGAAGATAATTAATTAATTTATATAGATTTGCATTATTTTAAAGGATATTATCCTATTTTTGGTTAATAATTTTATTGAATCTTCTCAATATCATTGATAATTTATATCTTAATTTTAAAAAGAGATATCAAAATAAGAAATTTAAATTTCTATTAATATCTATTTTGACTCTCTTTTGTTTTTGGATATTAATAAAGAATTATTATCCTTATTTACAATTATTAGAGCATAATAGGCAACTCATTAGAATATTTTAAACAATTTCTGATTTTAAAGTTTATAACGTCTATCTTTTCAATTTTTAGAATCAGTAAGTAGCAAACTGAAGCCTCAATATTAGAAATTCTGAATCAATATCAAATAAATGAAAATTAATGATTTTTATTAATATTCGATATTAGTTTTTCAATATGAGTAGAAATTTACTCTTTTATACCTTAATTACCGATTTCTATAAGAATTATTCAATTAAATGAGAGTTTCAAAAATTGATAATGACTCATTTAATCTAAAATATTATGGGATTAGCTACTTCTGAGTGACATCAATATGAGTAATTAACATTATTATATTAATTAACACTAAAAAATGGAAATTTTTAAGAAATCTTAATTTCTACGCAATCAACATAAATTTTATTTAAAGTTAATTTCATAGATGAATAAATTAAAAAAAAATAACAATAGTTATCTACTATAAATCATAAACGTAAATAGTTGGAAAAGATTATGATAATATCATTGCGCTTGAAAAGCACCTTAATTTTATATTTTCAAATCTAAATGTTATAATGATTTCAATTCTAATGTTTTGTTTATAACTTTGATTAGAAAACATATTAATTTTTAATTTTAATTGGTCCATAAATTAAATATAGTTACTTTTTAAATTGATAAAGAGTATCTAAAAATAATTTAATTAACTATTAATCATAGAAATTTGGAGAAGTGAATGAGCTTTTTTAAAAATCAAGACAGGGTGTATCATTTAAGCTGATAAAGATTCTTCATTTTTGAAAAAGATTAAAAGTAAAGAATTTCTTTTAAATAAATGGACCAAAGTAATCAACCAAAAAAGTTCTTCAGTTACTCTTACTATTAGAAAAACAATAATTGGAAATTTTTCTCCTTCTTATATTTAGTTTTAGTTCACCACATTTAAAAACCTATAATCTCCCAACCTTTATATCAAAATCCTATTAAAACTAATAATTAGCAAGACCTTAACAAAATAGTCCCTCTAAATCCATTATTTACAGGAATCTAATTGGACCTAGAAAACTAGAAGCTATTCAAATAATGATATTTGGAAAGAGTATAGTTAATGTTTTAAAAAGGTTTGAAAATAAACAATGAATTTATATCATTAAATTCTAAAAACTAATTTTTAAATACTATTCATACATATTTGTAATAGAATTAATTTATTATTTAATAAATATATTCATTTTTCTTTAGTTTATTAACTTTAGTGCATTACAACTATAGGTCTTTCCTGACGTACTTTTAAATATTCAAGATAGTTTTGATAATAATTAAAGTCTTCTTTCTAAATTTTTTCATCTAAAGTCTCTTTGAATTAATATAAAGCAAATTGACCTTCATAATCACCTTCCAAAACTTGAATTAGAGAATTAGAGTTGTTCCTATTTATATTATGGATCAAAACTACAAATTCAACATTTGAAGATAAATATAAGTTTTCAAGTGAAATAAACTTCATAAAATTTTTTATTTACTTAATTTATTTATTCTTAGAAATTTTCATTTCTTTATATTTCAGTTTCTTTTAATTCATTATTATTCATATTATTATTATTATCATCATTTATCAAATCATTTATAGTTTCTCTTACTAATTCTTTTATTTCTTGGGTCAAACTTGCTTTCTAAGAATCATCTTTTATAAACTAAATCATAAATTATTGATACTTCTTGTTATATCTAATTTTAATTTTATATCAAATCATTGTAAGTTGTTTAATCATTTTTAGTTGATTCTGTTATAACTTTTTCAAAATTGGCTTAAAAACAGTTTTAATCTTCTAATTCTTCCTTCTTGATAGCTTCATAAAAACCATTTATTACATTAATTATCTTTTGTGTTAATTATAATCTTCAATCTTTTAAAATTCACTTTTTTACTAAATTAGCTTGATGAAATTTCATTATTATCTTTAGAAGGTTTCCCAGTTTCTTTATTGCTTTCACATAATTTTTCAAAATTTAACCTAAAGTCTTAAACTTATTCAATTTGCTCTATTATTTAATGAGTATTTATAATTTGTTCTTTTGTTAAATACTTATGCAATCTGATTTTAAATATTTATTCCAAACGATTAAAATAATAATTACTTTATTAGTTTAAAAGATAGAAAATTATTTAATAAAGTGTCCAAAACTCAATCGACTATAAAATTTTTTACCCACAAAATGTCCTTGAATAAGGAATTTACATTGGAAATTCTAAATGTTTAAGCAAAGGACTAGAAATTTCAAACACATAATCCATCAATCCATCTATTGTCTATTATGATTAAAACTAAGTTAATAATTATATTTTCCGTTTTTAATAATCAAGAATTGCTTCAAACTCATCTTTTAAACTCATTTGTCTTTTATCATATGATAACATTCCTCTTTAATGAACATTCTTTGGTTTAGTTTTTTGATCCGAATTAGAATACATTTTTATTATAAATTATTATATAAAAAAATATACTCATTTTGATTAGATAATTGATTTACTAAAATAATGAATATCTAATATTGATATTGATGCTTTGCTTAATTTGTTTATAGAGCTAATAAATATTATTAAAATTTATTAAATAGCACTTGATAATCTTAATTTAACTAATCTAACTACTATTATTTTCAATGAAATTATTGCTCTTAAAATTTTATTTCTTTTCTTAATTATTCAACACCCTATCTCATAATTATCCTTGAATTAGCTTAAATCTTCATCCTAATTTGTAAAATTTTAAAATTTAAGTCTTTATAAAATATTATGATACTTCTCATATTATAAATCATCATTTAGAACTTTATTCTTTTTAAAAAGATCCTCACATCTATTATTTAATTCATTTATTGTTGTCTGAAGTAACAACAATTTTTCTTCATTATATATTACTTATTCTTTATAATTTTCTAGAGCATTTTTCTTTGCTTCAAATAAAGTTTTAATTTATAATTTTAACTTCATTATGTTTTCCAATTTCAATATATTAATTTCCCCTTATTAAACAATATTATCCATTTCTATAAATTTAAATCAATAAATATTATTATTATAATTAAGGTTTAAGAAAGAACATAATCTAATCTTTAAATAATTATTTAAACATATATAGGTATTCAAGAATGCCTTGAATTTTACTATTCCTGTAATTTTGGAAAGGGTATTTTTTCAGGTTTAATTTGTTAAAGAAGATTAATCAACTAATCTTTTCCTTCCTCTAAATAAAGAACTTGCTCTTTATACTAAATAACGTACTCATCTTCTACTTTTGTAAAATTATTTTAAATTAATTGATCAATAGGGTTAACAGTATATTTTTTCAAAGTCTTGAGATTTTGCCAATATAAATTTCCTTTCTGATCCTTCAACTCAATAAAATCCGATTCATGACTTTTTGATTTTATAAATTACTCCAATTCTCTTTAATAATTTTGAAGTCCTGTTTCAAAATATTTATTATTTAATTATTGTATATTACTTATAAATTCTATTTCATTTAATATCGCTATCTTTTTATGTTGATAATCTATTTATTATTTATAATAGCTTAATTTATATTAGGAAAGTACAGAATTGAATTTAATTTTCTAATTTTATATTTTCTTGTATTTAATAAGTGAAAGAATAAAAAATCTTCTTCTAGCAGCTTTAATATTAGAAAAATTAAGAATTAATTTTACAATTGGTTTAAGAAGCTATTTTTGTTGAACAGATAATGTCAATAAGATTTTTCTTTTTGTTTATTTTAATCTAAGAAAATATTTTCGAATAATTTGGATTTATTTCAATTTTTGATATAGTAAAATTTTTTTCTTCTTTGCCTTCCATCTTCTATAAAAAGTTTAAATTTTAGTAATGCATTTAATTTATTTTGAAAGCTTTAATCGTTATTTATATGTTTTGTAGCTTAACTTAATTTTATTTGCAGCATTAATAAATTATTATTTTGCTAATTTTTCTTTGTTTTCCTCTATTAGTAAATTCTTTTCTAGAGCGTCTAAATACTATTATTCTAAATTTTTTTACATAAATAATTAAATTATATATAATTAATTAAAATAATTTCAATCATATGCAATTTCTCTCTCCCCTTTAATTGTTTTAAGAAAATCATTATGAATAACACCAGAATTATATAAATGATACCCAACTTTTTTTATTTGAATATTTAATTTGGATCTATCCACAACAGTTTTCAAACTAGATGAAAAGCCCTAAACAATAATAATTTTTGATACTTTAATTTTCTTATCAATAATGTACTAATGTCTTTAAAGTAATAAATTAGCAGATTCAGATTCTGGGGAAACTATTATTTTAATCACAAAGTTTAAAGCAAAAAAGATTACTAAAATAGATGCAAAGTATTCTATTTAACTTTCTTCAATAGAATTTGAAGTATAAACAATTAAACCGGCATTAGAAAGAATTCCAAAAAATGTAATTATATCCAAAATAACTAACCAATTACCTATGCTTGCAGCTCCTTAAGGAAATGGTCTTCTTGATAAACTTACGAAATTAATTTTATCAACTTGAATTTTACCAACATTTTGAGCAAAACCTAAAATAAAGCAAGCAGGATAAGAAACTCCAAATAATACAAGAAAACAAAATTAGATAGTCAATTCCATATAATCTTTTACACTTCCATCAACTTCTTCATTTGTTTAATATGGTTATAAATCAAATTAGCTTTCAATAAAAGGATCAATATCATTGAAAGCATGTGGAACAGGTATTTCATCTATAGCCTTCATTTTTTTCATCAATTTTTCTTAAATGTAAGGTACAAGAACAGCTGTAATTAAGCCTGAAAAGTTAGAGATAAAGATAGTGCTTAATTAAAGAGATAATATTTAAAAACAATCGTAGGTTTAATCATTGACTTTGCATAACTCCAAGGATGTAAAGTAATTACTTAAGAAAGATATGATGAAGAATGCATTAAAACTAGATAATAAATATTTATTATTACGTATTTACAAATCGAAATATAAAAACTTTTGCAACTAAAGAATTTTCATAGGATGATAAAATTTTATGATTTTCTAATTAATTGAATATCATAACTAGATTTTGATAAATAAAGTTAAATAATCCAATTAGTATAGAATTTAGTAATCCAGGTAATTATTAAGAGAAAAAAGGATCTGCTTTAGTTTCAATCATATAATTTTTAAAAAAGAAAATTCCTAAGACGCATCCAATAACACATAAAATAATTAAAAAACTCACACCCAGACCAAATAGTTATGTTATTTTTCTTTTAAAAGGTGGATAAAATTATTCATTTAAATCATCATCAGTAATAGATCTTAAAAAGTCTCCTTAAAAGGCTGGCCTCAAAGCTTCTCCAGTTTCAAAATTAATTTATCCAAATTAAACACTAAATAAAAATTATTTTCTTCTCCAATATACTATGAAAAGTGAACTCCAAATAACTATTGTAAATGAGAAAAGAATTACAATAGGTTTTTTATATTATTCTGCTGATTCAGATAATAAAGATTAACATAAAATACCTACTAATCCAATATACCATAATTATTAGGTATAAAATCCAAGAAATGCAAAATATAGTGCTATTTTTTCACCAAAATAATCTCTAAGATGATGTACTGGTATATACCATGGACATCTGAAATTGATTCTCAAATCTTATTTAACACTCTAAAAATCAAAATCAGTTGATTCAGCATAAGATTATAAATCTTTATATAAATCTAAAAGGCATTTCTTACTACCTTCAAATGTCTTTTCTGTAATAAATTCCTACTCAATTAATTTCTTCATAAATTTATCTTTTTTCTCTTCTCCAAATAATGCATATGTATCATGTATCGGAAAATATCCAACTGCAATAAGATTTTATAACATCTTTGACATATTTACTTACTTTAAAATAATTGCATGTGTTATTTTAATCTTTTCCATATTATTAAACTCTGATCTGTCTTTTAATTCATTTATTTCATATTTCCTCCACATTTATTTACCAAAATCATTTTATAATTAAAAATATTATGTGTATGGTGCTGCTGGTTCCATCTCAAGCATATCCCATATGTTTCTTAATATTATTTTTTCATCTAACAAATCAGACCAACAGCTTTTATGTGCTGAATACCATATTTCATTTGCTTTTCTTAATGCTTTTCCAAAAATCAATCTATATAAAAATGGTAAATTATCCCTAAATTAAAAATGTTCCTCCTTCATTGCCTCTTAATAATGCTATTATAATAGATATAATAAATGAGATAACAAATCCAAATATATGTAATATACTTACCATTCCTCATCACTTATTGAATAATCAGAATTCAATTCAACTTTCTCATGAGATTAATCAATATTTAATTATTTTGTTATAACTTTCAGATATTCTTCAACCTATTCTACTTTCTTAATCACAACAGCTCTTAATTCAATATCTCTAAGTTATTTAATTTCTTATTTGTAATTACTTTCACAATAATCATCTATTTCTTTCAACGTTGTAAAATGTAATTTATCATTAGATTTAATCGAATCTAAAGCTTCTTTTAAATCACCATAATTAGGACCCAAAATTTACTTTATATAATTCTTCAAACGTAAAGGTCTAAAATTTGCATCAACAGGTTCTAAAGAATACAAATCAGCAAATCCCATTTCTATTTGTTTTGTTACCTTCATGTTTTAAGCCTATCTTTAAATAACTTCTTTAGTTGATTTAATCACTATATATATATGTTCTCCAGTTCCAGATACAAATTAACGACAATGCAAATATCCATTTCTTGATAGTTTTTCTAATATTGTAAATCTAATTAGAGTCATCATATCTTTTGGAGCTCCATTGTTTGAAATCCAATCATAATCAACTCCATCTTCACACATCTTTTTAATTAAATATCCACCTTATGACCATTTTTTCTTTAGTTTTTTAAACTATCTATCATCATTAACGTCAACTTTCATTAATTCTTTTATTGGATCTATTACTTTTTATGATACATTTTGTTAACCTTACTATCCTACACCTATCTCATCTAAAAATCCTTTTTCATTTTTTAAGTCAAATCCTTCATTTTCATTCATTAACTCTTCTTCTCTTTACTTATGATAGATTCTCATAAAATCCAAATATTTTTCATATGAATTTTTTTCAATTTTTATTGGTTTTTCCTCTTTCGAAGGTTTTAATTCTTAGCTAGAATTATTTTGATTGTTATTTGATTTATTCTATTTTTTAGAATCTTTATTTTATTTTTATTTTAATTTTTTTTTTTTTTTACTTTAACCTTCATTTTAATGATCAATTAAATCATCAAGTGTCAAATAAGTTAGAAGGAAAGAATCTCTTTCTTTTTTTAACTAATTTTTTGTCACTTCTTCTGTCATAACTGTCAAAATCTCATCAAAAGTCTTAGCAGCTTCATTAAATGTTACAGGCTTTTAAGTATAACCTTCATAATCAGGATTCGGAAATACTATTGCTAAATCACCAATATTAAAATCTTCATAAATTCCTTAAATTTCATGAAATTCTGCAGGATTCAAGAATTCATTTTAATGTTTATCAACCAAATCCCCTACCTTCTCAAAAATCTTTTTTTTTTTCATAAATGATTTCAAATCAACCTAATTTATGTAAAATCCTAGTATTTCTCTTATTGATTCTTCTTTATGATTTTATATAGCATTTTATTTGGCTCGCTTATTTTTAGATGATTCTTCTTTCATAGTATTTTCTACTTTTTGTATTTTAATTATTTAATTTCAATTTGTTAAGTACTTAAGAATATAAAAATTAAAAAATAATTTAATATTGGAGTGATTATACCTTTCTAAAAATTGAATAAGGGTTGAAAATACTTTATTGGATTGTTTTAACTTATTATTTATTTATATATATTAATTAAGTATTCAAATCAAAATTATTTTTTTTTTATTAACCATTTTTTCCCTATATGATTGCTAATTCAAAAAAGCTCTGTAAATCTAATTTTATTTCTCTAGATTGGCTTATTCAATTTTTAAAGGCTACTAACCTACTGACTTCTTTCTTTTTGAATTTTCTTGCAAATCAAAAGATTTGTTATTCGAAAGCCTAGTATTTCCAGAAGTTAACATATTGTTGGTAAGTTTATGCTCAATTTTATGATTGGAACTAAGAATATTACTATAAATAGAAATTTGAGGAATTTTAATTTATAGATCTTTTTAATTCATCATTTAATCTTATATTTTTTTTTTTAAGCTTTGTCCATGTTTAGAATACTCAGATAAATAGTAATCGTCTTCCTTATCACTTAAGTCTTATTCTAAAATAAATTATTTTGGATCAAAATGCTATTATAAATCATCCAAATCATCCCAATTAATTCCACTTCCCTCCTTATCTCGAGTTTCATTCAGTTTATACTTTTTTTTGCATCTTGAAGTTAAATTTACCTTAGGAAATTCAACTTCAAGGGATAGTCTCTCTTTTTTTACACTTTCTACTCTAACTTTTGGTTTTGAAGGTAAATAAATTTTTCTTTCATAAAGTTTTTCTTGTGTCAATATTTCCTGTTATTCTTTAGAATAAAATGGCCTACCTATAATTTGCATTTTCTATCTGTATCCTTTTGGATTATTTAAGCTCAAATATTCATACATAAGTTCATTTTGCTCTGGAAAGATTAATTAAGCTAGTTTAATGATAACCATTTAAAAATTTTCATTTGAAAGTTCCATTTGTGAATTTGCATTTTTTTTATAGATTTCTACTAAGTTAAATTTAGTAACAATGAAATTTTTTTTATGATTGAATTTAAATTGATTCTAATTTTTCTTAAAGGTTAACTCATTTATTTTACCTCCCAATTTTAATATGAGTTCCTTAGTAATTTCTAAGTCTATTAGTTAAAAATCTTTGCAAAAAAACATAAACTTTTACAAAATCATAATGCTTGATAATTGTTGCAATTTATCAAAGGTTTAATATTTATTTGTTGTAATTGCTTATTTTGAGTAAAATAAGTAAATTTCTTTCAAGTTTTCTACCATTTATTTTTCAAGTTGTTTTGATTAGCTTTATTCTTAAGAAAATTCTTCCTATTTTACTTATTATTATTGTTTTTATTCATGTTGATTTTAGATAGTATTTGTTGCAATTTAAGTATTTTTTAAGATAATTTATTTATGTTTTTAGATTTAATTTTGTATAGTATTTGCATTTTTATTAGTAAGTAATTGAGGCTATTATGTTTAATTTTCAGGTTAGATTTCATCTAGATTTTAATAGGAGATTGTTTATTAGTCATTAATTTCAGTTTATACTTATTTTAGATCAAGTTCTAATTCATTTTCTTTAGCATCCTCTTGTGTTAAATCAAATTAGCTACTCATAGGATTATCAACAATATCTGAATCTTATTATTCTACATTTTTATGATTATGAATGTCAAGCAAATTGGTTTTACTGTTTTGTTTACTTGAATATTTATGAGTCTTAGGTTGTATTGGTGTTAAACGCAAAGGTGATTAATTTGGAGTATTAAATTTTTATGGAGAAGTAAGTCTATTAATTATCATTGATTCCTCAATAATGTTAGTCATAATTAATATTTTTTTTGTTCGTTAAAATAAATGTAGTCAATCCTTAAACAATGTGAATGTTTGGATGAAGAATATAAATAATTAGTCAAAAATATAGAGAATATGTTAGATAACTTAAGTATAGTGAGTCTGGAATTTGTGAATTCTAAATTAGAATTTTTAGAAAATTACTCTGAAACTCTAAAATCTAGTTAGATTGATGCTCGTTTGCATCGTAACTCATAAATAAAGAATTTAATTGAGTATATAAAGATGCATAAGAAAACTTAGGTTAAATCTTAAGCATAATCTCCACCGTCAAAAATGGCTAATCATAGACCAAAGTATTCTTTCAATGAAAACACATTTTCTACTTTTCTTCATGAAAATATGAATTAATTTACTCAGCAAAAAACTCTAAACAATGAGACAGAATTACCAAATTAAAAGATATAGGTTCTTAAATAAAAAAGCTTGAATACTTTATAAATTTTAATTAAGAAATAAAAAAATGAATAAAGAAAGGAAAACGAAGATATTTTTAAGCTATTATAAAAATGCATGAATCATATAAGTAATAACAAACATTTATTTGATGAATATCATGATTTATAAGAGGAATATCAAGTGATAGTTTAGAACAATAAACACATTCTAAGCAAAGTAAATTTAGAGATTAAGTCTTGTATGATAAAGCAGAATATATCTTAATTGATGGCAAGCTAAGAATCATTTAAATCGTACTTAGACTCAATAATATGATTACTATTTATATACTTATAAATTTTATATGAATTCAATTCAGATTTTATAATATCTCATTTTTACCAAAAAATTCTTATTTGTTAATGAACAGCAATCAATATAATAGCAAAAAATTGGCTCCATTTAAAAAGTCAAGAGATTCTTTGAGAGAAGAGTTGAAAATACTTTAACAAGAATATTAGTAAGAAGAAAAACTTAATGATTTTTATTTTGATGAAATTGGACATGCAGAAAAAGTAATAATAAAATTTAAATTCAGGAATTTGAACAACTTGTAAAATAGATTGATGATTTTAATAAACATAATCATTCATAAAAAAACACTAAATAAACAGACTAAAATTAAGGACTTGATGAAACGATAGAAAAAAATGTTATTGAAACACTACAACTCTTTCTTTTAAATACTAGTAAGAAGGAATACTTAGAAAGCATTTAAGAGTAAGAAATTGCAAAAAAATAACAATAATTCGGTAATTTAGTTTTGAATTAACCAAATTTGACAAAAGAAAAGGAAGATCAATAAATTGAAGAAATAAATAATGAAAATGGTTATTATGTTACATTAAAATAAGGAGAATCTTAATTTGAAGTTAGAATTCCTTATCATATCAAAACATTCAAAGAATTAAAATCAATAGTAAAATCATGTTTCATGGCTGAAGAAAAGGAAATATTTTATACAGATTAATTAGGAAATATATTATAACTAGATATGAATATTCTTGATGAATTATATCCCTCGATTTATGAATTACTTAAAAATTATTAACCTACAATTGGTATTTAAATTATCAAATAGAAAAAAATTAAAGATAATACTAAATTTACAGATGCTGAAATTGACAATGACGGTATTTATGATCTTATGACTAAATAATTGAGAACAACTAAAAGAGCACAAAAATAAATTAATTGGTCATCATATTTAAACTATCTCACAAACTTTAAGTATCTTATGGAGTCTATTATATTTCTATCATTGTTGATTATATTTGCAGTGATAGAAGTTGATGAGAATAAATTTTTTACTAATAGTTAATTACTGGTCACAATGAATTCATAAATTTCTTTAACCAAATCATTTATCAATCCAGTCAAAAACATTTCTGATCTTATTCTATAAACTATTCCAGATGAAAAACATTAAAATCCAACTTATCCTTTAAAGTCTGCATTATTGGTGTAAACTCTTGTTGGTATTGTAATTATTAATTTATATTTAGGATAAAATTGAAAATTGTCACATTTTGAATGAAAATTAAAAATTGATTTTTCTTGAGAAGAATTAATCTTGCTTAGATTTCAATCATATTATTACTGATGATCTCGATGAAGATTTTACATTTACCAATTACAACCCTAAATTTTACAATCAAAATTATGGAGGTTATGTTTGGGAATTAGATTTAACATCTAAAGAGAATTTTCTAGAAAGTTTAGAAAGATTGGAGAATGAACAGTGGATAAAATATAATATTAAGCAATCAAAATTTATTTTAAATTACTTTAATAGTCCAACTACAAGAATAGTTCAAGTTATGATAACAACCTTATATTTATTTAACGATGTTTAATTATTTTTGATTTTTAGAATCTACTGAACTATAATAGTATTTCATCTGAAGCATTCGATTTAAGCGAAGAACCAGATTAATTAACTCTATATAAGAATATAATGCTATATTGTTCGATTGTACTTTTGGTTTCTTCATTCTTTGGTAATAAGATTTTTTTTATTTTTAGATTTTTTTGGGATATATTTAGTTGGAACAAAAAATCATTTAATTGTCCTTTATTTATCTTACTTAGAATTGGTTACAAAGAAAAAAAAAATGTAAGCTAAAAGAAAGGAAATAAATGAACAAGATCATAAAGATATGTAATAAAAAGAGTTGATTCTAAGTGACTATTTTATAATTAATCTAAAAGTAATTTTTATTGTCATTAGAATCCCTTTGATATTTGATATCATATGTAATAATAAAGATTTATCTAGATATTTTGTGTTAATTTGGTTTACTGATTAAGAGAACAGTAGAAACATAATATAAGGATTAATTAAACCTAATGGATGTAGAATCAGATTAATTTTAAGACACGACTTCTCTATTTACCCCATTAATTTTTTCTAGAATTTATTCAGCAGTTTTAATGCTATTTTTGATGATTTCAATAGTAAGATTTTTGGGTAATTGGAGTCCATATTTGAAATGTTATGGTCTAGTTATGATTAGAGTAAAAATATAACATAATTATATAGTTCAATAAAGAATCATGGTTTTTACTATTAGTTTTAATTTACATTATCAGTATTTGCGCAATGTCTTGGTCTCTAACCTTATAAGGTAAATTGATTAATCATGATAATTTCTTTTTTACCTTTATTGGATTGTTAAGATGTACTTTAAGATATGGTATGCATAATGATTTGGATCAACAAGGATTTCATAATAACTATGCTAAAGATATAAGCTTTTCTTTTGATACAAGATATGTAATTTTTTTTGTTTATTTACTCATAGTTACAATACATAATTATAATTACTTTATCAATGATTATGGTTCCTATTTTTATTTCATTGATGACATAATAAGTACATAACACTAAAATCGAAGCAAAATAAAAGATGTTAGAAATGAAAAAGTCAACAGAAGAATGAATTTAGTATTGCAATATGATAAAATCATAAAAATCATGTTTTACGCATAGTGTTTGTCTTTTTCAGGATTTCTTAACTATTTTCATATTATTTGTCAATTAATTCTAAATCTAAACATTTTTTACTCTAATGTCTTTTACTATTTTAATCACTATAACTTTTTGCTCTCTAATTAAATAAAAATAAATATCAATACTGAACTAAGATACTCATATTTAATTGGATTTTATTTATTATTAGAATTGTTAATAAATTGAATATTCTAAGGAATGTTATTTTAATACAAAGATTTAGAGCCTGATCTGGTATTATCTGCAAAACAATTTTAGGGTTTAGTATTGTTATTTGGTGTTTTAGAAATAGATGATTGTAAAGGAATTTAGAATTCAAATCCTGCAATGGAATTTTTATTTTAACAGGATTGTGCAATATTTTAAGATCCTTCAATACTAAGAAGTACCTCTAAAATAAATTGACTAAATACATTTAGTTGCTTATGAACTAGTTATAAAGGCAGATGGTTCTTCAACAACAGTTGATAATCTTTGGTCTTTAATTTTAATTTTTTTCATTTCAAGTTATTTAGAAATTTTCATATTTTCTTTAGATTCTTACATTTACAGCTATTTTGATGAAAGTGTGCAGGGTTAAATTAATTGTTTTCTTTCAGTGTTATTTTTAGTGCTATAAGGAAGTGAGTATCCTTCCATTTGAATAGAAGCTTTTACATTCTACTGACCAATTTTGTTGTAATTCTTAAATACATCTGCTGATTATTCTGTAACTTAATTTTCAGGTTCATAATATTATTGCATTTCTCTATTGATGCTTTAGTAAGCACTATCAAAAGGTGTTCCTTAATAATTAAGTATGGATATCTAAAATAAATATTAATTTTACTTTTTTAGGATTGTTCAGTTCATTTTGAAGGTTTTCATTATTATATATCTCTGTATCTTCTTATTTTCTAACAAAGAAATCATCTGGCTCAGTTTTATGTCCCATCCTTCGAATTGGAGAGATTGGCATTTATTGAGGTTTCTTATTTGGCTTAGAGAAGTATTACAATATCTACTGAATCAGAATAGTCTATGCAACATTAATAAGATGATACATTCTGATTTTGCTATTTGGAATTCTACACTTGTAATTCCATGATTTATGTAAACACTTTAGTCCAACTTTTAAGTGTCTTCTTGATAGATTTAATATCACTGACTAATTGATCTCTTACTAAGAAGTCTTGCTCATCCATCATAGTTGTTACAGTATATTTAATATTATTTTATTTGATGCTAATACAATTAAATCTTTATACAGAAATTCAAAATATCTAAAATTTTATATGACAAAAAAAAGAGAGAATTTATAAACCCACTTTTATAAAAATATATTAGACACATATAAAGTAAGTTTAATCAAAATTTTACAATCCCTTATTAGAAACACAAGGTTTTCTATCAATTGAAACTTTCTTCGATTCATCTCTTAGAAAAAGATGATAGCTAAAAAGTTTTAATAATAATAATAATAATAATAATAATAATAATAATAATAATAATAACAAACAAA